CCTGTCACCCCCTGGCAAGGACGGAACTTTGTCGGTGGGTGCTGCACCGCGCTGTGCATGATCAGCCTTCCGTGTCACCCACCGTCATGGGGCGTCAGCCCGGAGAGAAGCTGTCGTCGGTGCTCTGCATCTGCTTCCGTCTGTGGTCGCTCGAGACCGGCAGGGTCCAGTGGCTGCGTTGCATCCGTCGGACCTGGACAATACGGCCGAGGGAGCAGATTCCTTGGCCAAATGCAGTGTCGCGGTCGGTCGCGGGAGGTATTGTATGAGACTTGTTGACGAGCTGGCTCCGGGCCCGGGCCCTCGGGCACGTACCCGAAGGCAACGTTCCGGGCCCGTGGCCTATGAGCATGAGCTCGGCGAGTTGTATTGCCAGGGCACCTCGCGCTGCATGAAAAGATACACGTCGCAAGGAACCTTGCGCTTCCTGTCGATGCCATCCGATGCCATCGGGAACAAGGAGACGCGGGAGGAAGAGACGCTGCGGGCGGAGCGGAGACGCCGTGCGCGTGCACAACAGCACGCCTCCTTTGGACCCCAATGATACCATGGTGAGAGAACCGCCGCAATCGAGGGCCAAGTCGGCGACCCGGAGAGTCTTGCGCTGGACCAGCTACTTCGTAGTCGCGAGGGCAACATTGAACGAGAGCTCATCCTCGTTGCACACATATGCTGCCGTGGCCGCGCCAGCTACACAGGAAAGTCGGCCTCATTGAGGTGGCACTATCGTAAAGGCGGGCATTGTCTTTGCTGCACGTCAGGCCAATGGCCAGTGCTGCGTGCACGAGGCGTCTTGGCAGCCGGTGCTCAGGACGGATTGGAGGCGGCATGGCCAAACCTAATGTTTACAGCCTGCAATACATACCGTCCAGTACGCTGACCTGGAGTTCGCCCGTCCGCGAGATGCCCCGCCATGTCCGCTCGTATACTTACCAATGGTAGCGACTTCAGTCGCAACTGTTTGGCGGATCTGACGCTGCCCCGTGGAGGCAGACATTTCAATACATGACACAGCAGTCGGTGGTCTGGGGCGGCAGTGCCCTCGAGGAACCTTGGAAACGCATCAGCAGGCATGGTCTCGCGGGATGGCGTACCCATGAATCAGTGAATGGGCGATGAATGGGACGGCACGGAAGCCTAGAGGACGGGACGGGACCTAGGCTTCATGGAGGAACTTAGTGGCATTGGGGGCCGCTACGCTACTGGGGACAATAGGTGGGCGACAATAAAGAGGCGACCCTCACGGTGCGCTGCAGCGTCAACGCACGGACCGCTATCACGCTGGGAGTCTCTACGCTACCTACATCGTACTCTCTACGGCGTACGTTAGTGCTGAGACGAAGCTGTCTCTCTTCGCCCAGCAGCCCATCCTGCACAGTACAGTCAGTAGTCCGTATCTCAGACGTGCAGCTTAGGTGCTAATCGAGCACCAGTGGCAGGCGCGGGGGATGCGCCTGGTGACTGAAAATGGTGATGGTCCAAGCCCTTCTGCCTGTTCCCACCTGGGACGCTGGGAGTGGGACACATTCTGAGCTGGCCGGGCAATTGCATTGGACGGCACAGCGCCTGTCGCCTTCCGAGAAACGATCACAGGGTAGGAACGGGGGCTTTAGGGAAGGAAGGGGACTTGATATTACAGTACTGCAGGAGCACGCCGTGACGTGGATGACGAACAATGGCAGCCACGCACCACACAGGCGATACTAGCCTGGTAGGCACAGTACCTACCTTGGTACTGCTGACCTCTTCTGCCCGCCTCGTCCCATCATGGCCAGGTACCTCAATCAGGCACAGCACGGTACAGTACAGAACCGGTAGCGTCCGTTGCGGTCGTCTGCAAAGTGGACGGTCTCTTATCGAACGGTTACCCGGACAGGCCGTAAGCCACCTCTGGTCCGCAAGGCGGCAGCCCTGAACCGCTGCTGTCGCGGTCGTTCCTGCATGGACGGGAAATACTACGGAGTACTATCCTATCTTGCCCGCGCAGCAAACGGACGAGCATGTGCTAAGATGTACGCGTGGCCTCGATTGCACCTGCTATCTGCGGCAAGGCTCTCATGGGCATGACCGGAAGGAACTGTAAAGCACCGGCCTGGGTACCCATGGAGCACCAAACTTTACTTGAGGACCAAAGTACTTGGGTAACAGCCTGCGCCTGCCTTGTGATGGGTGGGCAATTTCGCCGTCGGTGCTCACCTAGCCTCAGGCTACGTAGCTTCGTAGGGTCACGCAACCGAGCCCGACCGGCTCACCGCCTTGAGCCCTGTCAGGCGGCAGCCTTGGCTCCATCATGCAGGCCTCGCCAGATCTCCAAGACTTCCCATTGTACGGAGTACGCCACGCCAATGGCCGGGCGTCTGCCTTCCTCTGCCCGCTCGCAGCCAACTCGACAAGCGCGGCTACCACGGTCGCGTCGCATCACATCGCGTCGCGTCACAGCGCAGCGCCGTGCATGGCATCGCTTGCCTCTCGAGAGCGTGTGCGGCCTGTCTGTCGTCAACGGCTGGTCGCGGTCTGGCCTGTGCGTCGTCGTCGCCGTCGCCGCATGCCTCTCGCGGGCCTCGGCCTGCCTCTTTACTTTCTACGGCGGGCGCGGCTGTCGGTGGCTGCCGGCGCCTGAACTCGACTCTCGACCTGTGGTCCCCATCTGTTCGCCTGCTTTTCTCTCTGACGAGACGCTACCTCGATGAACAAGGCACGCAGAGCGTCGCTTCGTAAGGCACTTGCGTTTCACGGCGGCTTCCTCGGCGACCTCAGTCTGAATCCGTTTGTCACAGACTCACAGACCTAAGCCAGGGCACCGTGTGAGCATCGGCGAACAGACACATGAGCGTGCAGGATGCCTCTGCCCATGGTTGCCGATGCCCCTTGGGATATCACTCATCCACGACGGCCTGTGCTCCCCCCTCTCCCAATGACAGCCATCATGGATGAGTACGTACATTCCGGCGCCGTGCGCCCTGTCGCAAAGGGTAAAGTTAGCAGTGCGACTTTCACGCCGATGCATTCATGTCGCGACAGGGCAGTGCTCCCCAGTGGCTCTCGCCAACGGCTCCGCAAGCATCAAGGCTGAGCAGGCCCGGCGCCCCGTGGGCAGTCTGTGGCAATGGGTTTGCAATAATAGCAAGATCTACCCCTAGCTGTCGGATTGGGCCCCTCGTGGAAGCCGTCGGCGATGCCATCTCAAATACCTGGCCAGCCCAGTCGCCCCCCTGCCGCCTTCTTCTTGTGTGGAACAGTGGGCTGGTCTGATCCCCTGTCCCGACTCCTCCAGGTTCGTTGCATCCTGGCTGCCCTGTCCATGGATCCTGCAGTACTCGTACTGCTGGCGTCAACCCCGTGTCAGGGCCTGGTTCTCCCTCGCAGCATGGCTTGCAAGATTCCCCAGCAGCCTCAGGCGCCAGCCGCTGAATCAGGGTGCAGCGCCCGCAGAACGTCATTACGAGCGTCCCTGGAGGTGGTCTCGTCGTGGTTGCGGACCGGCTGGCGGCGCCGTTGGATGGCCCGGGACCGCATCAACTCTAATGGCAGCCGGGCTGAACAAAGCGCACACGACGGTAGATAATGGAGGCGGCCCCGGAACCGAGGCGTTCCCAGCCTGGCCTTGCCGCATCACAGTCCCGTCCTCGACGCGCAAACGACGGCGCACCCCCGTCTGGAAATTCGTGAGGCAAGGGCCGCCGCCTGGCCCGCGCCCGACATTTGCAAATCCGTACTCAATCTCGTCGTCGGCCTCTGCCTCTGTCTTTGCCTGGGGCTCACGCGCAGGCGACCGAAAAAAAGGCACACGCACCACACCGCACCACACCCCCCAAACCGAGGAAGCCGCCCCCATACCCACCCATCTGCGGTCTAGCTATCTTGGGAGTTTGGCAGCCCCATCCCAGCCGGCGGCTATGAGGCATGCACGACAATACCTGGGCTGCTGCACTGTACAGCGCCCCAAGTACTCCGTACTCGCGCTGCCCTGCCGATGTCACCCCCCGGCTCACTTCCAGACCCCCCCAGCCGACGGGGGGCTCGATCCGCTCACGCCCCCCTACATGGGTAGGCAGTGGCGCACACCTTGTCGGACAGGGCCACTGCGAGGAAGAGATCCCTGGATGGGTCCCGGGACGGGACCACGCTGAAGTCGAGGTACTTGGACGTTTTCCACCGACGGAATGGCGCTCGAGGGGGAGTGAGCGACCGACTCGACTTGAACTCCCTGCTCCTACAGAGAGGAGCCTGGCCTGGCCTGGATCAGCAGTATTACGTCGAGTCCGAAAGCCGCCATCTATACAAGTACAAAGAGGTCGGGCCATCTGCCATCCTCGCAGCCATCCCGTCTTGTCCTCACAGTCTTCCTCTCGCCTGCCTCCCCCCGTCCAGTTCGCCTCCCCACCAGGCCCTTACTCAGACCCCTTCGCTGGCTTAGACGCGGCCGCGGCCACAGAGGGCTGATTCTTTCCGGCCCTGCCTCCTGTGCAGTCCATTGCGGTCTGCCTCGCCTCCTTAGTCCTCCTGTGTCCCGTCCCCGGAGAGAGCAAGCAAAAGGCGTATATATCTGCGTCGAGCCCTCGGCATTCGTCGAATCTGCTCGTGCGACGCTGCCGCTGGCTCATCTCATCCTTCTCCGGCTCCGTCACTTACATCGACCGCTGACGGCACTCCCTTGCCCTGTTCTGCCCTGCGCCTTAACAGCCGCTGCAAGTGCATGCCTCGACGGCCAACAAGTCCTTCGCGACCCAGCTGCCCACACAGCCAATTCGCAGGGGCCCACCTAATCATGGTCGAACAACAACAATATATCTCGCCTGCCCTGCCGCATTCGGACGCTTTGTCGGAAGCTCCCAACTTGACAGACGGTGCCCGGTCGTCGTCGACCTCGTCCTATTACTCCCCAGTACGCGCCCCTCTCCCTTGACATCGTCATGCTGCTCTTTTACTTTTAAAGAGAGGCAACCTCCTCCCTCCCCTTCCGCCAACTCTTCGTCGCGCCATCTTTCCCCCAACTGACCATGTGTGCCCGTCAGGTCTCGTCCTTTAACATCCCTCCGCCGTGCGACGCCAACCTCTTGACTCCCATCTCCACTGCTGGCTCGCCTCCTCTGCATCAGCTTCGCAAGTTGATGGGACACTACCCTCCTCCCCCAGGCAGCCCACAGACACAGGAGCCCACGCCCCCCGGTAGCTCCAAGATGTACCACCAGTGGAACAACCAGTTCGACATGAACGGCCAACCTAGTAGTACTAGTTCTCCCATGACAACTCCGGCCCACGTCGCCCCGGAATCCTTCTACATCGCCGACGAACGACGCACCCCAGGCCCTCCCGAGCCCTACATGGGCATGTTTGGCGTTTCCGACTCTGCCGCGGATCCTGGGCACATCTCCAACTCTGGGCCACCATACTACATCGACATGAACCAGATGGGGAACCAGAACCCCATGATGGTCCGCGACAACCCTCCGATGCCAGTCGACCCTCATCATCGCGATCTTGGCCGCACCGTTCCATCCACGAGCCATCTCCTAAGCCATCCCCACCCGCATCTCAGGCACGCGCGCCGCCCCAGCACAGACAACCCGCTCCTACGCGGGCGCATGCCCGAGCCTCCCCGTTCCCCTAGTGGCTCCCCTCGACGCCGCGCAGTTGCTGGCAACAGCCGGGTCAAGAAGGCACGATCCTCCAAGCGCCAGTCAGGGACTCCTCGGAATAGCCAACAGCCGGACCCATCCGAAGAACACAAGAACTGCAACGGAGAGGAAGTGCCGCCTCGCCTGAAGAGTACCTGCCCAGAAGAGGAGCGGTGTATTTTTGAATCTCGCTGGCGCCACCGCCACCAGAGGGGCCAGGACATGTGGGACAGCATCCAAGAGGACTTCACCAAGCGATTCAACAAGAGCCACGGCAAGGAGATGCTCCAAATGAAATTCAAGCGTGCTCGGTCAAAGTATATTGAGTGGCTGCCAAGAGATGTACGTCAATCTCGCAAAACCTCAATGAGGGGCTGGTCTGGACTTGAAGCTAATCAAACTTTCACTGCATAGGAGGACATTTTGCGCGAAGCCTGGAAGCGAATGGAGCGCGACAGATATCAAACCCTTCTTGAGCTGTTCGTCGAGATGGGCGGCTCGCGCAACATGCGCCTCAACTCGAGTGATATTGAGGTCAAGGTAGTCAACGACCTGAAGCTCGAGGAGCATCTCTACATGGAAAGCTACCGGGACATGGATGTCCGCAGGCGGCGCAAGGTCTCGGCGAAGAAGCGAACGGGCGGCCCCCACGATGACATGGCCGGCGGCGACGACATGATGGGAGTTGACCCGCGCACGACGCACAACGAGGAAGACGTGATCAACCAAGTTCACAGCCGGAGGGAACCGATGCGGTGGGAGACGGACTCGTCGGCGCATTCGACGGAGATAATGGACATGCCTGTCTGGGACAGCCGCGCGTCGATGAAACTGGACGCAGCACCAGGCTTGAGGCTGGTCAACGGAGTCAACCGCGGCGTCTATCCGGCGCCCAAATGAGGTGGCATGGGCCCCCTACACAGGCGTCGGGGCTCGGATGACGGCACCAGGGCGGGTGGCGAGGGAGGAGGGCATATGCCCGGGCTATGGAACACGTGCTGGTTCGCAGTGTGGCTTCATTGGCGGAGAGATGGGTATACCTGCGTTTGCCGGGTGGTCGCGGTGTTTTTGGGCCGTGCCTTTTGTTTAGACTGTTGTCATCTTCTCGTCGAAGAGTCACCACTCGCTGTCTTATTTGGTTGGGCGCTCTTCCTCTTCTCTAGGGCTCATAGCTTTTCGTCACAATCTTGGATACCAGAATCGACTCGCAAGGACTATCTCACGCCGCATTTCGCTCCTTTCTAGACGCCTTGTGCATGGGGCCCAATCTGTTTCACAATAATGATTGTGCATGCCGTACGTTCAAGTGCTACAGAGGTGCGGCCCTCAACCGGGAGCCACGCGCAGAGTGGCCCGATGCAAGTACCTTCGCAAATGCCGAATCGGGCCCTGCGACCAACAGCAAGCGATCCCTCGGCGTCGATTAGATCGGGCCAGCCCCATATTACATCTGGTATACTCGTGCTCCTTGCGCGGTGCAGTGTACATGTGCGCGGTGGCTGAGATGCGAGGCTCCAAGTACGTACCTTGGGGCCGGGGCCGCCAGGTGGTGTCTCGCTTTTCCTGGCCGGCGTCGGGGCGGCCGCACGTTGAGATGACGCGCATTGCTGGGCAGTGACTTGCGCCTCGCTGCCCAAAAGTTGGATACTTGAACTTGCCTGTGTAAGTAAGGTACAGTACCGTGCCCCATACTCGTGCTGCTTTGGAGGTGCTGAGGCAAAAGCTGAGTAGAGTAGATGGAGCGACGATTTCGTATGGACCTGTGGGTGCAAACCGCAAACCCACATCGCAGTACGGAGTACGGAGTCCAGACTGTAGACTCACAGAGTACTGGCGTTCGCAACGCCGTTTCCCGGTGGAGCCAGGGTCCCTCCCAGCCTCCCAGGCCGTCGAACAGTAGACACCCCGTGGAGGGTGCGGACAAGCGACAAGCTGGCGAGGTTCTGCCCATGTCATGTCCTATTGAGAGCCGTCAGTGACAGTCATTGACAGGATATGGCGCTGGTATTGTTGTCGCCCGACCAGGCTTGGCGCCATGCCGACACAAGTAAAGTGCGCGGTAGCCTCGACCGCAGGGCAGAGCGAGGCAAGGCGGGCGAGGCTGTGCTGAGAAGCCGTGGCCGACCACCTCTTCGCGGGCGGCTGCCCCCCCACAGCGGCCGCGTCGGTGTTAAGGCCCGCGGGAACGCCGATGTCGAGATGGGCCTCGTGGGCTTGGGCCACTTGTATGATATATTTTCGAATTCGATTCATCTTCAAGCAGTGGCATTGGTTCGTGCACCGGACGGCGCCATTCATCACGGGCCCCATGGTGAACCTCCGCCCTCACCTTCACTTGGAAAGCGGAGGTGCCAGCCAAGATGCCGTGGCGGCAATGGGGCCTGAGTTTCAACTGTGGCAGCAGCCGCACCGCACCGCCATCTTGTCTGGGCATGCGGTCCCTGTTCCTGGGCGCGTTGGTGCGGCACATTTTGCGTTTGTTGGCCGTAACCCGTGTCGAAAAACGTCATCTGCGACTGGCCCGGCCGCATCCCTCGCTGCGCATCTGATGCCCCAATATAGATCCGCTTGACCATCGGCCACTGTACTTTGTCTGCGCAGTAGGTATCGTGAAATCTCTCGCGCATGTAGCACCGTGCCTATGCTTCTGGGGACATGAGCATGCAGAGATGCGTCGTGGCATGACAAGTTCCATGTCGGAGAGAGTCGCGTCGTGCCAATTCATGCCCACAGACCTGGAAGTAGATGCGAGGAGCAGGCAGCAGCTTCCAGGCGAACCGCCTATGGGTCCCGACGCCGCAGAAAGGAAAGTCCGCTCCTTGCGACGTCAGCCAGGGCGAAGAGACTGAATTGTACCGTGGAGTCAGGCGATGGTTGTGGCGGCGGCTTCCCGATAGCTTCATCGATGCGGGTGACGGAGAGCCAGAACCACGCCCCCTTGGAATAGAGACTTTGTGCACTCGTACAGTACAGCACTGTACACGTACAGATGACCATGACTTACAACGGAGGCTAGGCCGTTCCAGCGGCAGTTTTTGGTGCCAATTGCAAGGTGGTTCTGACCCAATGCCTTGCCGAGTGGGGACATGCCGCTGCCCACGAGCATCTGTCCGAAAAGTGACCGGGCAGTGCGAGTCGACGACAACGAGCCGAGCGTCGACACAGGGGTTGCGTCGTTCGTCGAGGAGCCCGGGGTGTTTGGGTTCATTCAGGGCCAAGAATCGCACTGTGGCGCTAATTTCTCCCGCCGGCGAAAACTTTCATGAGGCCCGGCAATCTCTTGAATGTCTTTCTCGGATTGCTGCCCTGTGTGTGGCTGAACATCGGTCGTGGACCGAACTTCTAGATGGATGGCCTGGTTCCCTGGTCCGATCAGTTCGCTACACACGATGGCGCTTTTGTCCCGAGTCCCTGGTCCTGATCTTGACGAGCCAGGTTGAATCACGAGGCGGGTCTGCCTGGCTGAACCAGCAAGTGCTGCTTCTGGCGACACCACACGCTCCAAGCCGCAGATGAACAGCACGCGTATCGTACCAGCCGCAAAGGGCTGATGGAACAGAGGCTCTAACGACGCGTTTGCGGAGCGGTGTCGGACTCCGAGCTCATGCATCTGCCGGCGGCGGGCACGGGGCAACAAAGCGTCTGTCCACGAGCTCTCGTCTGTCGAGGCCGAGAGTCTAATTGATTTTGCCCACTACTTCTGGCCTGCATGCCTGGCCAGGCGCCACGTGACGAATCAAGTGATGTGGTTGATGCTGTGTGTTGGCCCGTTCGCACAGACGGTGCAGGCTTTGGCCGGGGTGCCCTATTTGCGCATTAGTCTGTAGTCGTGCGTTCGTACATACCTGATGTGCCGTACGGAGCAGTGGAAGCAAGATCGTGGCTGGGAAGCGCCGGGTGAAGAATCCGCAGGCCGAGATTGTCGCTACTCCGGGCCATGTCAACCCGCTGCGGCCGGGACCAGGGTCGACAAGCGCTCCTCGGCTCGAAGAAGCAGGTCTCTCGACGAGCCCAAATGTCACCGTGTGGAATACGTGCAGGGCAGGCAATAAGCGCCGATCAAGGTGCCCCACCTAGCTTGGGAAGTGGCTCGCTGCACCGTCAAGTGGGCGTGACTGGAGGAGAAGTCGCAAACTGGAAGCAGATGCAAGCAGGGATGGCGGCTGGCGAGACCACAGGAGCCTCATCTCGGTGAATGGCCGTGGCTCCGGGGCAGGTGCGATGCTGCAACGGCGGCGGCAGCGGCCGCACGATCGCTCGTTTGTCTGTACGTTTGTCTGTACGTTTGTGTGTTTCGAATGTCAAAGGGTCTCGCGGTTGTGGACGGTGGGTTGGTGGCCACGGACGGTACGGGCGGGAAAGGAGGGACAGGGAAGCTGCCGTAGGGCAAAGGGGAGGAGGAGGGGGCGTGCGACAGGTGACAGGGCGGCGCCCGGCCTTGGGCCGCTCCTCGCCTTCGCCATGACGTTTTGTGAGGAGGTACTGCCCTGGAACGGAGGTAACTTGATCCATCGAACAGCATGCTTTGGAGACAGGTCCCGTATCAGGCAGCAGCGTAGGTAGGCTTGGGAAAATTCGTTCCTGCCCCTGAAGCGTATCAATGCACCGCGTACATTATAGTGACCTTGTGCAATGCACTCGCCGTGTCGCGCGCAAAGTGGGAGGAGTCCAGTGTCGCTGAGTCGCTCCTTCTCAGAGGGGGGAGGTGCCAGGCGCGACTGCCTTCCGTCAGCCTTCCGAGTGCCAAGTCAAGGTACGAAGTACATAGGTAACTTTGCACCTAATCAAGCACGCAGGGTTCTCTTGCTCTCTTCGCTCTGTTCGGGGGCTTCATTCCTCAACTTTGGGAGCTTGGACTCAGGCTCGGCTTGGGTTCCGGATGTGAGCTTACGGGCGATACCTTTAGTGGGGGTGGGTGATGACTGTTGAGTCCCGCCGCATGGTACATGCGCACAACTAAGGTGTCTGGTCGAGCAACAGCAGGGAAAAGGTCGCTTGAGGCCCGGGCCAGCCCAGCCCAGGCCGGGCAAGGCGAGACAAGGCAGGGCAACGCCAGGCGAGGCGAGGCGAGGCAGGCGCGAACAACGGAAGGCGGGCGCGGCATCTGTGCAGCCGTCTGTTGGGCAGGAGCCGAGTGAAGAAAGCACGGGCTTGGAGCAAACGTGGCCCGAATTCTCAGTCCGACATCCAACATGGGAAGAGACACCACCACCAACGCAATGACGAGGACGGCGAGCCGAAAAAAAGATAGCCACCGAGCTTTGCCTGACCTACGGCAGATGCAAGCTGTGTCGCGTCGTTGCGGCGCCGCCAGACATGGACATCTTCTTTCTCGATTCGAACAAGCGACAAGCGACGATGGGCCGCACAGACAATGGCGCGCGCCTCTGGCTTCCAAGGTGCGGAATGCTGCGAGCAGGTACTCCGTACATGCATCGGTACTGACTGACTCTCACTCCCCCAGATTGTCCAAGCCTCCAAGGGCTCGATCGCCGCTGCTCGTTCGCTCGTTCGCTCGTTCGCTCGTTCGCTCGTTCGCGTCGTGGCCCAAAATAGGAGGCGCGTCTTCAGCTGGGGCAGCCTCCAATGCACACCCGACTGCACGCACGCGCAGTGGAGGCGCTCCGCCCGGCAAACGAGGCGTGTGAGCAACAGCAGCAATGGAGAGCAGCAACAGGCCCTGAAGGCCACCCCGGCAAGGGAGCCCCACCGCAGCCGGGTTCACCTCATCAGGGGCCGGGGGCCGGATGGGGGCGTGGTGATAGCTCCCATGATCCATCCGTGGACGGCTCCACCAATCCCCCCCGCCATCTTGCCTGTGGCTGCTGCAATCCATGGCCTCCAAGTACTGGTACTTTGGCTCCTCGACCCAGACATCACGCACGCCAGGCGCCGAGTGTGCCCACGAGATGCAACGCAGGTCCCGACACTCTGGAAAATGACGCGGAGAGTGTCCGGAGCCTTGATCCTGTTCTTTTCTCCTGCATCGACTATCGTCCAGCCCGACAAGAAAGGCGGCAGAGGCGGGAACTTTGCTCCTGCGCCAGCGCCCCGAAAACCCCAAGGACGCCGCGCCCAAGGGGGGGGGGCACGCCCTCTCCTCTGCTACCGTTGCAATGACAAGTGACCAACGCCGTTGGCCGGCTCACCTGGGCTTGTCGATTGACGGGACGAGATCCGCCCTGATGAGATTTGAGTTGGCGTTGGCCGCTCACGATGCACGTGTGCACAGCCTAACTGGGGAAGCCCCATTTTGCCGCGCCAGATGGGAGCGACAGGGAGCCGGTCCGTGTCCAAATCCAAGCCAACAGCCTGCGGCACTCTGTGAGCCTGGACAGCATGCTGACCGCAGCTTGGCGGGCCCATGTGAGAGAGATGGGTCCCCCACTCCGCATGCAAAGAAGGGAGAGAGAGGCTCAAGCTGAAGAGCTCAACTTGGTCGAGGGCTTGCTGCCTCGTGGGCTGTGGCGGCACGTCACGTCTCTACCAATCTCAAATTGCAGCTCAGCTTCGTGACGTACACTACACCACGGGGTAAGTACAAGCATTACAGTAGTCGGTGTGTATTTACGGGATTCCCCAAGTGCCGTGGAAGGCTGGTATTTCATCTCAAACGCCACCCTCATGCACACGTCTGTCGTGGCGGTCCGCACACCCCCGAGGGCCTTGTCCAATTCGAGTCATGATGGCTTGGATTTCGTACATGGACCATGTCATTGCTCTTAAAAAGAGGCCAAATACCTAGATACTTACAAGAAGAGCGCATGTCACGGACGGCTCATCCGCAGTCGCACTCGCTTGATTTCACTCGAGAGAGTAAGTATAGTCGCCCGGCCCATCACATGTCTTGCCGTTGCAGGAGGAGACTGACAGATTGATATTGGCCAACAGGGAACGTGCTCGCCGGTGAAGGAAAGAAGGGAGCAGGGCAAATCAGGCCAGAGCTTAATCAAAGACGGGGCGGGCCCTCGTTTCAACGGACGTCGACTCTGGGCGATCCATCTCCACGTCCAGCGTTGCATCGCACGCTGGTGGATACGCAACCGCACGCACTTTGCCTCGCAGGTCCTAGCTACGTTGACGACGACGACGCCACGACTACGCCCGTAATAAAATTTGGTAAATGGGTTCACCAGCGTACGGTGATGTAATATCCCGCGGAGACAGGTACGGCACCTCGTCGGCTGCATGGGCGGCTGTCCGTTGAGACTCCGCCCGGCGACCAGTAGACCTGCCCGCCCTCTTTGTGCCCCCGTATGGCACCGACACTGATTTGGCAAGCAGGCAGCATACGAGTACGGACAGTCTATGGGGAGTGTGTGGCGTACCTACACGGCGCCTCTCCAGCCTGCTGCCCTGTCTCGGAGCTCGGCTGTCGGTCGTCGAGCGCGCAAGGTTAAAGGCATCCAACGCCCAACCGGCCCCGAACTGTTGGCCCTCGGGACCGGGCGGCCCGTGCGGTCGGTTGAGTTAGCAGCCCTTCGCCCCCGAGGGGCAAGTGCAGACTATCGTGGACCGACCGAGGGGCCGCGTCACGGCGTCGTTGATCCCAGGCTAAGCCCGGCAGAAAAGGCCACCATTCAAAGCGTGATGGAAGCGAGACACGCGGGGTTGACAGGTGCCAATCCTGAACATGGATTCCGGGGGATCTAGGCGTACGAATAGACGAGCATGTACTGGGACAAGCATGGTTCGAACCCGCAAATGCCGAGCACCATCCCCAGCAAGACCTTTCGAACGAGCGAGAGCCGAACTGGGATGCCGTGGTTGTGGGGGTGCGGTCTAGGACTTCATTCAACACGGAGGGTTGATGAGTCGGCAAGCAAGTTTTAAAGTCATATGCATTAGCACCAAGAGGATATCACCAGTGGGCTTTGCGAGAACGGGAAGGGGGGTAGAAACTCCCCAGACGCTGTTCTGTGATTTGTGGTAAAGGTTCCCTCCCGTTCCCTCGAGTCTCCCCTTGATCCGTACATACACTAACCGCTCCGCACGCCGAGCGTGTCCGTCCGTCAAACGACCAGGCGCACACACCCTCACGGGACGTTCCCGAGACCGAGACGCCACCCTCCGACCTGTGATGTCTACTCTAGTGTGCGATGCGGCGATGCGGCGATACGGCGGCGAGAGCGTTTGGCCTAGTAGCTGCATCTGGGGGAGTGCGCGCCTAGACCTCCATCCCTGGGCCTGAGCGGACAATCACAGTAACTGATGGCGGGCACGCTTGTCCATCCTCCGCCCGCAGGGCCGCGGGCTGCAGTATCAGTCCTAGCATCCACGGCAAGGACTGGGCTCGGCCTGGCACACGAACGTGTCCGCTGAAACATAGCGTGTAAGTAAATACATACGTGTATTTCCGCATACACGTAAAGAGCGCAAGTAAGCATAAGGACCTGGCTGACACTGGTGCTCGGACGTGGCCGGGACCGCCCGCACGAAACAGCCCTGCTGGGCTATTGCATCATACGTCCATGAGTAGGTGTTGCTCTTTTGCATGGTACGTGCGCGGAAGTTGAATGAGCAAGAGATATTGACCGCTTGATGCAGCCTGAAGCCTCGCTCCGTCCTCATCAAAAAACGGAGAAGTACACGAACAGCATGTCACAAGGAAAACATGCGCAGGGATGTGCTTTGTACTAATCTCGAGACACGAGGAGGTAGTTTTGGTTTTCACGGCATGCCTTCATCTTACAGCGCGCAATGAACACGAACTCGAAACTACGGAGCCCGCTATGACTCTCCACACGAGGTTGTTTTCTGACGAGCGGGACAGAGTGCCGAGACAGGAAGGCATGCACGAGCACAAGGCTTTCGGATCTCCTCCGAGGGCTAAAAAAGAAAATGTCTCTTTCATAGCGTCTGGCGAAGGAGATCACTTCGGTGACCGAAACGACTAGGCTCGGCGTCTGAGGTCGATCAAGACTGCTTGTGTAGGGACTCGAGATGGAGGGCTGGCCGGCTGGCCGGCCCACGACTTCAGACAAGGTCCGCTTCGGCAAGCAGGGTCCATACACTTCGCATTTGACTTTGCCAGTCCGGCATCTCGGCGGCAGTTCCAGTTCAGCCACACCGCGGTGCAACCCATTTCAGCAAGTCAAAACTGCGTGGCAGATAATTACGGAGCAGGCTAGGGCAGTAAGCTCGACGTTGTTGCGGCCCCTCGCGATCCAATCGCAGGTTTCAGCGAGCCGAAGACTTCCTATTAGAGCCCAGCTCAGGGTGTTCGGGGCCAGCTGATCGGGGGCCGCATGCGATAAGGCTCACCATGAGTTGTTGATCTGGTCTGACACAAAAACAGAGCCGCATGAGGGGATGGGGCGTGAGCCTCACCCCGTTCCTGTGCCTGGGCCTGCGCCCCCTACTGGTGCTGCTGTCGTCGCCTTTGCTGTTTCTGGGGTTGCATTAAAGTGGCTTGACGACTTGATGACGGGGAAGGCGTTCAACTAAGCCCCAGAAGACCCGCCCCAGGCACGATCGACCGGAGCATTTTTAGCGTCAAGGATCGTCCCAAAGGAGGCATACGAAGTAACTTGACTCCGCATCGTCTGTTCGTCGACAAGACTAGCTAGCCGCGGCATGCTGCTACGTCCGTGTAGATCAATGGAGAGACATGGACAGACGGCCCGCCGGAGCCGTGCTGGCACGGCGCCGGACCTTGGGATTTGACGACCGTTGCGAGTGGCGCGAAGGTTTCGGACTGAAGGGTTGGTCCCCTGACGAGTTCGGCCGAGCGCCTCTTTCTGTCTTTGCAAGTCGCAACTGCTCGTCGTGTAGATGTCCCTCAAAGGGCACTCGCTGCCTGGCTGCTGCCGGAGCTGCAAGGGTGGGAAAGGGGGACAAGGGCAAGGGCGCCGGCGATAATGACGAGCCCCGGCGCGCTGGGCACCCGCTGTCGTGGGTGCGCAATCCGAGGTCGGATGCAGCCCCAAACCCAAAATTTCCAAACTCCAGGAGTGCGCCGAGGCTCACGTTGCGGTTCATGTCCCCCAGCGCGGGGTGTGCGCGACGAAAGCCGGCGGGCGCTGTGATGAACGCCGTGTCCGCAAGCTCTTGCGCGCGCGAGGCCATCGTGGGCCGGCTTTCCTGCCGTCTATCCGTTCAAGGCCTTTGGCGCGAAGTCTCGGGTCGTTACGCTAGTGTCACAGGCAGATATAGTAGCGTCCCCGATTTCCCCGAGCAATGTTTCAAGCTCATACATCTACGTATACATCTTTAACCCACTGCGAGTTAGCTCAAAGCGCAAGGCACACAAGGGAAGGCGCAACCTCAAGACGTTCTTTGAGGAGCGAAGCCACATCAACACCGTAACACTGCCCCAGCCTGGGTGCTCGTACACCCATTGTAAGCTGGCAAGGCAAGGCTTGACCTGACCTGACCTGGCAGGGCCCGGCAAGTGAACTTCGTTGTGACGGGATGGAGCCGACCTAACTGCGGCCGCTAGTAGTAATACAAAGCCACACACGGCCCGAGGGGCGTGTGCAAGTTGAACGCTCCCGCGTACGGACGGTAGACCGTTACTCCGCGGGCGGAGCCGACTCATTCGGCCATTTCCCGATAGAGCGTCGGGCCAGGCGACCATTCGCCCTCCCCTGGATGCACCTCACGGCGCGTACTCGTACGATGAATCATCCGTCATTGACACCGTTGCAATCGCCGGCGGCGCGACCCGCACTTCGGACGGCCGCCCGGCCCCGAGGGTCCCGTCCCGGAGCTGTGGGCCCCTTGCCGCGAATCCCGTGCCGGCGTGGAGGCGGACAACCACTGAGGCCGGACGGGACGGGGGCAAGGATGACTTGTCGGCTCCTCGCCAGTGAGAGTTGCCATGAGGATGCAAGAGCGCTGCCATGTCGCACAGCATGTGCAGCTAGGATGCGCTGCAGCAGTCCTGGCATTCGTGTTCCAATGAGCTTTGTCGCCTCTTTCCGTCCGGGGCGCGGTGCTGCCTCGCCCGGCCGAATTACGGGTGACTACTCGCTGCGCCTGTGATGGACTCTGGAGCGGCTCCTCCAGAGTCGAGGTTGTGGTCGCCATAGGTCGAAGGCGTCTGGCCCGAGCATGGTTCTCGGCGGCCGACGTTAATGTAAACAGCAACTCTGGCGAATGAGGACCTTGAGAGACGCGCTATTTGCTGGCGCATTTGCGTCTTTCGGCGGCTTTGGCTCCTGGCATGGTGGCCAAATAAAAGCAGGTGACGTCCCAATAGCTGCTCTCATCCTTAAATACCCTGTTCACCGCCCCCTTTTGAACGGATTCCTTCTTCATGACCGCGCGGTGTTGACCACTAATCGCGTATGAAGCCTTCACTGTCCATACAGCCAGCCATGTCCCCGAAGCTCTCGGTGTCGCTTCCAGATACTCCAATCTTGGAAGAGAGGATCAAAGGCAATGCAAAACGCCATGCGAAAGTCGGACGCACAGCTGACTGCTACTTTCTATAGCCAACATGCGCTTTCTGGAACCGGGAGTAGAAGTGGATGTCTTGACATTCGGCGACGGTGTTGAACCTGCCCGGGCGTGTGTCGTACGCAGGCGCTCGCCGCGCAAGGAGAAGCCGGTCGTATATCTTACCTCTAATAAAGGGGACATGCGGACGACGTTGGGGGACTTGTTGGAGCAGACGGAGAGGCTTGTGTACGAGTCTTTGGGCGGGGATCATGTAGAGGCGATTCTTGATGAAGAATGGCCTTGCTGAGGACTCCTGGACCTGTCAGATCCGTCAAGCTCAGAAGGACCTGGCTAAAGCGCCGGAGCGACTTTCGCTCAGGGAAGGAACGGCTTGCCTTCCTGCAGGAAGAGTTTGTGTGAGAAGAGAATGTCGTGCGACTGGAGCGGGCCGGGTCGGAGTAACGTTCCTTTGCTTCTGAGCAGTGAGGAAACCCCCGGTTGCGTGGTGCCTGCCGTTCTGTAGCCGCCCTTTTTTTGCAGTGTGTGAAACCCCAACTCCGCCTTTGATTGATGTGTGGGTTACAAAGGTTGTGGGCCCCGGTGCCTGCAAGATCGATGGATTCGGCCCTGGTGGAAGCCTATCTTCAGCCTTGTCAGCATGTATCGATACTTTTCTGTCGTCGGATACGAGTGGTCTCGTCGCACAGGACGAAAGGTCTCAGCCCTGGCTGGGCATACTTGCACGCCCCTGCACGAGAGACGGCACGGCGATGACACCGGCCCAGGGGGCAGTGCCGCCATCGCGATGGCTATCTGACAGACATGGAGGCACTGCGAGCGGCGGCGGCTCAAATGTCCCCGGAGGGTTTAGGCTCCCAAAGATCTCACATAGAAGAGGAGCAGCGAGTTGGCTAGCAAAGCTTCCGTACTGTTAAGCACACTTTCGTTTCTGTTACCAACTATAATTAGACGAGGTCGTACAGACTCGTGCTTATTGCCTGATCGTCATGCCGTCGCAGAGCCGCTTGAGACCTGGGGCGTACTTGTACGCATCTGTATCGTATTTGCGCGGCACATGCATGTCTGATACAATCTGCAACAGCTGAAGCTGACTGCCTGGTCGAACGAGGCGATAGGGCCGAGTACGAGTCCGCCTCGCCTTGTACGACGCCGTCGGCGATGTGGGTCGAGTGAAGGGGCGTGTGGTGTTACCACCACGCTGCCGTAGCTGGATCGGCGAATTTCAGCGGCGAAGGCCGAACCGTGGCTTTTACAGGTGCCATGGTCGCAAACTCCGCGACGGCTTCATGGCATCGCCCTGACAGCGCTGCCTGGATGTTAGTCGTGTTAGCACTGAGTTCGGAGGTGAGGTTGAGGCAATGAGGTTAGAGCGGCGTTTGGCCAATGGCCGTACAGGTGGAGCGGCCGATTAATGCACCAGCCACACACACCAGCCACGATTACGCTCAACCGTCCCGATCGCGTGTGTGGCGCCCAAAGAGGACAGCCATCATGCTCCATCGTCACAACGACCACAGTCGACGGTGTTCGCGGTCCACTTATCGAGGCGCAAAGGGTTCCTTTGCGCGTGCGCTCTTGCCGACATCTGGAGCGCAGATGGCGTTCTTTGCTGCCCCTTCGTTCTGCGCCCTGTAGCGCCCTGCCGACAGTCAGCCTCCGACTAGCGAGCCAGTCGGCGAGGCCGCTGCCACGATCGATCCCCTGGAACATTGCGCGGCGAGCGTGTGCTCGTTCGCATCACTCGAGGCACCATGGTTTGGATCGCCTTGCTGCTGCTATGCGCGCTGCAGCCATGGACGGCGGCGGCGATGCGAGCCGACTACCTGGCGCAGCTCCGCCAGGAAACGGTAGACACATTCTACCACGGCTTCAGCAACTACATGAAGCACGCCTTTCCAGAGGACGAGGTACGCATGCGAGAGACTGCCGAAAATTGTTTGGAGACATATGCTGACACGCTTGGACACTAAAGTTGCGGCCGCTCACCTGCTCCTCGTTGACGAGAGATCGCGACAACCCGGGACGGATCGAGCTCAACGACGCACTCGGGAATTACTCCCTGACCCTCATCGATAGCCTCTCGACACTCGCAATACTCGCCGGAGGGCCGCAAGACGGGAGATACACCGGACCACAGGCCCTTAGCGACTTCCAAGACGGCGTGGCGGAGTTTGTGCGGTACTACGGTGATGGGAGGACGGGCCCGTCCGGCGCGGGCGTTCGAGCGAGGGGCTTTGATCTGGACAGCAAGGTCCAGGTCTTCGAGACGGTCATTCGTGGGGTCGGCGGTCTTCTCAGTGCACACTTGTTTGCGATCGGAGAGCTGCCCATTCCGGGTTATGAAGCAAAGCCCCTGGACGGGTTCCCGACCGACGACCCGTTGGAGTTGCCGCCGATACCGTGGCCGAACGGCTTCAAGTACGACGGCCAGCTCCTGAGGCTGGCGCTCGACCTATCTCAGAGGCTTCTCCCAGCGTTTTACACCACCACAGGCATACCGTACCCGCGCGTCAACTTGCGTTCGGGGATCCCGTTTTACGTCAACTCGCCGTTGAACCAGGCGTCCGCCGACACGGCAGAACCGGAGGGCCGGCCAGAGATCACAGAGACGTGCAGCGCCGGCGCCGGCAGTCTGACGCTCGAGTTCACAGTGCTGAGTCGTCTGACTGGCGACCCGCGCTTCGAGCAGGCGGCCAAGCGGGCCTTCTGGGAGGTCTGGCGCAGGAGGAGCGAGATCGGCCTCATTGGGAATGGCATCGACGCGGAGCGCGGACTGTGGATAGGCCCTCACTCGGGTATCGGAGCCGGCATGGACAGCTTTTTCGAGTACGCGCTCAAGAGCCACATCCTGCTCTCCGGCCAAGGCATGCCCAACGCGTCGACGTCTCGACGCCACAGCACCACCGACTGGCTTGACCCAGCGTCCCTCCATGGGCCGCTCCCGCCTCAGATGCACTCCGCGGACGCGTTCCTCGAAGCCTGGCACCAGGCGCATGCGTCCGTCAAGCGCCACATCTATACCGACCGCAGCCAGTACCCCTACTACTCCAACAGCCACCGCGCAACCGGCCAGCCGTACACCATGTGGATCGACAGCCTTGGCGCCTTCTACCCGGGTCTCCTCGCTCTCGCCGGCGAGGTCGAAGAGGCCATTGAGGCGAACCTCGTCTACACGGCGCTGTGGACGCGTTACTCGGCGCTTCCAGAACGCTGGTCCATCCGCGAGAACAACGTCGAGGCCGGCATCGGCTGGTGGCCCGGTCGACCCGAGTTCATCGAGTCCACGTACCACATATACCGGGCGACGCAGGACCCGTGGTACTTGCACGTCGGCGAGATGGTCCTCAAGGACATCCGTCAGCGGTGTTACGCGCCCTGTGGGTGGGCGGGCCTGCAGGATGTGCGGACGGGCGAGCAGCAGGACCGCATGGAGAGCTTCTTCCTCGGCGAGACGACCAAGTACATGTACTTGCTGTTTGACCCGAGCCACCCCCTGAACAACCTCGATGCGGCGTACGTCTTCACCACGGAGGGGCACCCGCTTATCATACCCAAGAAGAAGAACTCGAGGCCACAGAAAGCGCCACGCGGCAACCGGAAAGACGTATCCACGTACAGCTATTACGATGAAGCGTTTACGAATTCATGCCCCGCGCCGGCAAAGCCAGACTCACTATCCGGTTCCATCACCGCCGCGCGGCCGCATCTGTTTGACGCCTCCCGGTTCACGGACCTGCACAACACGCCCAACCTCCACGGGCCTCTCGAGATGGTCCAGATAGAGGACAAGAAGAAGGGCCGCATCATCCAGCGCAGAGCCCTCTCCAATCACACGCTCTTCCCCTGGACCCTGCCGCCAAGCCTGCTGCCTCAGAACGGGACATGCGCCGCCCCGATCCCGCGCGTCATCTCGGCCATCGAGTTCCCCGCCAGCGACGCCGCGAGCTCGCTCATGTCCAAGTTTGGCGCCTCGCTGGTGTGGTACAACTACGCGGGCCCGACGGTCAAGAACCTCGAGGGCCTGCGGCTCCAGCTGGAGAGGGAACCTGGTGACGACCCGGGTGGCGACAACGTCTGGAGGATCACGCACGTCGGGAGCACGCAGCTGGGGCGCCACGAGACTGTCTTCTTCCACGCTGAGCACGTCAGTCACCTCAAGGACGAGGCGTTCACGTGCAGGCGTCGCCGCGACTCGGTCGAGATTGAGCTCCTGGTTGACGTACCGCCGCAACAGAACGCGACCATGCCCATCGTCGCGGACAGCACCGCGCCGCCTACGCAGTCGGCTTCGGACGACGACGCGCACGACGACCTCATCCCCATCCCCTCCGAGTCCCTCCTCAAGCACCTCCTGCGCGCCGTGTCGTCCGTCTTCGAGCCCTCGCACACGGACGCGCCCTCCGCCGACGAGCCCTCCGCCGCCGCCACCATCCTCTCCTTCTTCGGCCACACGGCCGTCGGCGCGGGCGCGCACCCCGTCCCCGCCCTCGCAGCCGACACCCCCATCCTCGGCTCCCCCGGCTACGACACCACCGACCCGGCCGCCAACTTCCCCTGGACGACCATCTACCTCGCGGGGCACGCCTGCGACGGGCCCCTCCCCGACGCCGCGCCCCGCGAGCACCAGCTCATCGTCATGCGCCGCGGCGGCTGCTCCTTCAGCCACAAGCTCGATAACATTCCAAGCTTCTCCCCCGCGCACGCCGCCCTCCAGCTCGTCGTCATCGTCGACGAGGGCGACGAGGGCTCCCGCCTCGACGCCGGCGTGGACAGGCCCCTTCTCACGTCGGAGCAGCGCACCCCCAAGGGCATGAAGCGCGTCCACGGCGTGCCCCTCGTGCTCGTCGGCGGGGAGCGCGGCGACTACGAGCGCTTCGGCGAGGCCGTCGCGGCAGGCATGCGCAGGAGGTACCGCATCGAGAGCCAGGGCCTGGTCATTGCCAATGCCGTCGTCATATAGCGAGAGGTGCAAGGGCCATCTGTTTGCGAGTACATATCATATGAGTCACCCTTCTGGGTGTGTGGTGCGGTACAACTGCTTCCGCCACCTGACGAATTCACGATAGAGCACACGAGGGGCAGGATATCCCATGCAGCATTCCCCTGGAGCAAGTATCCTTTAGCACATTAGCATTGGCGGAATAGAATTCAAGTCCATTTTTGCGCGCAGTCTCAACAAAAACGCAACTCATCGCCAAGGTGGTGGTTACTGCACGCTGACAAAGACCCATTGTAAGGCGAATTGTATTAGTGCTGTCCGCGAAACTTTTTTTTTTCGGATCGGCGCATCGAACAAAGTGGGGAGAAAATGCATGTGAATGTTGTATCTGCCAGCGCAGGCACCGACGTGCCTCTCTTTCCTTTCAAAGCTCCCAAAGATCCCGTCTATATACCCAAGAAGATTGTTTCTCGACTTTTTTGTATAGTGTGAAGCATCCCCCAAACGCCCGTGAGTGCAGAAAATGGATTGGTAGGTGGTGCTGGTGCATGGCGCGGCGGTGAGCAAATTTCCGAGTCCAGCCGAGGCACCGATTCGCCATTGGCGGCGCGGATGCCGCGAGAGGCAGTGTCAAGCTCTCGATATATCGTATAAGTTACATGGCGGCGATTGTATTAGTGCATTGAGCGCATGTTGGTGTAGTGAGGCCATTAAGCGTCTTCCAGCAGGATCGTGGTGGGCGCCTCGCCGAGCTTGTCGCGACCGTTGAGGCCCGGAATCTCCAAGATGAACAAGTAGCCCATGACTTGGCCCTTGAGCTGGGCGACGAGATCGGCCGCAGCCTTGGCAGAGCCACCTGTGCGAGCAGACGTGTCAGCTGTTGTGTATCATCGCATGGCGATGGGGGAACCCGGGCTAAGGACGCGGAACATACCCGTAGCAATGATGTCGTCGACGACGAGGACCTTCTGCCCCTCGCGGATGGCGTCCTCCTGCATCTGGAAGAGGTCCTTGCCATACTCCTTGACGTACTCGGCGGTAACGCAAGGTCCAGGCAGCTTGCCCTGCTTGCGAACGGCGGCAAAGGGGACGCCGAGACGCAGGGCGAGGCCGGGTCCGAAGAGGAAACCGCGGGCATCGAGGCCGACGATGACGTCGGGCTTGGCCTGGGCAAAAGTCTGGGCGATCTGGAGCTCGAGGGCAGAGACGAGGGTGGCGTGGGCATCAGGGTTGGCGAAGAGGGGCATGATGTCGACGAAGTCGATGCCGGGGATCGGGAAGTCGGGGAACTGGCGGAGAGACTTGCGCAGGCTTATCTTTGCACTGGCGAGTTCGGCGGCGGCGGAGGCGGCGGAGGAGGGCTGTCGTCCCGAGGCATCTTGGGCGGCTGTAGCGGTGGTTGCTGGCAGGGTTGAGGAGGACGACGACTCTGGGGCTGCGTGGTCGGGTGGCAGCGCGGTCATTGTGAGGAGGGGAAGGGAAGGGGGGAAGAGAGGGAGGAAAGGAAAAGGAGAGGAGCGAGTGAAGGGGGGCTGGCGAGAGAGAGAGACACGGACAGGCGGGCGGTGGGAGACGAAACAGAGGAAACGAGAGGGAGAAGACAGGAGGAGGAGGAGGGTGAAAGGTGGTGGTGTGTGATTTTTCGCGGCTGGGATGCTAAGGCCGCCGCCAGCGACGTGAGCAAGCCAGGCCGGGACAGGCCAGGACAGGGCCGCCGAAGAGGGGAGGGGGAGGGGCGGCGCCGGCGGGGGGGGCTGTGGCCGCAGCAGCGCCTGGGCTGGGCGGGTTGCTAAGGTAGGTAGGCGCCCCTTGAAGCTCTGCGCTGGCGGTTCATGTTCCCGCTAGCTGAGCAGAGTAAGGCAGGGTACCTCAGCTACCTGCGGTGAACGGGAAGGCTGCATGCCGCCCAGTGTGTGCGCCAGCGCACTCCAGCTCCGGCGGCGCGCAGCGGGCGACGGCGACGGGAGGGCACCTCAGGACAGGGCAACCTACCGAAGGCCGCCTGCCAGCGACCACCTCAGTTGGGGAGAGGTGGTGGTGAGGTGGTGCAGGAGGGGTAGCCCAGGAAGCCCAGGTAGGGGTGGGGGAGGGGCTGCCGTTGAGCGCGATACGCTGAGGCGCGCTGCAAGCCGAGCGGTGCACCGCAAGGTCAGCGCCAGGGCAGCAAACGTCGGGTAGGTGGGAGGGGTGGTGGTGATGGGGGGATCGGAGGGGTACCTGCCCGGCGGGACTGGCTGACCGGAACCTGAGGTGAGGTGGAAGGCACGGATCGAGGGGCATGGCGTCGTGAGCGGGCAGGTACAGTGGGTGTACCTGAGCCAGCCAGGCAGGCACGCAGGGAGTGCCTTCCCTCCGTCCAGGCACAAACGGAAGTGGGGGAGAAAGAACCTGGAAGGCACGGAGGCGGCATGAGACGCAGAAAGAAAAAAATCCATCCATGAATCTTCTTCACGGCGATACAACGCGCCGCGAGCCTCCGTCGCGGGGTAAGCAGGTACCTCGCCTTGCATTGCGCAAAGTCGGTGTGTCGTGAGGCACTTGGACGGGGTTCATCCATGGTCCCCCAGCGCTTTACCTTTTTGCTCTTTGCCCCTGCTCCTCCTCGACTCGACGGCTGCCTGCCCTGCCCAGACGAATGCGATGCCGTCGACCGCCCGTTTATCTCACTTATACTACCCTGTGCCGTCTGCATTTGCCATTGTGCATCCAGCTCCTCCGTGCCGAGCACAGTCGCAAGTCGGGGCTCGATACGCTCGTATTCTTCAGCCGTATCCCGCCCACCATGCCCTGCGCTCGCGGCCCTGCGGCCGTCGTCCCGCCGTCGATATCACGTCAACCTGGCACTGAAGTCGCGGCATGGTGGGGAAGCCGCGCGCACCGCACGGCGCCGACGTGGGCACCCACCGATGGGCCAGCCAAGCCCCGGGCGAGATGGATGTCGTGAGCAAATGGCGAGGCGTCGCGGACGCAGGTGGAGGGCATGGTGGCGGGTGGATGGGCGGCCGGCGTGCACGAACCACGTCTGAGAAACTGGCGGTAAGCACGCAGGCCATGCCATGCCTTGCCATGCCTTGCCATGCCACGCCTCCAGATCGCAGTCCGCCCATGCCTCTGAGCACGACATGGATGAGCCATGTCTGGCCATGATTCCCCCATCTGGCTGAAGTGCTCAATGCTTCGAAGCTCCAGCCGATGAGGCGTGCATTGGCTAATCGCTTGCCATAACACATCACCATCGCCTCATCCTTCGCATGCGACGCCGACTGCCAGTATCCCATTCGCCTGCGTCGGGCTGCCTGCCACCGACTACAGGCTACAAGCGGCAGGCCCAAGGCTACTTCTTCACCCACCCCACCCCGTGGAGCAGCATGTCGTGCGTCTTGCTCACAACTGATGGCGTGAGAAGGCCTGCTGCAAGCCACCAGAGAACCAGAGCCCTTCGACAGCACGGCCCCGTGCCACCAAGCACAGGAGCTCGCCGTGCAACCGTCACGAAACGCATCTCGTGGCGGTCCGTATGCTGTGTTAGCCAAGGAACCCATCCATGGCTAGCGACGGACTGTTGGCCGACAATGTCGACGCGGCGACGGCGGCGGCGCGCATCCCCGTTGCGTTGCTCCCCTGATCTGCACGCCGACGAGGCATTTGGACGACGGGATGCAAAGTTAACTGCTACCTAGCTCCCGAACAGAGGGACCACCGCGGGTCCTGCCGACAGGCCCCCGGCCGCGACGTCCATCACACATCCGTCACATCCATCCATCGCGCACATCCCAGCTCCGGCTTCCCTGATTCTCGTCTACCGGCCTGACGTGTCGGCGGCCGGGCCCACCATCCGCGCCCCTTGGCCTGCGTCGTACGGCAGAACCTGTGGCATAGCACTGGGAACTTTTTTTCCTTCCCTGTGCCGCCAACTGGTTTCTGTCCGGCCCGCACTCTTCGTTGTTGTTATGCGGGCTCCGAACCTTGATGACCGGCGCCTTTGTTCCGTGCTGGCGATTCCACATTGCATAGTTCGTACCCGTGCGAATCCCCTCGTGTGTACCGAATTGGCAAAATCCCCGGCGGGTATTCGAACCCCGAGTCTTATCAGTCCACAAAATCGGGCGTTGAGAAGGCTGCCGCCGGCCAATGGCCCCATCGCACGCATTGAGCAGCTCAGCGTCTAGTTGTCAGAAACTACTGAACAGTCTGGCCGATAACATCCAGTGCAATGCCCGTCCTCTTCCTCGCGCCCACACACACACACCAGAGTGTGAGTCACATCGTCGAGTTGCAGTCTGAGGCAGATAACATTGCGGCAGCCCATGCACGATTCATCGGCTCGCTGGGTTCAACGGCTCAACGGCCTCTTCTCTGGTGTAGCACAATCGCCCCGCATACGCTTCCTGGCCGGCCTTCCATGTCCCCGCTACGGTGCCCACATACCGACTACCTATGACTGTACCGTCCAGATGCGAAGGCCCCCACTCACAGAGGTTGTAACAGACCTCAGTCGCGCTGCCTTGTTCAAATCAGCAATTTATTCTCGGCACCTGTCTCATCCGATCCGAGCTTCCGGGTCAGGTAACGTACGCACTGTATGTGCTACTTGACGGTGCTCACCTCACCCACTGCACCGTATCATGCACCTCTTAACGCGGCTCGCGCGAGGCATCCATGGCGGGTGTATCGCTGCTACAGGAGGAAACGCTCTTCATTCTCCTCCATATCTACTGCCACTTAGATACTTCCCCAACTCTGTATAATGCTGCCGCAACCTTTACACGTTGCCTTGTGGTGGCGATCGCCAAACCCCCCTGTTTAGTCTTCGGGTCGTGGCACATCGCACATTTGCGCGTGGACATCGGCGACATCGATCGATACCCCGGCGATTCGCCGCACGGGCAAGCCTCAATGCCGTCTTTCCTCGATCGGCGGGCTGCCGTGCTCCTCGCCCGTCCGGGGCTCCATGCACGAACACCTTCACCGACCGCACGGCGCCGCACCAACCGGGTTCCTGGGATTGGCACCAGCAAGCATGCCGCGTCTTGGTGGCCACCACCAACTCGTCAGTCGTACCCGGGGGGGGGCGTGCGGCCGACACGCGTGCTATTGTTAGCCCAACCCTTTCCCCCATTCCTCCGAAGGCCAAGCTTTCCTGTCCTACGTGATTAGCCCATCGCGCGTTGTGAGGCTGCCTTGTTCCCCCTCATCCCGGGGCGCGTGGTTCGCGGCTCCCGGCGGGGAGGGTGGTTGGACACGGGGCCTGTGAGCCCCCGGGAGGTGGGAGGCGAGATTGCGCAGGCGGCAGGCGGCCGTTGTCGAAACGGGTAGGTCGGTGAGCGCGTTGGGTTGAGCTGTCACAGTCACAGAGGCGGCTGAGTGAGGATGCTCAGTGCGAAGCAAGTCGGACCACATGGCTGGGCGCGTGCATGCATGCATGAGTGAGTCGAGTCCAACGTGGTGTGGTAGTGGTGGTGGTAGTTGCAGCAGGAAGATAAAACGAAGCTCTATTTGTGTGGGCAATGGCGCCCAAATCCGCGACAATGGGGGATGGATATCTAATGCCCGAAACTGCCAGATGCACGCTTTCTCTGCAAACAACGGAATGACACTATCGGGGTATCGGAGTCTCATCAAAAACAGGAAAACAACATGGCAGGAAAGACAACGAAAACTGAAACAGGGCGGCCTAGCGGGTCGCTGCATCCTAGAGTGGACTCGCTCCCGGCAGGCATCTCGTCTACGCCCTTGCTCGACGACATGTATCGTATGGCGATGCATCTCTTCCCCCTTACTGGTGAAACTGCAGCCGGATGATGGAAAAGAGCATGTTCTGCAAAACGTGCAGCATGACCGTCACGCACGTGGGTAGCAGCTCCGGCCACACGGCCAAGTCGAGCCTGCCCTCGAGCCCGACGTCGACGCCGAAGAAGACGCGGATGAGGCCCCTGACGGCGAGGCTGGCCACCAGCTCGCACCCCCACGTAACAAGAGAGAACTTGAGGGTGAGGGCGAAGTTGTAGGGCCCGTCGTCCTGGTCAAAGGAGAAGTAGGGGTAGACGCGCTTGTTGGCGCCAAAGTGCAGGACGAGGATGCTGCCCACAAATGTGGCCATGGAGGCGTTCTCGGCGAGGAAGCGGATGAAGACGTTGCGCGTCTGGAGCTTCTGGTAGGAGCCGTAGCTCTGCGTGTTGAGGCCCAGGACGGTGAGGGCGCGGTGGAAGAGCCGCGTCATCATGATGGGCGTGACGACGACGAGGCCCGTCGAGGAGAGGACCTGCAGGGTGATGAACTGTGACGGGGTGCGGAGGCGCGCGTACAGAGCGCGCACATATGTCTGATAGGTGAGCATAAAGTACCTGGAGGGTGGAAGACGACGTTAGCAGCGGCTAGGCAAGGTAACTTTTTCATGCAGGGCCGGGTCCCAAACAGCCTCATCCGCATGTGCGGCGCGGGAAGCAAGGATCAAGGGGTGAGTGGGTGAGTGAGTGAGGGGAGGGGGGTCCCGGCTTACAGCTTAAACACCCAACTCAGGGGGTAGCTCCCGACGCGCTCGCCCTCGCGGATCCCGAGCACCCATCCGGTCAGGGCGTCGAGCAGGTGCACGGTGATGACCCAGCCGTAGACGTAGACGACGGTCTCGAGGTTGTTGTGCGGCAGGGTGCGGAGGTAGATCTCGGCGTAGGCCTCGCCGATGACGTACGCCATGAGGCCGACGAAGAGGGCGACGCAGAACCAGAGGAAGCGGACGAAGCTGGCGGGCAGCCAGCGGCGGCGGATGGCGACGCGCTGCGGGCGCCGGCGGGGGGTCGGCGCGGCGACGTGCAGCAGGGAGGCGGCGGCGTCGGGCTCGAGAAAGGCGTCGGCGGTGACGGCGGCGGCGTCGGGGGAGGAGACGGACTGGTAGCCGCCGCCGCCGCGTCCGCCGCGGGAGAACGGCGCCGCGCCGCGCGGCAGGGTGTCGGGCTCGCCGGTCCACCACGAGGTGGTGAAGATGCGCTGCGTCTCGGAGAGGGAGTGGCGCAGGCCGATGTGGCGCTCGTTGGTGGTGAGGATGATGAAGGCGATGGCGACGGGCATGGCCATGATGATGAAGGTCCACGAGATCCAGGCGGTGTTGTGGACGGTGAGGAAGCGCGTCTCGGGGATGAAGAAGACGGGGATGGGGGCCGCGATGGAGAGCACGGCGATGAGCGACACGGTGAGCGGGAAGCCGAGCGACTGCGGCCACCTGGTCGAGGAGATGTCAGAACGAGGTTTTCTTCTCCGTTCACATATACAGCCTCTTCGCTTATAGGGGGACGATAAGGGGTATGAGAGGCGGCTCACCAGTTGAGGCTGTAGAGATTAAACACCTTGGTGATCCATATCAAGGCCGTGATGTTGTAGAAGCCGTAGTAGACAAAGAGGAAGAACCAAAAGTTGACCTGCACCTCGGCCTCGCCGTGGCCTGGCGCCTTGTGGCCGTCCTCGGTGCCGTCGGGGTCGTCGTTGTAGTCGGGCAAGGGATACTGCGGGAACGGGACCGAGCACCAGGCCACGGCCTGCATTTCCCACCAGCGTCAGCATGAAATCGCAATGAAGCTTCTACGGAGGGGGGGGGAAGTGGTCGGACACGCACCAGCAACGCCGGCAGAAACACCAGCAGCCCATACCGACTCCACCACCGCTCAACCACCCTCCTCACCGCCGTCTGCCGCGGGTCTATCCACAAGTCGACGACGTAGGCCTGCCACAGGCGCTGCGTTACAGAGCGGTCGTCGTCGAACCCCCCGTTGCCGCCATTGCCATCGTCGTCATCGTCATCGTCCGCGGCCGCGGCCTCGGCCTCGAGCTGGGCGGCCAGCAGCGCGCCGTACCCGACGTGCACGCTGCCGCGCCCGTCGCCGACCCGGTCCGCCAGCAGGCCGAGCTGGCTGTGGCGGCGGTGCCGCTGATCCAAGCCCGGGCGCGGGGGCACGGCGCGGAAGCGGCCCAGCAGCGGGGAGGAGGCGTCGGCGGGACGGAAGCGCGTCTCGGAGCCTTGCGTGAACTGGAAGAAGCTCGGCATCGCGGCGGATGGAGGCAGAGAGGCAGAGCAGCGGAGGACGGGTGGGTGTGGCCGTCGGCTCCTGCGAAGGCCTGGACCGGCGCGCCCCGGGGCGCGAGACGTGATGGTCTCTCGCACTCCCTTTGGTCGGTGCTCGGGAGGGCTTGTCGTTTCGGGCGCGATGGGGTGTTGAGCTGCGTCTGCGTTTACATTCCAGGGGCGTCTGTGTCCCGTCGCTGAAGAGTCGACGATGCGTACAGTAACAGATAATCTGACGGGATGCGGTCGCTTCTTCAGATGATGGGTCTCTGTCCCTAATGTTTCGTTTTGCGGAAGGGCCGGAAGCTGTTTTGTTGTCTGTCGGTGAGAGGTGAGGTTCAGGCACGGATGGAGCTCCAACTCATGCACGGGGGGTGGTTCAGGCTGCTTTGTCGCCTGATGCCATCAGTCAGTCGCCGTTAGCGCGCGCGCGCCGGGGCAGGGCAGAATGACGCGCGAGCCGCTGGGCTGGGGGCTGCTGGGAACGGGGACCCTGCAGGCGGTGAGCTAGACGGGACTGGAGGAGCGGCGGACTGGCCGGCCCGGCAGGTGGTGTGGATGGATCCTATGGATGGATGGACGGAACGGTCTGCAGCTGGAGGACCTTGGGGCTCCCTCAGGGCAGCGCTGGGAAAGCTCTGGGAGAGGCTGCGCTAGCGGGGGGGATGGCCCGCTCTTGAAGCCACTGCTGTTTGGGGCTGGGGCACTGCCAAGCACCTAACCTGGGCGTCTTTACTAAAGGTACCTGTGACTTTTGTGGCCTCGTGGGACGGGCCGTCTGGGACAAGCTTTGGAGCATCTATCCACTGGCCGGCCAGCGTAGTGATCCGGACGGAGGATAGATAGGTAAGGTATTTGGGGCTGCACGCGGGAAGGGTATCAGGTAATGGAGCATCGGACGCTTTGTGAGCGTCTTGTTACTGAATGGAAAGTGAGCAGAAACGGCATTCGAGCGCCGAAACGCATGAGCGTGTGAATAAGATGCGACCTGCGAACCCGAATGTTGTACATTTTCACCCGCGGCCTCAGGTACTATTGCTCCATCGCCATCTATAATACATCTCTACACGGCGTCTTATCGCCAACCTACTCCGGGGGAATCATATCATCATTGTCGCAACCACGCCATACGCCTCCCCCACTTGCCCTCCTCGTCCTCCCCATCCGTCTCCGAGGACTCCTGCAGCACATCCAACCCCTCCTCATCCTCATCCTCTTCGTCCTCGTCCTCGTCCTCGTCCTGCTCCGTCAGCCCGCCCGTGACGTCGTCGGAAAAGGCCACCACCTTGGCCGCCCCTCCGCTCACCTTGCGCCGCGCCGTCGGCCCCGCCGCCGGCTCCAGCACGTCGCCGCTCCAGGGCCGGCACTCCTTGACGTGCTCGCCGCACCGCAGGCACGTCCAGCCCTCGCCCTCCTCGCGCTCCAGCCGCGTCGCCAGGCACACGAAGCAGTACACGCAGCCGCACGGTATCGTCTCGTACGGGTTCGTCACGTCCGTCTGCGCGCTGCCGATCACGCCGCCCGACGAGGCCGCCGCCGCGAGAACCTCCGTCTCTGTCGTTGCTGCGTCGTTTTGGTCTTGGTAGCAGATGGCGCATGTCCGCTCTGGCAGGAAGGCGTACTCGCCGCGCGCCGCCGCATCACTCCCGTCTCCGGATGTCGGGCCTGTATGGATGATTTCTTTGGTTTTGCGCCACGTCCGGCTTAGCCAGCGCCGCCACCGGTTGATGCCAATGAGCGGCAGCACGAAGAGCAGAAACTCGGTGAAGGCGTGCCACACCAGCTGTCGGTTGAGGTACTCGAACGACACCTCGCGGCTGACCTGGCTCGTGGGTGCCGCTAGCCGCATCCGCAGGATTCGGTCTAGCAGTGTACGGTACCGGCCGCGCAGGAGGAAGACGAGGAACGAGGCAAACGCTGCTGCCGAGTGCACCGTCGACAGGCGCGACGTCCAGCGCGAGAGGAGGCGCACCCGCGCGCTGGGCTGGCTGTGGCCGTCGTCCTGCTCCAGCAGCCAGTCCTCCCAGCGGGTCCAGGCGTACTTGCCAAAGACGGTGACGAGGCCGTAGAGGCTCTTTTGGGCGCGCGACGGCGGCACAAGGACAGGCCCGGCCCGGCGCGCGTCCGTGTACTTGAGGTTCTGCAGGGCGGCGCCGTAGGTAGCGTCGTGGTCCCAGACGGTGAGCTTGAAAAGCACGGCGCGCAGGGCCAGCATGATCTCGGCGGACCAGTCGTCGTGCAGGTGGCCGCCGGCGAAGTAGCGCAGCGCGTCGCCGACCTGGCCGCGCAGCAGGTCGACGAGCTCCTCGTCGAGCAGCTCGGCGTCGACCTGGGCGACGCGGAACGCCGGGCGCGTGCCCTCGCGCGACGAGGCGGCACCCACGGCATCGGCGAGCCTGTTGAAGGGGAAGGGCAGCCGCTGCAGCTGCTGCGCGGCGCGCGACGACTCGCGTTGCGCGGCGAGCCGGGCGGCGGCCTGGGCCTCGCGGGCCTGCCGGCGGGCGGCGACGCGCTGCTGCGCCTGGAGGAAGCTCGAGTCGGTCATTGGCGTTGTTGCGTCATCGGGGAGTCGGAGCTGCTGTGTGTGGTGTGCGCGAGGGAGGACGGGGGAGTCGTCGATACTCGCGTGTATGAAAGAGAGGGAGCCTGGGCGAGGAGGGCCGATCGGTTCCCCTTTGCACCGCAGGGTGGGATGGACGGGCGTTTGATGGAAGCTGTAAAGTCGATTGACCAGAGGTACGGATGTTGGATGGATGGAGGTTGCACCGCCGAGCTGGGGCGGTCCGATCACAAGCCGAGGCTGCTGTCGGGGCCCGCGGCTGGCAAATGCGGGTGGAGTGCCGGAGGCGGCGGGCCCCGCCACGCCACTGCAGCGCGTCCCCAGAATTCAACATCAGACCCGACACATCACCACCGCCGACGACCGGCTTTCGGCTGTCACTGCCAGAGGCGGCGCATGTGGCAGCAGCCGTCGCCCAGAAGAACGCCAAGCACGCCCATCCACCCCACAACCGTATTCAGATATCATGTATGTCTTGAACGCCAACGCCATCATGCTCTATGTAATTGTGTGTCTATCTTCTAAGCAGGCTGAAACGGCGATGCCTCATTCTTTCGAGTTACCGCTCGTCCAAGCCAGGCCGCGAATGGCCATATCCAAATCTTGTAGCAGTATAGTCTGATGATGATGGCTCTCTCTCGTAACAAGCAATGCGCCCGGATCCACCCAAGTCGCACGCATATCTTCCCACGCCCTCTACCTATCTCTCCCCAGGCGCTCTTCGTCGTCGCGGATCAATTCGTACGCTGGCCGGAAGGACTTTGTGTCGCCGTCGAGCGCCAGCGCCGGGTTCGGGCGCGTGTTCTTGGTGCCGCCCAGTGACGTGAATCCTTGGTTGTATAGGCTGCAGAATGGTATGTCCAGGCGTCGGATGAACTGCCACGTCAGCGCGTCAGCAAGTGGCCACTTAATTCTACACGACGGGCAGGCCGCTTACCGTCCAGATCTCGGTATAATGCCAGTCCAGCACCGGGTTCACGCGCATAAACTGCGGCCAGTCGCCGTCGGTCGGGCTAAAGGGCGTGAGGAACTCGCTGTGCGGGTCCGTCCGCCGCGTGCCCATGAAGATGGCCCGCACCGGCGGCTGGTCTCGCTGGTAGGCCTCGAGGGCCTGGCGCATGGGCAGGGCGTATCTCGTCAAGTCCAGGTGATACTGCGCCGTCGATATGGACACAAAGTCCTCCACCTCGGGGAACGGATCCGGAGGCGCAATGTATATGGCTTTCAGAGGTTGTATCGAGGGCGGGGAGCCGTTCTCGGACGGGTGTGCTGACTGTTTCGGGGGGATGTGGGAGGTGGCGGCCGGGAGGCAGGCGAGGATGAGGATGAGCAGGACCAGGCAGTCCTTGCCGCCATTGTACGACAGAGAGAGCTCGTCGGGTCTTGCGACGTCGTCAGCAGGCGATCTTGCATTGATCCGGGGGGCACACCGAGGTACTTACCCGTAGCGATGCAACGCCTCCTCAATAACCACCATAGACTCGCGCGCCCGCGCCTGCGTGCTGCGCAACACCTTGTCGTCGGTCTCGCCGTCGAGAAACGCGAGGACCTTGCGGCGCAGGGTGTGGCACACGTCGGGCAGGACGCGAGGCGCTCGGGGCGGCGCATCGGCATTGGCGTCGGCGGGGGTCGCGACGTGCGGTACCTTTGCCGTGGTGCCGTTCGTCACCGGCGGGTGCGAGTGTTGTGTCATCTTCGCCAGTCGTCGTAGGGGCAGGGCGCAGCGCAGCGCAAAGCACGGTCGAAGATAGGGTCAGTCGGGCTGCGCGCGTGGGACCGGGCCGTAGAGGGAGGATAAGGATGGTGACGGCTGAGGAGTAGGAGGAGGAGGAGGAGGAGCGTCAAGGTAAGGCAGAGTTGGGGGGGAGGGACGGCGGCGGAACGTTATGGAACGCGGGACCGACCACGGGGCCGCCGCGCTCGGGCGGGGCTCACGGCAGAAGCGCTGCGGTTCCAGCTTCCGTCAGTGGCCCAGGTCGGGGGGTTCGGGCTGTCTCTTATACACATCTGGCGGGGCTCACGGCAGAAGCGCTGCGGTTCCAGCTTCCGTCAGTGGCCCAGGTCGGGGGGTTCGGGTGCGCTGTTGGTTCGCCAGTGGGTGGGGTTCAGGGATCCATGGATGGAATTTCGTGGGGACAGGTCAGCCAGACTGACCGACGGACGGACCCCTCTTCCGCTGTGGCGGACGGGACACTGACACGCCGGCCCTGCCACCATCAGCCGAGGCACAGCGTACAGGCGGCCAACCGCGCTGGGGCGGGCACCCGTCCCGTCCTTTGGAGGCCATGGAGGCCGGGGATCTTGTCCAGCGTCGGCAGGTGTTGGCTGGGCCTGCCCTATGGCATCTGGGCAGGCTGCACGTCGGGATGTCCCCCGCCGGAGGATCGCTGGCAGCACAACCATCCCGAAGCCCAAGCCCCCCAGACTGTTCTAGCGGCACCAGCACTCGTCCGTCCCGACTCCCGACTGCACCCTCGCCACGTTTCTCGGACATCGCCAAGCCACGCCCCCAGAAGGTCCGCTCCACGTGATGGCGAGACATGACGACGCCCGAGTCGAGTCCCGATCCCACTTGGGGCGCCGAGACATGACACGACGTAAGTCTACTGTTTAAGGCGGCGCGCGGCGAATGAAGTTGGAGGGCGCACGCAGGCTCTCTCCCTATCGTGTACCGACGACGTAATCATGCGACGTTGTTAAACATGTACTGACAACGCTTCCTTTTGAACATGCATGCAACGAGAATCGTTATACAACTTAATTACAACGTCGGCCGTACAGACGCCCCATGCTCTTATCCTTCAGCCCTCCACCACGCCCTCCATCGGCGTCGCTGGCGACGGCCCTTCTATCTGGTGCTGCGTCACCGGCCCACCCACAGCTGCGAGACCCATGGTGAAGACTTGCTCGACTGGCGACACGATCAGCCTCATTTTGTCAAGGAAAATAAATACCGGAGTAGGACCCACTCTTGCTGTCCGAGAAGAAGAGGTGCGAGAAGCCGCGTGGGCACTGCTTGACGACGCGCTTGCCCGCCGAGTTCATGTACACCTCGAACGACAGCGCGCTGTAGTCGGCCGTGTTGCGCGTCGCCAGCGTCTGGAAGAAGTCCTTTGTTACTGCGGGTGTCAGTCTATCTCGCGTGGCAATTCAAGTGTAATCAAGTCACGTACGTTCTTGGCTGAGGACCGAGTAGCCCGTCTTGCTCCGCACGACGAGCCGGAAGCGCTCCGTCTTGGCCTTTTGCAGGATCATGATGTCGGCGTCGGTGATGTGCATGCGCTCCGTGTGCACGTCCTGTGCCTGCCTGTGAGCCAAGTCAGCAGCAGGCCCTTTCAAGTCATGGAAGTACATCAAGTGACGGCGGGACACGCACAGCTTCACGAGCACCTTTTCGTCGTCGCGCGGATACTGCAGGTCAATGACAAAGAGGTCCATGCGGATGGCCTCCAGCTCCTTGAACCAGTCATAGGCAGCTATGCGGCTGCGTTAGCATAGGTCTCAGCGAGAAGGGGTTCTGCAACTCATGGTACCGTCGGCGGACGCAAACTCCAACGTTATCGTCGCCGTCGCCGTCGCGCCCGGCGTGTCGGAAGCGTCGTAGCCCGTGCACTCGACGTTCTTGATGAACAAGACGTCCTCGCCCCTCTTGTGCTGAACTTCAGACTGGCTGTATACTGCGCTTCATCAGCCTTTGGTCCCGCCCCCGCAGCATGCAGAGCACGTACGCTGGAGAATCGTTCGCGCAAGGTTGTCGGCTGGTGCCACCTTGGCGTCGGGGTCGGGCTTCCCGTACGTAATGATGATCTCGGCCTTGCGGTGCTCCTCAAACGCGCTCTGTGGCAGGATGGCCTCTTCCAGTATGCGGCTGAGCTCGATGGACTTGTAGTGCAGGATTTGCACAAAGTCAATGTTGTCGCGCGTGTAGGTGACGTTGCCTGAGGAGAACTTTACGGACGAGATGGACTTGTGCAGTGTCGTCGCGTTGCTTTTGCGGCGTCAGATCAAAGGTCCTGCCAATTTTGTTTTCAGGCGCCGCGAACACTCACCTCACCAGGTCCAGGATATTGGCCTTGGGGTTCTCTGCGTTCATGTCAGAGGGGTGTGCGAGCATGGTGCTCATGTTGCGCTGGAGCATCTGCCGCGTCTGGAGGACGCTGAGGCCGTGTATCAGCAGCTCCTCAAAGTCGTGCATGACTGAGAAAAGAGATCAGAAAGTCTGTAGGCTGAGCAATGAATGGTCCTGCTCGAATTACCTTCAGGAGGTACGCTCTTCACAATCAGCGATGTAAGTTGGTCCGTCACTCTGTTGGAGACCTTGTAGAGCAGCCACGAGCGCTCGGCGCCTGCGATCCTTGCCGCAAAGCTGAGAGGAGACACTGAGCCTGCGTTAGACAATGTACAGTGGGTGAAGCGCGGCATTCACTTACAACCATACGCCTCCACGGCAGAGCGATGCGCATCGTCTCCCGAGTTCGGGCAGCCGCAGTTGAAGAGCTGGTTGTTCCGTAGCGACGAGCTGTAGTACGCGCCAGAGACCTTTTGGCTCAACGACGCTTTGGGACACAGCTCTTTGGACTTTTGTCCCGTCTGCTCGTGGAGCTCGAAATACAGGGGCTTGGGAGGCGCCACTGCATAGCCCTCATCGGCCGCGCCGGCATTCGGCGCAGCCGCACCTGGCGTAGCGACAGCTCCGAATGTGGCAGTCGCGTTTAAGCCAAATGTCGGCGCATTCGCGACACCGCCTACGACGCCTGGGGCCCCAGGTCTCCCCTTGAGGTTTTCGACGTACCATTCGTGTATGTCGCCGAGCATGGTCGAAATGTGGTCCATGTCGGTCTGCAGGCGGTCCGCCTGGGAACTGAGCCCGTGTTAGTCGACTTATACGGATGCGGGGACTCCAGCGCGGGTCAAGACGAAACCTACTTGACGACCACTCCCAGAATGAGACTCAGGCTGTTTGTCTGGATTGTAAGGTTGCTCCTGAGCGTATTGAGGTCGCCGCCCTCAGTCGTCCATTGCACCTTGCGCCAGTTGGCCAGCAGGTCCTTGCTCCAGCGCTTCATGCGCGTCTGGCCGGCGTCGGTGGGCGCCGTGATGACGCTGTACTTCTTGACGATGCCGTCGAGGTGGGTGAGCGTCTCGTTGCAGCTGGCCAGCATGCCGAGGATGATGTCCTGGTTGTCGGAGAAGTGGGCGGGCACGTTGCCGGGCAGCTGGGTGCGGTCGACGATGAGGGGCGCGGCGTTGTCGTTGGAGCGCCGCGCGTTGGAGAAGGCGTTGAGGGCGGCGCTCAGCGAGTACAGCTGGGACTCGACCTCGCGGAACTCGGCCGGGGCCGACTTCTTGCCCTTTGTGAAGGCCTGGCCGATGCGGAAGGCGATCTTGGCCATGGTGTAGGCATCGCCAAAGGAGACGGCGAAGACCATCGTGACGACTGGCTGCCGGGCTCTTGCTAATCCTGGGCACTCGATAAGACTCAGATCTGGTGAGCTGGGTCGCAGATGCTATGTGGTGTCGCGCTGGGAGACAGCCAGATGAAGCTGTTTCCCTTCGTCGTGATGTGATGTTGCGTGGTGGTGATGCCGGACGTCACCCACTTACAAGGCGCTTCGCTGGGCGGAGCCAAGGCGTTCGCGGAAAAAGAAACATGTCCTGCATAGCCTCCCGGCACCAGCAGGCAAGTGAGACATATCGCGCACATGGGGGCTGTGCGGCTGTCGTGCGTGCATCAGGCGGCCGTCGACTATCAGAGGCGAGGCGAACGCCTGGGAAGCACTAGGGACGTCGCTGGTCGATAGCGTCCCGCCCGAGACTCTGCACCTGACATGCCCAACCCTCGTCGACTCGCCGCGACCCTGGACCCCGCGGCGCGCAACCATCGACGCCCTATCGACGCTCGCCTGGAACCCCGATGCCGGCACAGACGACCCCTCGTCAATCTGGAATTAAGCCGTGTGTCCCGGTCCAGCCCAGCTCCCGTGGCAGGGCAGGACTCTGCGGCATGGCGCACCGCATGATTGGCGAGCATCGCGACAGCCCCCCCCCCCCTGCGCGCGTCCGTCACCGAAGCTGGGGGCGGAGTCCTGCGTGCCGCTGATCTCGGGCTGGGGCTGAACCTGAGGAGGAGGTGGGTGACGATGATGCCGCCAGGATGAGACCCTGGCTGTTTGCCTTGCGGGCGCCTGGCTCGCATCGCCCACTTGCCGCCTTCAGCCGCCACATCGCACCCAAGGACCAAGACTCTGGGACGCAATGCACGTCGGTCTCGACTCGGACGTGTGGGACGGGATGGGATGGGGCGTTGCGTCGATGATACAAAAGGACGACTACAGGCAGGCGCCCACCGTCCGCCCGACCCCAGGTTCACCACCCTGAGGTTTCGCACAGCGGTGTCTCTCTCGCTCCTTCTTAGCAGTTGCAAGTCAGTATACGAGACTTGTGCAGCGACGACGCCGCGCGTGCGGGCCCTGTACAGTCTGCACCATGGCCGTAGCAGCGGCGCTTCGCATGTTCCCGGGCATCGTGTTCGACCCTCGCGAGCCGGTGCCTCCCCGCTTTGCTCACCTCGTTGACAATCGCGACGACGACGCTGGCATCTTTGGCCGTTGGAATCGCGACCGGAACCCGTGGGGATTGGGTGATGGTGGGGTTGGTGGCGGTGGTGGTGGTGGACGAGGGGAAGATCGTGGCTTCGTCCACCTCGCGCGGGTCGGCCCGCACCATGGCCCGCACCATGGCGGCAACGATCGATACGGCCAGCATCGTCGTATAGATCCCTGGGCACCGGAACCACACATCAGGCCCCACGAGCCAGCGCACGAGTACGAGCGGCCGCAACAACCGCGACAGGGCTTCCTCCCGCCGCTGTCCTCGTCTGTCAAGGTCCAGGTCGTCCATGACACGGCAAAGTTTACCGTCACGCACGTGTTTTGGAACCGCGCCGACACCATCAAGCAAGGGACATACCAATTCCCTCTGCCGCTCGATGCGACTGTGACCGAGTTCAACTGTCGCATCGGCGTGAACAGGGTAATTCGCGGCAAAGTCAAGGGCAAAGAGGAAGCTCGCCGCGACTTTGACAATGCCGTCCGCCAGGGCCGGACCGGCGGCCTGGTTGAGCAGCAGACGGCCGAGATCTTCACCATCAACCTCGCCAACATCGAGGCCAACACCAAGATGCGCGCTGAGCTGTCTTTCATGTGTCTCCTCAAGCACAGGACGTCGAACAACCGCGACGTCTTTACCCTAACGGTGCCGACCTTCATCGCCCCTCGATACGGCGACGTGCCCCACGGCGTCGCAGTGGAACAGGAGAATAGCCACTGGTTGAACTTCGAGGCGGATATTCTTACTGCCGACGAGCTCATCACTGTCAACAGCGACACGCACAACATCCGGTTCGAGAGAGCCGCCGGACAGCGCGCATGCCAGACCTGGGACGACTTTGTCATGCGCCGCGACGACGCAGAAATGAGCCAAAAGACGGGGAGGATTCAGCTCGAGGACGGCCGCACCAGTCTTGGCAAGGACTTGGTTATTACCATTACCACGGCTCAGTCTGAAAACAGGGAGAACCCGCTCGCGTGTGTCGAGGTCCACCCGGATCTAGACAACCACAAGGCGGTGATGCTCACCCTCCCATCAGAATATCTCCTCACAGGAGAAGGGTTTTCTCACGACGGTGAGATTATCTTCGTCGCCGACCGTTCGGGCTCCATGACGGACAAAATTGAGAGCCTCAAGTCGGCGATGCTGTTCTTCATCAATGGCATTCCTGAGAATCGCCCATTCAATATCTGGTGCTTTGGCAGCGAGTGCGAGTACATGTGGCCGCGCTCCAAGGGGCTTACTGAGCAGACCCGGCAGGAAGCCATCAACTACGTCCAACGCAACTTTGCCGCCGACATGGGCGGCACCGACATTCTCCCTGCCTTGAAGAAGATTTACGAGTCAAGGGGCGGCTATCACACCCTCGACGTTGTCGTGCTGACCGACGGCGCCATCTGGGGTCCGCAGGAAACCATTGACTATGTCAAGGAGAAGAGGCTCGTCAGCGAGGGCCTCTTCCGCTGCTTCGCCCTGGGCATCGGCTACTCGGTGTCTCACGAGCTGGTCGAGGGCCTGGCAAAGGCCGGCGGCGGCTACGCCGAGGTCATCACCAATGTCTACGGCGGCGGCTGGGAAGATAGAGTCGTTGCGGTCCTGAAATCCGCTCTGGCAGGCCACGTGGGCAGCGTCGAGATGCAGCTCGAATGGCACGGGGAAGACGGCCAAGAGCTTGTCCAACCTCCCGTGTCCTTCAAGCAGTCCCCCGCCGACATCTCCGCCATCAGCCCCTTTATCCGCAACCGCGTGTTTCTGCTCTTTGACTCCGGCGTGCAGACGGCGCAGCTTACCGCCGTGAAACTCAACATCAGAGTACCGGGCAGTGAAGCCGTGACCAAACGAGTGTTACCGAAGCGCCTCCTACAGCCGGACGCCACCCTGCACAAATTAGCTGTCCGGGCACTGCTCGGCGACCTGGAGCGAGGCGAGAGCTGGCTGCATCGTCGCCGGGGCGGCGTCGACGATGCCGTCGTTCGCCAGGAGGCCATTGACTTGGGCATGAAGTGGTCGCTCGTGTCCAAGTGGACGAGTCTGTACGCGGTCGAAGAGGAGACTGCAGAGCCACTGGACATCGAGATCCCGGACCTTGAGCCGTCTGATGACGACAACGACGTGCTCCTGCGAGCTCGTGGCGGCGCAAACCAGAACGCTGGTCTGCTGGGACCCGGGGCGACTGCTGGTCGAGGTGGCACTGAGAGCGACCTCGTCTCGGACAGTGAGGAGGATGACGTCCAGTCGACTCGCGATGACCGGTCGGACAGTGGGTCTGACGACGCGGACGATGGAGATCACGGGCCGGATGGTGGGGCCGGCGCCGCCGGCCAGCATGGCGACGGCTCCGGTACAGGTGGGGCCGATGGGGGACCGGACGGCGACAACGGCGCTGGCCCCGACGCCGCTCCCGACAATTTCCCTGATGGTGCTCCTGGTGGCCACCCTGACGAGGCTCCTGATGGTCCCGGCGATCGTGGATCTGACGACGCGGAGTCGCCAATGTACGACCAGGACGCCATCCAGAACCTCACTGGAGGCAACGCCGACGCTTTGAACGCACCCATGGAAGTCAGTGACAACGATTGGGAATCGGCGTCTGAGGCGCCCCGAACGAACTCGCAAATCCACCGCGATATGGGCATGTGGCAGCGAGGCGTGGCGGCGACCGCCGGCCTTGTGCAGCACCAGCGCGCCAGGTCTAGGACCAGATCGCGGTCCAGGAGTCGGTCGAGGTCGCGAACCCGCCAAAGAAACCACTCTGGCGCCCGCGCTACCGTCCAGGGGACTGCCGCTCTCGGCGCCGCCGTCGTGGCTGCCGGTTTAGCCGCACCAGCATCCGCGTGGCGAACACGCAGCGGCGGCTTCAGAGACAGGGACCGCGCGAGGTCGAGGTCTTCCAGTCGTCGCAGGAGTTCTCGCTTGAGTCGGAGCCCGGAGAACCCGGCTGTCACCCTCAGAACATTTGCGCGTGTAGACTGGATCGATGACCTCTCCAGCACTGGCTCGGCCAACAGCACGAACATGGACTGCGAGTTTGGCTCAGCGCCGCCCGCGGACAACCCGTTTGCACCGTCGGGACAGGCTTCCGACGCGTGGGAGTCGACGGCGAGCAAGGAGAAGCCGCTCCCGGACAGCTCCAGCCCCTATCCGTGGTCCTCCAACCCCGCAGCGAGCAGGTCAACCAGGACTACTACGAGTGCCTTCTCGGCAGGTAGCTCCCTTTTCACGAGAGGTAAGTCGTCGAGCCTAGGGCTCTCTCGGCACCCTTCATGTGTGCTGACCATGCAGCAGCAAAAGGGACGTACGGTCTAAAGAAAGCAAAGTTGGCCACCGGCGCCGGCAGCGCGGCCATTCCTGAAGCCAGCCGCGCCAGCCGGGACGCCGCGCGGGCAGCTGCAAGGGGTGCATCGCTGTACACCGCCCCGTCAGACTTCCTGAGTGCAGCTACCGCGCCGTTGCCTGCGGCTAGGCACGGCAGCATGGTCGACCCGACCAGCTTGAGCCACTCGTCGTCGCCCGGCGAGGCAACCGCGCGACCCAGCAGCCGAAGCGAAAAGGAGCGCGAGGCTCTGAGACTGTTCGGGTCGAGGGCATCCAGAGACACCACCACGTCGACCACGTCTACCGCGTCCCAGGCGTCCTGGTTTCCCAGCACTGGGCCCTCCCTAGCGCCCCCGACTCAGTCGGCCAGCCCGGGGGCCGCTGCGCCTCCCGCCCCTCCGGCGATGCCCCCGACCCTGTATCCACCTTCTTCTTCGGCGGCCAGCCCAGGTAGATGGGGGGCGCTCTTGCAGCGAATGCCTCCATCCACGTCTCCGAGCACCACTTCAATGACCCTGGACTCAGATGTGTATCCGTCGTCGATATCCCTGGGCTCATATGCGTACCCGGCGTCGAATATCGCGAACCCGTCGTCGCAGCAGTCCATCACGCAACAGCCCATGATGCAGCAGCCCGTTATACAGCAGACGCATCAGCAGTCGTTCTCGCCGTCGTTTTTGCGTTCTTCGGAGCAGCCAACGTATCCCAGTGCTCCGCCTCCCAGTGCTCCGCCTCGACAGAGCTCGATAGGTTCTGACGACTCTTGGAACTTCCAGTCCTACTCGACACCAGATCCAGCATCCCTGACGATGGGTTCGGACCCGTTCTTTGGCGCGGCCCCTCCCACGGCGCGCAACCCGACCGGGTCCCATGGCGGGGGTCATGTCCCGCGGGCTTCTGCACCCCCGTTAAGCTTTGCCACGTCGCAGGACAGCTATGCGGGGGGCAACTATTCACCGTCGGCGTGGGATGCGTCCCCCTCCATGCCTCCCGTGATGAGGGTGTCTCGGCCGGTAAGCAGCTACCCGGAAACGCCGTCCTTGGTCGGCGAGCCGCAGACGGCGTCGGCGCCCGTGTTCAACCCGCCGGCGTCGACGTTCTTCATGGACAGCGGGCGGTCGGCACCCAAGACGGAGGAGGAGCTCGCGGCGGAGCGGTTCGTGCGGGACATTCTCACGTTCCAGCGGTCGGACGGCAGCTTCCACTTCCGGGACGACGAGGAGCTCAAGGGGAGCCTGGGGCCGTCGCTCTTCGGGGTGGTGACGGCGCTCCGGCGGTACCTGGCCGGGGACAAGTGCCCGGAGCCGACGAAGCGCCTGCTGGCGGTGGCGGCGGCGGTGGTGGCGCTGCTCGAGGAGCAGTTTGCGGCATGCCGGGCGCTGTGGGTGCTCATGGCGGGCAAGGCGACCGACTACGTCACCAGGAACGCGAGGCACGGGCGGGCGGGCAGGCAGCTGCTGGAGGAGGCGAGGCGCAACGTCAAGGGGATGGGCCAGGTCATGGGCGAGGTGAGGGACGTGCAGGCGCGGGCCGAGGACGTGAGCGTGTTGACGAGCGCGCCGATTGTGTCACTGTGAGCTGCTTCATTGTCACTGTTTGGGTACGATTTTTCTCGTTTTTTTCCTGGTTCTTTCTTCTGGAACGGCCGCCTGGGATAGGAACTGTGTGTGTTTAGCTCTCTTCATGACAGATTGGTCACGTTATTGTAGCGAAATGGACCTTGTTCTCGAGTTCCTCGGTGGAGGCACGTAGGCGTCGGATGTGGTCGAGGAGGCATCACGGGGACGGACGAGGCGTCCGGGGGTGTCACGCGCTAAGGAGGGCTGTCTCTTATACACATCTAGATGCCGTGGACGTCGCCGCCCCACAGGGTCGCCTTCAGTGCTGCAGCCAACCGTCACGGAACCTGGAACGTGCCTGGAACCTGCGCTGCGAGGCGCGGGGTTGGCCCTGGGCGCCCATGAGCTGGCGAGTCGGCGCGTCACACAGCAGCTAAAAAAGATGGGATGGAAGGGTCGGCGGCCGCTCCTCCCCTGAGCTGCGCTGCGCTGCGATGCGCTGTGCCGCGCTGCGTGGCCCCACCAATGACAACACAATCGTCTGTCGCAAAACAGGCCGCCGGCTCGCTCAACCTCGCCGCCACGCCGTGCTGCCTGCCTGCTCGTCAATCTCGCTACCTTCATCCCCTCTCTCTGCCTCCCTCCCCCCCGGTCGCCTCGCCTTCACGGAAAAAAAGAAGCACACGCGAAGCCCTGCCTATCTTATGACTCATACCACTCTCGTCGCGCACCTCGCTTAACGACACCGCAATCACGCCTCTATTAACCTGCGAAACACACGCCCCCGCGTTTGTAGCTATAAGTTGGCGTCTCCGCTTCACCTCGCACGCACACGCCACCCGCCCACGCGACGCGCCGACTCGCGCCCGAGTTAGTTTCGAGATTTCGAGTATTGGCTGGGTCGCCGGTCCCCGCACGACGACGAACGCGACTGTCGACGCCGCTGCTGCCTGCTGCTCGCCGGACCAGGGACAAGCATTCGCCGCGGCTTCGAGTCGGCATCTGCCATCGCTTGGATTATATATAGACGCGGGTGGCGAATCGAGCACTCGTGGCGGGTGATACACTCAGTCGCTCACGCAGGCGGACCGGCTCTGAGAAGCCTCATCCGTCGGAGCCGCCCATCTTGCGAGCATGTCGCGCCGCTCGCGCCGCGGTGCCGCCAACGATGCGGCGGGCGCGGGTCTTGCGCCCGAGGGCTCCCTTCCCGTCGACGGCTCCTGGCGCATGGTCGAGGGCGAGCACGACAGCTTCGACACCACCATCCTGCCCTCGTCGCTGCCCGCCGACGACGACGACGACATTCTGATGCCCCTGTCGAGTGGCCAGCCGTCCTCGGGCTTCCCCTCACAGCTCTCTACCGGCGGCGGCGGCGCGGGCTCGTCATCGCAGTCGCAGCCCGGCGGCGCGGCCTCCCAGGACAGCATCCGCGACTTTGCCAAGCACCAGGATGACGAGCAGGTTATCTTGCGCGAGCCGTTCCGCCCCAGCATGGTGGTGTCGCGGCGCAGCAGCGCGCAGGGCAGCGGCATCACGTATCGCACGCCCGAGCCGCAGTTTCGCATGCCCATGGTGGACGTGGTGGGCAATGGCGGGAGGAGCAGCAGCGGCAACAGCTCGCGCACCATTCGCCCTTACGGCTGGGCTGCTGCCGCCGCCGACGAGGACGATGCGACCGACGACAGGTCGTTGCGCCGCCGCGCAAAGGGCGCTTCATCCCTCGGCAGCCCGTCGTCAAAGAGCAGGACGGCGGGGGCGCGTCGCCGCGGCGCCAGGAGGGATTCCTTTGACGTGCATGACGACTTGGACCACAAGGCGGCCAGGCACCGCCGTGGTAGCCGCACGCAAGAAGGCGGCGGCACCCTCGAGGCGATTAAGAGACACCTGCTCGCCGCGCTCCCATCCACCGTCTACAGACTGCTCCTCTGGGCCGGCGAGGTGGTGCTCATCGCCATGAACTACGCAAAGTACCCGCTCGGCGCCCTGCTCGCCGTCTATCTCGTCTTTGGCGGGCTCATCGTCGCGCAGAACATGGCCACACGTTCGCTCTACGCGGCCGTCTCGCCTGTGTGCCGCGTCCCCGGCGCCTCGCTGCTCGGCCTGCCGTTTTGTCCGCCCTCGTCGTCATCATCATCGGCGTCGTTTCCCTTATTCCCCAACGGCACAGCCAAGCCCCACCAAAACGTCGAGTTCGACGACCTCATGGGCGTGCAGTCCAAGTTCGAGCAGGTGCTCGAGAAGAGCGCCGACGGCGTCTCGCTCCCCTTTGAGATGAAGCGCTCCGAGGCGGCGGTGCGCGACCTCCGCAGCCTCGTGCGCCACAGCGATATCCAGGCGCGCGGCGAGCTGGTGCTCGAGTTCGACGGCTACATCGACACGGCGCGCCGCGCCGCTTCGGACCTGCAAAAGTTCAACACGCACGTCGGCTCCGCCGTCGACGCCGTCATCTCCATCAACCGCTGGACGTCGCGCTACATCGACTCCCTGTCGCCCGAGGCGCTCGACGGCGCGCCCTCGGCCCTCTCCGAGTGGGCTGCCTGGTTCTTCTACCCCTTCCAGCCCGCCACGGCCGACGACGAGCCGTTCAGCGAGCGCGCCATCCTCGACAAGTATATTGAGCACACGGCGCTCGTGTCGGACCGCATCGCCGCGCTCATCCTCGAGGCGCAGGGCATCCTCCGCCTCCTGACAAAAGCCGAGGACCACCTCTCGCTCATCTACGACATCACGTCGCGCTCCTCATCCAGCATCGCCTCGCGCCGCGACGAGATCCTCTGGACCGTCTGGACCCTCGTCGGCGCCAACTCGAAGCGCCTCCACAACCTCGCCCAGCAGCTCACCCTTCTGCGCCAGGTCGACGCCCAGCGCTCCTCGGCCGTCGAGCAGGTCAGCGCCCTGATCCTCGAGCTCGAGGGCATCCAGGCCGGCCTCGGGGACCTGCGCGACCGCGTCGCCGACCCGGAGCTGGCCGCCGTCGCGGGCACGAGCACCGCCGCGCCGCGCATCCCCCTGAGCGTGCACATCGAGACCATCGACCGCGGCGTCGAGCGCCTGCAGGGCGCGCGCGCGAGGCTGCGCGTCGCGGAGGATGAGCGCGTGAGGGACGCCATGGCGAGGGGCGGTATCAAGAGCGACGAGGACCGCCTCATTGACGCGCGCGGACGCTGATGGCTCCGCTCCGCTCCTGGGCTCTCCCTTGCTTCCTCGCCTCGTTGCTGTGCTGCATTGATTGATCCTGCTGCACAGAACATCAAAGGTTCTTTTTCGGGAAGCACAGTATACTATACTAAAGCCCGCTTTTTGCTTTCATGCCAGGAGTTGGCGGTGGGCTTTTGTCTTTTCACGGGACGTGCGTGCTTCCTTTTCTTTTGCTTAAACTACATGGATGGATGGGTTCCGGCCGGCGTTTTGGAAACTACTGAGTATTACTTACTACACGTAAATCACAAATCGGGGAGGGTCTTTCAGGGCGGTAGGTTTGGTTTTTGGAGAGATTACTCGGTACAGAGTATGTATGTAGGTGGGCGGGTGTGTCTTGACGGGCGTAACCTGCTCTAGGACATACATGACGATGATGCGCGGCATACAGTACAGTCAGTACACACACGGCCAGGTAGTTACAGTAATACAAACTCATACATGAGTCTTATTTCAGGTCGTCGTCACGAGCCGTCATCACATATAATGTATACATCTGACACGCGAGATACAATATAACGGCACTGACACGCACAGATGACATCCCAACGCGCAAGGCGATTTCTTTCGTGTGCCTTGCTGCGGCACATCGTTGATTTGGCTGTGTATTCCAGGCTCTTTTGCCTCGAGCCCTTCATACAAATGCCCATCCATACACGTATACATGCCGCCGAGGAGCGGCGCTCGTTCCCACCCGCCGGCGCGCGGGGCTGTCGCCAACAACGCCGACCCTTAAATCCCAGGACCCCCGATTTCCGTCGTCCGACAGCCGGGGGAGGAGGCTCGAGCTTCGACTCCAGGGCCCATCGGCCCGTTATCAATCATCCATGTGCGCCGCTGCCAACGCGGCTCGCATCCAAGGGTGTGCATGGCCAGGGTCCGACCCGAGCTCCATGCGACGCGGTCCCCGCCGTCCGCACAAGCAACAAAACAAATCCCCCCATCTCGTCCAAACGCCTTTCCAGATATCCTCGTGATATGCATTCCCTGTTTTGCCGACCCAACACTCCCAAAGACGAGACCCAGACCCAGGAAAAAGAAAAGACAAAACGCCATTGCCATGCAAAAGTGGTGATGCCCAACGCCCACCGCTATAAATCGCCGCCTCCACTGATGCCAAAATAAGACCGTTGTCAGAACCCCGGGAATGCCTTGGACAGTGCCCGCCGCCCTATGTGACCTGTCAGTTCTTGTCCTCGTGGCAGATGTGCGCAAGCGTTGACGGATCTTACATCTAGGCCGTTGATGGTCCGGGTCATCAAACGGCGCATTCTTGGCTGCAATCTGTCGCATACGTTCCCTGGCAAATGACGAGGGACTGGACCGCCCGACCTGCGGAACGGCCTCTTTGGGGTCGCCCTCTTCATGGTGCGTTGGCAATAGCCGCAGGGCCCGAGGCCGGGGTTTTCGCGGTCTTCCGTTCTTGGCCACGGGGGCCATCGGCGAGGCGTTGGTCGTGCCTTGCGTCTCGTCACTCTCGGTGTCTGCTGTCGCGTTGGGTGTGGCAACCGCTGGCGCGTCCGGCTCGGCCTGATCCGATGCGGGTTGAGAAGCCGACAAGGGTGTCATGGGCACGTCTGCAGCCGTCGTCGTTGTCGTCGGTGCCGCCGTCCCGTGCGAGCTGAACAGCCGCTTGCCCCATTCCTTGAGCTTCGTGTCGCTAGATTCAAAGGATGAGTCCTCCAGGTCTACCCTCTCTCTCAGTCGTCGCACTGCCCGCTCACGGCGGACCATGCCGTTTGTGATTTTCGGGCTGTACCCCCGCGGCAGCATGCAATGCTTACACATGGGGCAAAGGGAGCTGTTCTGGGTGAGGAACTCGTCGATGCAGGCTGGGTGGAATATGTGGCCGCAGGGCAGTTCACGGATGATGGAAGAGCGGTGTTCGAAACTGCATAGGCAGATGTGGCAATTCGGTTGATTGTTGGTCGCTGTCGTGTCGCCCGTGCCGGTGATGCTCGAACGCTTGCTTCGTATGCTTCTGACGCTGCGGGTACTCCGAGACCCGACGACGGTCGTCGAGTCGGTCGGCGGGGCGCGGTGCTCGGGCCGGCGACCTTTTCGCTTCTTGGACGGCGGCGAGGGGTTCGCACCTGGCGAGCTGGGCACCGGTGGCGCATCGACGAGGTCCGGCTCGGCGTTGTAGGTAAACAGAGGGAACTCTTTGACGTGCGTGGCTGGCACGGTTAGCCGCTTGATTCCCATGGCCTCGAGGTCGACCTCGCCAGACTGAACTCGGCGCTTCAGCGACTTTCGGTTTCGACGTTGCACGAAGTGCATGGTGAGGGAGACGGCGCTAATAATTAGCAGAAGGGCACCGATGACAATCAGCACAAAGGCCCACACGGCAGGAACATTGGTCGAGTTCTCCAGTGTCAGGTCGGTCCATATGCGCACGTAGTCGTTGGGGTTGGGGCCAAACAGCTGGCTGAGCTCCGGCCCGTGGGGTACTTGGTTGACGTTGCCCGAGTAGAGACTCAGTTGCGTCATTATTTTCTGGCCTTCGAGGCCTGGGATGGCGAATATGGGGAAGTGGTAGTTCTTCCTCCACGCCCCATTGTCGTCGAGGTTCCATACTGGAGAGTCAACCTCTTGGGGCTTGTTGGTTGAGTTGTTGGGCTTGTAGAAGATGAAGGCGCGGATGGGCCCGTGGGAGGCGGATCGGAGATAGGCGAGGGTGCAGTCGATGCTGAACCAGGGGGCTATAGCGACGACATTGAAGTTGCTGGGAGGGAGTTGCTGGCGGCGGGTGACGTTGCGGGGGATGAAGTCATACTGCTGCGCGTCGCAGGAGGGGACGCTGGTGACCTGCGGCACGTACAGCAGGCCACCAAAGGTGCCATCGAGCTTTTCCGCATTACGGGTGCTCAGCGTCGTGAGGTTGGTGGACAAGCGCTCTTCGTACGCCAGCTGGCTCTGCTCGGCAACGATAGAGAATCAGTCAGCGACACGGCTCAACGGGGCCGGGGACGGGGCGAGGACGGTGGGAGAGACGAACGGAGCGCGCGGTGATGTTCCTGACCAGCGTCGAAGGAACAGTATTGGCGCCGGCCCATACTGGATTGCTGAATAGGAGTCTGGCGACAAGTCAGTGGCGGAACGAGCGACGGGTGGTTGCGCAGTAAGACGGGCGACGGCAGTCGGCATGGTCGGGGACAGCGGGGGGTGCGGATGTCGACGGAGTCGAGCGCAAGGTCGTCGAGTCACGGCGGAGTGAAGAATCGCATCGCAGGGCAGGGCAGGGCAGGACAAGGCAGGGCAGCGAGCAGACGTACACGCTATTTCGAAGTTCGGTGAGCGCTGCAAGCGAGCAAAGGTCAGCGTGGGATGTTGCCAAGGCCGGGCCACTTTGAGTCTGGGCAGCGGTCCTTACACATTCTCCTAACTCATGTTCGGCGTCATCGGGGGAAGCGACATGTCATTGCAACAGGGCGTTGCAGCGCGCGACGATGGGGCGGCGACGAGAGCGGCGAGGAATGGGCGGAACGGCGGGCGACGGACGACGGACGACGGAGCAGCACCGGGTATATGTTGTATGTCGACGGCGACGGCGGCGGAGGGGCGAGCGCGAAGGTTGGGCAGGTTGGTGAGAGTGCGCAGGTGCGTGCGTGCGTGCGTTGCGTGGAGAGCGCCGGGAGAAGGGAACCGGGTGGAAACGACGGATGGATGTGGAAGTGGAAGTGGAAGTGGAAGTGACGGCAGGGCCCCAGCAGGCGGTCCCCCGTTGTCGAAAGGGGAGTCAGCCGCTGGCGGCTTGATTGGGTGGCGGACTTGCAGCAGCGGCGGGGGGGCGGAGCCTTGGAGGTACGTCCCTCTCTCCCCCAGCGTGCGTCCAGAGGCACGTCGTCGTCACCTCTCACCCTCTCACTGCCACTGAGGCGCTAACTCTCGCCCCGTCCTCCTCCACGGGAGTCGGCGCCTCACCCCAGCGACAAAAAGGGCCCTTGATGGGCCGACAGGATGTCGGCGCAAGGGAGGGAGGGGCCAGAAGGAATCAACGCAACAGGTCTGTGTCTTGTTCTTTTTCCTTTTTGTTTTACTGGTTCAAGCGCGCGACCTGGATGTGATACGAGGGACGGGGCACGGGGCAGCGCTCGACGGCAACGGGCCATGCGGCCAGCCCAGCCCAGCCCAGATTCAAGACACCCGGCAGGCGGCGAGACGGGAATAATATTGGGGCGGACAACGGTGGCATTCTTCGTACGATACATACCATGGATACAGTACAGTACTGTACCAAACTAATAATACTTTGTGGAAGTGACGAGGACCGGCAGCCGCCCCATCCCCCCAAGGCACGTTTGCGCGCGGGATGGCTTGCAGCCCAAGCAGTGGGCAGCGGCCAACGAAGGTCCATGGTCGTGGAGGCATTTGTTCATGGATCTTGTCTCGCCAAAGGGGGGCCAATGGCGGGTGAAACGGCCAACGGTGCAGGGTTCTTTGCAGCGGGCGCACCACGGACAGACAGCAGCACGGTGGTGGGGGCAACGGACAGTGAGATGTACGAGTAACATACTTGACCAGTTTCCCTCCCCCGCCGCGACGACGGAGGAGGCTCCTGTTGTTGGCATCAACGCAAGTCAAGCTTTTGTGTCGGTGAAGAATCTGAGGCTCCAACCCAACTCTCGTCGTCCGGAGAGCGGGCCCGTCCGTCCGTACGACGCAACGAGGTACGAGGGACGTCGGTACGCATTGTATGTACGTCGGCCCTGCATAAGTCCATCGTCAGGGCGCCGCCCGCACGGAGGCGTCGGGAGGGCGGGGAGAGGTCGATCAAAGATTTCTTCACCCGCCGCCGCCGCCGCCGCCGCTGGCCCCGGTGCACATCACACCTGGCACGCACCACAGGCACACAGTACGGAGTAAAAAATTGTACGCCGGCGCGTCATCAGCGGGCGCGCCATGTGCGGGATACAGAAGGTACACAACCCTGCCTGGCGGCCCACGGCTGGCGGAGCGCCCGGCCGGCCCAGCATAACTCACTCAGTGGCTGATGCAGCTAAGATTGCTCTCCCGCAGCGAGCGACGGTGGAGCGCTGTGCCGATGCCATTGCCATTGGCGGGCCGAGGGCTGCATCCTGATACCAATCCCAGGCCAGGCAGTTTCTCCGCCGGCTGATTGATTATGAGGAGCGAGCAGTCGAAGTGGTGGTGGGTGGGCATCCCCAAGTATAGTGGTGGTGGTGGTGGTGGTGGACTGTTGGTGGTGGGCCGGCCCCTCGCCCCGTTGATGCTGCCCGCCGGGCCTGCGTGCTGTGTGCGTGCTGAGCTGCATCAGCACGGATTGTTGTTTCTTATGCGCGTCTTGATGCGCTGGTGATAGCTGAATGCAGATGTGGTACATGATAACGTTAGAGTGTCAGAGTGATGGATGTCGATGCTGCGGACCACCTCCAGGGCTCTACCACGACATGTCCAGATGTACTCTAGGTAGGTACCTGGGGGAGACACTACCAGCGCCCCGGCGAGTGACCTGCGCCCTTGTACCTACCCAGTTGGCTGCTGGCCACCACCACTGGCGCTTTCCACCCGTGGACCCTTTCTGGCCGGGTAGGTGCCCCTTCCTCCACCCGGCGGGCCCATGACTGACCCGGTCCCAGCTGGCGCCATCCGCCGCTACCTACTCTACTGTACCCTCCGGCCATGGAGCCGTTCTGCCTGCTATCCTGCCCTGTCAGTCGCCCTCACCAGATTCCCGAGACCAGCACTGCTGCGACCCTGCGCGAGGTTCGAATCGGGTCCAGATCGCGCTCGCGCCGCAGCCACATCGAGCAGGTCCGTACTTCCCCCTCAGGGCCCTGGCAAGCCTGGAAGAATAGCCTCACGAGTCCCCAGGACCCCTCATGCCCTCGTCGCGCCCGGAGGGACTCGGAGGCCGCTCTCACCCGTCGATCCCTCCGCCTGGCTTCCTGTCACGTCCACCTCGTCCTCGTCCTGGCCGTGGCTCCGCGTATTCCTGCATTCCCGTATTCGCCGTTGATCGGCGCCCCAGGGGGCAACAAAGGGATGGGCCGCTGATGACGACCACAGGAGACAGGTCGCCTGGCGGTGGGTTCCCTCACACTCTCTGTCTGCTGATTGCTGCGGCTAGCGCTGGGATCAGAGGCCGGTGCAAAGCAACAAGCTCAGCCTTGTCTTCCTCGTCTCCCTCGACACCCGCAGCATAGCTCGCTTGCGGGCTGTGGCTCCTGGGGGGCCCTCGTCGTCGAATCGGAATGCGGACGTGCCCACAGGGCCAAGCACCATCGACAAGAAAGCTTGTCTCGCGCCCGTCCCCAGGCACCACCGCCAGGCCCAACGTGGTGGCCGCCCACAGCTGGATTTGGACCCCTCCTGTCGTCGTTGATCGTCGCAGCCGCCTGGTGGGACGTCCAGCCAGTCCGCGCCAACCCGTCCCTCACTCCGTTGCCTCGTTGGGCCACGCGCATGGCATGGCATGGCTCGCTCGCTCCACGACGCAGTCAGTCAGCGGCATCTTCGTCAAGGCCCTTTGTGGAGTGACGGCGACACCGACGGCAAGCAGCTACGGAATGCAGCGATCCAAATCCTGCGGCAGATGTGAGCAAAGATCAGCTCGCAGATGACAATTTCACCATGCCAGGTTCTATTTTTGCTTCAGTCTACGTCAAAGGTCTCGGACCGGAGCCCTTGCACAGGTCCTTTCAGAGAGCTCCTGCGAGACCTTTATGCGCTGATAGGTGCAGAGAACGAAGTATCTCTCTGCGATAGGCGCTGCTGCATGCAGGTTGGCCGCGAGACCTGTGGGTACCAACAGCTCGCTCTCTCTCCGGCGTGTTTCCGGGATTGCGAAGTCGTCGCGATAACAGTCGCAATGCGACCAACGTGTCGTCTCAGCCTGCCGGAAGATTCAGGCCGGTCAGCTACCGTGTATTAGGCACTCGGCCACGCTGCATATCTGCCAGCGATTTAAGTTTGAGAGATGAATCAGGAGTGTCAGTTCGATTGGCCTCTCTCTTTGGCCTCGAGCCCGAGCTCCGTACTTGGTACCACGGCAGGCGATGCACAATCCTTGAAACCAGTCGGGGCGCCTCGTGCGAGTGTACGAGCACGCAACGGCGGCACAAGGTTCGTCGGTGCGTCACCACGGGGATGACTACGCTAGGTCGGTCGGAGGACGTGCCATGGTGCTATCCCGTGCACATGGGCAGCCGTGGGCAATCGACAAACGTCCAAGGGAGGTTGCAAATGGCGCCATCACGGGCAGTGGCAGCGTGCCCACCACCCGCGCGTCCTGGGGCGGAGGCCGAGTCAACCTCTTCCTTTGTCGCCGTCGATGGCGTCGCGAACGAGGATTGCGCCAGGTCGGCCTGCATCCCCAGTGGTGACCTTGGGGCCTGTCCGCATCACCCGGCGGACTGTGCTCGAGTCGCGTCGTGACGATGCTCCCGACCCGCACGAAGCGAAGGATCCAAGTCAGCGGCGCCACCGCTGCGCTATTGAACGGTGGGCTCTCCTGGCGAGTGACCCGATAGCGCTGCTCCTCCTCTTCCGCGTCGGCAGTTGGAATCTGCTTTACAGGGTGCGTATCCCGACCTCTTGGACCACCGGGACACCATGCACCTCCGGGACGGCCAGGCAACCACGTTGTTGCACGTGTGCAAAGTACGCGGTATCGTCGTGGCCCTCCCTGCATCCTCCCTGGCACCGTGATGGTCAGTATGGGGAAGGGAAGCTCAATGACGTAGCTGTGTCGCCCACCCGGAAAGCATCATTTGACCTGGAGATTTGCCATTCGAGATTTCGCGAGGGGCGACCATGCACCACCACCAAACGTCGTCTCCAAAGGCCAGCCAGCCCGCTCCGCCCCTCCCGCGTCTGCAAGCACGCGCATGGAGCTAAGACCATGGCTTCTCCTTTCCTCGTGACTTGCAGCCGTGCGACTGCAGCCACGGCGGGCTTGACGCCGGCTCCGTCGCCGAGCGCGACGCGCCCCAGATTCGCGCAGCCCCGAGTGGAATCAATCTCAACCACCTGCAGAGCCATCGACGATTTGCCGCGACTGACCACAGGCCCTTCCCAGCGACCGCGGCGCCCGGCCTTGTCGATAGTTTGCGGCATTAAGCCAGGCAAGGTCCCTCCCTGAGGGGCAGGTCCCTCTTCTCGGCGAGCATCCGAGCGGCACGCACGTGCCGCACCGTCGCCGGCCGTCGTCGCGCATGCGCGTGTCCCCCCATGCCCGCCTTGTTGTTGGTGGCGCTGCTGCCGCGAAGCGAGAGAGGCGGGCAGCTGAGGAGCTGGGGCGGCGGCGCGTCGCGTGGTGGTGTCGCTCCTGTCTCGGCTGAACCGTTCCGAATCGAATCGCCATGCCGGCTCGGGACGCTGACCCGGCTGGGCTTCTGGAAGACTGGGTGCATGCGTCTCTTCGTGCCAACTGCCCAATTTGTTCGCCGGTATTGCTCGGTGAGCAGCGCAGTTGGCCCTGCGTATGCATTGACTTTGCCCTGTAGTAATCAGCTACTCGTGAGTGACACTGAGTCGCGCAATTTGGGCTGACCTTTGTCGGCAATCTGGGCGTCACATTGGTGATGCTTGCTCGATTCCAGGGGTGTGTTCGATCGCTTCCGTCTCATGTGTCCAAACACGCGAACAACCTAAAATATCCAGACGTAGGTATCACCCAGGAAGGAGCATACGACGACCATTGTCAACTACACCCATGACCACATCTTATCCACCCAAAGCATCCAGTCGCAAGCATCTCCAACCCTCGACGTGCGCATCACCATGGTGTAGGGTAGCCCAATTCACCATGTGGCGGCGGGCCCAACCCCGACCCCACAGTCGCGGGCGGGATCGCCCCGCTCCGGCCCATGCCCACGCCACGCCCGCGCAACGCGCCGGGCGCGCGCGTCTCCCGCAGAGGAACAACAAGCCTTTCTTACTTCCTTCCTTCGTGACCACTCTGCGGGATCCCGGTCCTTCCTCGCGACGGGAGCATCGCCGCCGTCGCCGTCGCTGTCGCCGGGAAGCTTTCCCATGCTGCCTTCCTCCCTCCACCGCGCGTGCTCCCCGCGCGTGCTTCGCCCTGCGTCCCCCCCCCCCAAAGAGGGAGCGTTCTGCGAGAGCAACCCACGCGCGCGGGCCTGCAGGGCCCCGAGAGATGCAATCCATCGAGATCCTTCCCCGAGATTTTAATTTGATCAGTAATGAGTGAATGAATGAATGGTGCGGCCCGCCTTTTCGTCCCGGTCCGCCCATCAATCGTCGTGCTCGTCGTCGTGGTGCAGCGCACCGGCGCAGCGGGTCGCACCGCACCGCGCCGCGCCGCACTGCATCGCGCCATGCAGGCAGGCAGGCGGGCGGTCGGCGTCGTGCCGTGTCGGGCAGCAACGGGCGGGACGGGGCGACGACGACTCCCATCAAGGTATGTACGTCGTATATTACTCGTGCTTTGTCCTGTACTCGCACACATACATGCATCTGCATCTCACACACTTAATTCATGAGAAGGGGGGGGGGGGATGGACACCTGGGAGACATGCACCCGATCGATCCATCAATCTGGCAATTTTATCAGCCCTGTCAGACATAACTTCCCCGAGCCGCGCTCGTACGAGATATCTCCGCCCTAGTTTTCCGGTCCTCCTCGGCCCGCCGTTTCGGCAATTCCATGCTGGCATGCTCAGCGCTGGCGAAGAAGCGTGCGACAGAGTACCAGACCCTGCCTGGCCGTTGCACATGGCCGCGAGCATTCTAGTATCCACCGCCGTAGCCGCCTCCGTAGCCGCCCTCCTCGCGACGGCCGTGGTGCTGGCGTCGGCGGCCGTTGTCGTTGTCGTCGTCGCCGCGCTCATACTCGGCAGCATAGCCGCCTCGGCCCTCGGAGCGTCCGTAGCCGCCCTCTTCGCGGCGTCCATACTCGTCACTGTAGCCGCTGTCCTCGCGGCCCTGGTTCCCACCGTAGCCGCCTCCCTGACGGCGCTCATAGCTGTCTCCGCCGCCGCCGCCGCCGCCATAGCTATCATCGTCACGGCGCCTGCCGCCACCGCCGTAGCCACCGCCATAGCTCTCCTCCTCGCGCCTGTTCCCTCCGCCATAGCCGCCGCCATAGCTGTCTTCGTCGCGGCGTCTGTTTCCGCCGCCATAATTGTCATCGTCACGACGGCGGTGGCTGCCGCCGTAGCTGTCCTCATCCTGACGCCCGGACCCGCTGCCGTAGCCGCTCTCCTCTCGGCCATAGCCGCTGCTCTCCTGGCGGCGTCCGTAGCTGTCGTTGTCTTGACGCGAGTACTCGCTGGCGTAGCCGCCAGTGCGGCCACCTCCATAGCTGTCCTCGTTCGAGCCCTTATACTCGTGACGCTCGGTTCGCTGTTGGTAGCCGCCGCCATACGTCGGCCGAGTCTCGGTCTTCTCCTCGTATCCGTAGCCAGACGTCTGGCGCCCGCCGTACGAATCCTGCTGCTCGAAGCGGCTGTACTGGGACTGGCTGCTGCCGTCAGGACGCTGGGTCTCCGTGTACTGTGCCTGCCCATAGCGGTTCCCGTGGCGGCCGTACTCCGTTTCGGTCTGCGTATACGATCCGTCGTCATCCCGACGCTGGCTGCTGTGCTTTTCCGTTTCATCCTTGCCAAAAGCACCGCCGAGAATGGAGCCTGCGGCGCTGAGGAAGCCACCCAGGCCGCCCTCTTCCTGATGTTGTTCCTGCTGTGATCCCTGCGTGGAAGGCAGCTTGTAGCCCGTGTTCTGCTCCACAATGCCAGAGATTGCGCCCGTCGCGCCTTGGAAGATGGCATCGGCGGCAGCTCCTGCGATCTTGTCCTCAAGCCCCTGAGGTTCGCCGTACAGCTTGCGCATCTGCAGCTTGCCGCAGCAACCATGGCCATGGCCCGTGTCGTACACGCCCTCCTTGTGGTTCTCGCCTCGCTGGACGCCCTGGCGAGACAGCTTGCGGCGATAATCGTTCTTCTGATCGTCGCCCATCTGGTTCCACCACTCCTGGACCTGGCCGAAGATGATGTTACGCGCCTCGGAGACGCCGTCGCGCCCCATGTCCTTCTGCGCAGGGTGGTGCATGACACCGTTGACGATGCGATCGAGGAGCCTATTGACATCGGTGTTATCGTCGTCAATGGCATCCATGAGCTGAGGCACAACCCAGTGCAGCATTCTCGCCGCCGTCCGGCCAGCGATCTCGTTCAGGATCTACAAAAGCTAGTCAGCACTGCGCGATATCTTACGATTTGTCCGGCTCCGGATCAAGGATGGCACGTACGTTGGAAAAATGGTCCTTGGACAGCATCGAGTGAGTCGGATCGTCGCAACGGTCGTTGTTAAAGACAATGTGCTGCTCCTGCTCGCTGCTGTGGACAATTTCCTCAGATCCGGTGCGCAGTTCGTTGCGGATCTGCTGAATCAGGGGAACGACAAATGGAGCGATGACGGAGAAGACGAATTTGGAGAGCTGCTCCTCCAGTTGCTCAATAATCTTGGGAAGCACAGGGATCTTCTCAACAGCGCTCGTGATGCTCTTCATGATGTCATCATGGAACTGAATGGCGGGCATGATCTGCTGGTAAACGTTTCGGACGTAGACAGTAAACTCCTCGGGGTTGCGCGGGGAGACAGAGGTGTTCTGCATCTGCGCCGCGTTGGCGTTGTTCTGAATCTCGTCGATTCTGGAGCTCTGATGCTTGTCGCCAAACAGACCATCGGGGATCTTGTCGAGGAGGTCACGGAGAAGGCTGGTGTCCGCGGTCTTGCTGTCCTGAAGGGTGCCCTCGAGCTCCTCAATCTCGTTCTGGGTCATCTTGTCGGACACTAGAATATCCATCAGCGAACCGGTACGTAGAGGCATGCACGCCCGGCTGCTTACCTTCGCCAACGACAGAGTGAAGAAAATCGACGCCGCCGAAAGTACCGGTGACGATTGGGTAAACGTCTCCACGGGCGCCCTCGAGGCGAATTCGGCAGCTCTGCCCGACGTGCGGGAAGACGTCGCGCTCGCCCATTTCGATCAGTGCCAGCTCCGTGTAGTTGCTGTGGGCGAAAAAGTCTGCAAGCAGTGTCAGCGCAACCGGCCATGAAAGAGGGAAGCATGCCTCGATCATTTACCTTCGAGACAATGCAGGCCAGTGCCCATGAGGCGCAGCGATTCGTACAGATCCTCCTTGTTACCGCGGTCCTTGTAGCGACGGCCGAGCTCAATGCAGCCAGAGAACAGCTTCTTCACGTGCTTAGCGGAGGTCATGATTCCGGCACGCTCATTGGCAATGTAATTCTTCATGCCCGTCTCGGGGTCGATGGCCAGCTCTCGCTCCTCATCGACAGGACCGCGAAGCCGCCTGTCGTACTGGCGAGCATCCTGGTTGTCGGCGTAGTTCTTGGGGTTGTCAATGTGATCCTCAGGGCGGTAGCAGCCAAGGCGGTCCGCAGTGATCTCGAACTCGCCAGACCCATAGCCAAAGGTCAAGAAGCCGAGCACTGAGAGGAGCAGGCGAATGGCCTCGGCAGACACGGACTTGACTGTGCCGACGTCGATGGCCTGGGAGTAGTCACGCAACCAGTTGCCAAAATAGACTCGGGAAACCATGATCTTGTTGAACTTCTTGTGCTTCATGGCGCGGGCCATGGCCAAAGTGAGGAGCGCATCTTCGATATCACCGTGTCGCCCTAACGTGCGAGAGACGGGTCAGCTTTGCACGCGGGGTGGTTTATGGGGTAGGGGGCTCGGGAACCCACAGTTCTGGCCTTCGACCTTGGAGATGGAGGCAATGTTGCCGGCACCGAAGGCAGCGGCCGGGGTGACCAGGGCGACGAGGACAATCAACCCCAGCAGGAGGCCGGGATTCCTGAAGTCGAGCATGGCGGGTTGCCGCAAGCTTCAGCGTGGTGTTGATAGCTATGTATGGAGGGGTAGGTGCGTCGCGAGCAAAGCTAGTAGATGCTGCTCGATGGGGTCAAGAAGAGAGAAGTGATGATGATGAAGGACAAGAAGGAGGGAGCCCAGGAGGAGGGGAGGAGGGGTTTGGGAGGGGCACAAAAGCTGCCGTCCGAGGTGATCCTTGTTTTACCACCTCAGGTACTAAAGGCAATCTGCGGCGGCGAATGCGATGCCAGCTCGGCTGTTGTTAGCGGCCCCGGGGGACCCCGTGAGAGTGGGAGGGGGAGGGGAGCTCTCAGCTGGCTTGCGTCCGAGTGATGTCACCCAACCTCCGCTCACGGGCTCCCTCTTCAGCGGCCTCACTGGACACACCGCCGAAGTGCGCCTGTCGGGTGCTCCATGAGTCCTTGGAGGGGGCACCTCATGCCTGGGTCCGGGCGGGCGGACAGTGAGCCCCGTCCACTCGAGTGCCCCGCCGTGTTGCCTGGCGAGTCCCTGAACCAAGCAAGCAGCCCCAGCTACAAGCTCTCCGCCGGTGTCGGCTAGGCGCGCCAGGTACCTCGCTGCCCCACCGTGTCCAGGGGCCTTGCCTCCTGAAACACATCAGTGAATCAAGCTTGGTCCCTGGCGGCAAGCAACCCCGCAGCGATTGGCCAGCCAGGCGGCGCCCAGCTGGGCAGAGCCGCCCGCAGCGACCGGGCTCTGCTTGAGGTGCCTCCATCGGACGACACGCACGGCTGCGGGCGGGGGAGCTCGTCGAAACGCGTGTCTTGGTTGCGGTGACGTGAGTGAGGACATGGCGAGTGTGTAAGTCCTCAGACGACATCTCACGCCTCGCAGCAGGCAAGCAAGCAACCTGCAGCCCTGTGGAGCAGCGCGTGGCTCTTTTGCATGCATCTTGTCTCGTTTGCGCGTCTCCGTTTAAGCCAAGCCGTTCCTTGCGTCTGGCAAAGCAACCGTCCGTGGTCGTCGCGCGACAGGATACCGTCCTGTGCTGCCCGTTCTGAGCATCACGGGGTCTCGCTTGGATTTACTACTGAGCCTTTTCCTTACTCTTCCGAACATGGGCGCGCTCCAGTGTTACACGAGACGGCTGCTCCCAGGCATTCGCGTCATTGCTTGCGTCGTAGCCTGTATTGTAGACTCGCTCAGCACGACGTATGGATTGTCCAGAATTCAGGACAAGTGCTGGTGGCACACGGGCGAGCAAGGCATGACGACGTGTCACCACCATGGGAGCCTCTTGCAATTGTGTAACAAGGCGAAGCGTTGCCCGTACACGCAGAACGGGCGCTGTGGGCATTTAGGCCGGGAGATAAGACGACGTTGATGCCTTCCCAGCCGGAACGTCCAAGACGCCAAGCCTCGTGACCTGGGATGGTCTGTTGCGAGGCCGGCGGCCAGCCTGGCGCGAGCTGGAACCGCTGTGGACAGCCTCTGGCGTGCCTAGCTGGGTGTGCGGAGGTCAGACTGGCAAGTGTCGAGCATGCAATGGCTAAACTACACCTGAGAACCCGCTGGACGTCGGAGACGCTGACGGGAACTTGGCCACCGAACGCCTCACTACGTGCCTACGAACAGCCTTGGGGGGTGCTGTCTCCAGAGCTCGCGGGCTGCCGGGCGCCTCCCTCAGAGAGGGGAATGGAACCAGCCTTGGTAAATCGAGCCGGACAGGGCCGCCTAAGTGGCTACTCTGGACGACAGGAGAGAATGGCTGCCAGGTTCTGGACGGGATAGAAGCCCCCTAAACTGACGGCTTCCAGTGTCTCGTTTCCCAAAGCGCGACGGGCTGGCGCCCCCCCCTTGAGTCGCTGGAGGGAAGGACCCAAGGACTGCCCGAAGGGGAATTGGAGGATGGATGGGACTGAACCGACCACGCTTGGGGGAGGGGGGCGCACAGGCGACCCCTTCGATTTACTGAACAGGCTGGCCGCCTGGGCCTGGCTTGCCTGGGTCATCCGGATTGCGCTGTTTCTCATTCCCGCGGTCACCTCAGCGCTGGGCACAGACGCGGACGCGGACGCTGACGCCGGCCGTGCTGAAATCTACACACCCACCTGCAGGCGCTGGAACGACCTGGGCCTCTGGGTGGCGCTGGCGGGCCACCATTGGACAGCTGGAAGGGTGGGCGCGGCCGCACCGGCTCACCCCTCAAACTCTCACTAACCGCGCTGAAATGCGTCCCGGGGGCATCACCACAGAGTCCCCTCGAGGTCCTTTGGCAAATTTAGCGAGTCCACGGCACCCCGTGTAAGTCGCTCAGGCAGCGCCCGTAGTCCACCAACGCGACGCCCACGCATCGGCCGCCGCAACGGCTTGGCCGAACACGCTGAAATGACACCGAGCCCGCGCCTGAGTACCAGAAATGAAGAAAATGACCAGATGCACGTGATAGCAGAGTACGGCGAGTGTACTTTGTGTGCCGCAAACGGAGGCACCGGCGGCTGTCGAGCGGAGAGCATTACCTGGCACCTGCCTGCCTGCCAGGTGGTTACCGCTGGTAGTGGGCGACAGGTGTCGTGGGCTCCTCCCTGGACGATGGAAGGCCAGTGGAGGTCGATCGGTGGTAATTGAGCGGCGGGCCGGTTGGAGGCTGCTCGCCTGTGCCGTCTTGTCGTGCCTCTCGTCGGCCTGAATATGGCCCCGAGCCCCAGGGCCACAGTGTGTGCCTGGAACGACGGACGAGAGGGCGGGCAGCCTCGAGCGAGCGGCCGGGGGGATGGGTGCCCGAGATGCAGGAGAGGTACGGGCCTGGCCACAGGCAATGCTGGCGAGGAAGAGGGGCGCGCTGGAGCCGTCATAGGGGAGACCGCCGGGCGCTGCACCCCATCTGGCAGCGGATGACGGAATGGGCGGCGAGGGCGGCTGTCACGGGCCTCAACAGAAGCCCTGCTGTCACGCCAGGAGGTCTCGGTGCCTGCGGGCGTTGCCCGACGACGCCGGGGGGGGAACGCCAGACCTCCCCCCATCAGGCCAGGTTGTTGACGGGCGGGCTGGAACTCCCGTCTGGAGTTGGGGGTGGTGGTGCAGCCCAGGTGCAGGCAGGTGGTGCAGGCGGCGGCGCTGGTGCGCGCTGTAGCCACTGAGGAGGCTGCGTGCCCTGAGGTGCCCGCCCAGAATGAGCGGGGCTGGCTGGCGGGCGGACCGCGGGCAGCATTGGGGGGGGCCTGTTTTGCTACGGGGCCTGGCCTGGGCTGGGCTGGGCTGGGCTGGGGGTGGTGCTCCAGGACAGGACTGGAGGTCAGTGGGAGCCCAGAAAGAGGGGGTGCGAGGCAAATTTTCGCGCCTACCCTGCCCGAGCTGGCTGCGAGGCCGTTGATTGCGCAGCGCCCGCGCGAGGGTAAAAGCAGCCCCCCCCGCCCCCCGAATTTTTCCAAAACCTTGATTCTTCAGCACTCTCGTCTCTCCTGCTCCCCCAACCAAACCTCCCAGCTGCACATCGCCGCCCATCCCCCTCTAGCACTCATTGCACGCCGCGCGAAGCTCTCAAGCCGCCCGGGTCCAGCACATCACCGCCGTTAAGCCAGCATTCTCAGTATCCGCACAGCGCCTCACCACAACAGCAACAAGAGCGCCGTCGCCCAAAAAAAGTGAGCGCCAACGCCCGCGCCAAAACACACCGCCGCGCCCCAGCTTTGTTACCATGCCTCGCCCTTCCAAGAAGGCAGACGACAAGGCCAAAGTCCCCGTTGTCCCCGCGCCCACCATGGTTCACCCGCCCGTCGGCATGATGCCCGTGCCACCCGTTCCTGTCGGCCTCGCTGCGGGCGTCCCGACGCGTCTCGTCGACCCGGATAGCTTCCTTCGCGTGCGCGACTCGGTGAGTGGCCTTGCTTTCCCTTACCGTTCCTTGTCCTTGTTCAAGTATGTGCACGGTGTTTGCATGGCCGCGATCGCCATGCTCTCGACCGAACTGGCGTGGCAGCACGCGCCGTTGCTCGAGCGCATCTGCCGACGACACGCGTGGCTGCGCTGCCGTCTGACCGAGCTGGAGACGGCCTTGAGCCTTGTGCAACAGGTCTCGTCTTGTTATGGTGGCCGTCTCATGCTCATATGAGCGCGAGAAAGCGCTTCTGATATGCACTCTGGTCGTCTCTGAGTCGCTTCCAAGCAGGTGCACCAGCTGTGGCCAAGCGACCAGCTGCACAGCCGTCTGTCGCGCTCCCACAGCTTGCACAAAGCCCAGCATCCTTCCTGCACAAATGATTTCATTTCACCCTTTTCCCTGTTTCTTTTTTTCACGTCAGTCCCATAATGCGCCTGGCTCTGGGCGAGACGCGCTCGCGGACACAGCTGGGGCTCTTTTGTTTACAATTGGGACCCCGCGCCGCGCCTGCTGGCCCCGCGCGCCACGCCAGAGCTCCAGTGGGCCCGGCTGTCTTCAGCGCGTTTGCAGGGGTGCCACTCAAGCTCGGCGGCTTGAGCTCACAGCTCTCGGCTCAGCGAGCTCGCACCCCCAGCTCGTTGGCGGCGTCGGTCAATGCCGTTGACGTTGTGGCCTTTGGCCCACCTGGCCATGCCCTGGACGCGTCGCCTCGCTTCACCCATGCATGCTTGCCGTCATAATGTTTTTTTCCGCAGCGCGTCTTCCGTCATAGACATTCCGATGGCTAACACGCGATGCACAGGCTGTTGGCCGCCTCAACACCATCATTGAGCTGATCAAGTCCTTCACTACCGACTATGTTCGCCAGACGAACCTGCTCCTCGGCGAGGCCACTGCCGATGGCGGGGCTGACCTGCTGAGCGCCTTTGAGAACACGGCAGCTCAGCTCATCATGCCTGGTGTCGCCCCTGAGCTGCAGCAGCCGGTTGAGGAGAAGAAGGAGCGCAAGAAGCGAACTCACGACCCCAATGCCCCCAAGCGTCCCCTGACCCCCTACTTCCTGTACATGCAGCACGCCCGCTCCATCATCGCCAACGATCTTGGTGCTGAGGCTCCCAAGGGTGCTGTCCAGGAAGAGGGTCAGCGACGATGGGCCCACATGAGCCCTACGGAAAAGAAGGTGAGAGACCTCTCTATGGCTCCGTCCGCGAACTGTTGCTAACGCCTCTTTTACAGGGCTGGAATGCTGCTTATCAGTATAACCTGCGCCTGTACAACGCCCGTGTGCACTCGTACAAGCAGGGCAACCCTCTGGCCAAGAACATGAACGACGACGAGGCGCTCAAGTACGCCGAGGACTTCCAGATCCCCATGCCGGAGATCAAGGATACGCCTGCTGAGGCGCCCAGCAATGACCACGACGCTATTGCTGAGCAGCTGCAGGCCGACGACGCCAAGACGCCCAAGAAGGCTGCTGGTGGTCGCAAGCGCAAGACGGCCACGCCCGCGGCCGACACCAGCATCATGGAGCCCAAGGCCACCCCTGCCAGCCCGGACAAGAAGCGCCGGCGAACGTCCACCAAGGCCGTAGACGACAAGGAGGAGCCCAAGAAGTCGGGACGCAAGAAGACTAAGAGCTCTTAGACGTCTCTGACCGTGTTTTCTGTGGCTTCGTTCTTATAGGCGCCCTGGCGTCAACATCATGGTCAGCCGGCGCGCTCGCCGTGACCGGCCGGGGAGTATGATATATACGTGGCTGCGCGGCAGCGAGGGCCCGTGGCTTATGTCGCTCTTCCTCACTCTTGTTTTTGGGAATTGGGTGGGTGTCGTTGGTCCTTCGGCTAGGAATGTCTTGTTTGCACGCGACGAGGCTCCTCGTTTCTTTGATATCTTGGGCTTGGTCAAATGACGAGAGAGGGAATGGGGACGACTGGGCAGAGAGGAGACGCGCCACGAACACGCGCTCACTCCCTCCCCTCCCCCGGAGAGACTCGCTGCCTCGGACGTGCTTATGCTGCCGGAGGCGAGAGAGAGAGAGCGGGAGGGGCGGTGCGGGAAGTGAAGTAAAGCGTTTCTGTATTGGGGTTTCCGTTTGGCTCTGGACCTGACCTGGACGGTGGGCTGTACTTATGCAGGAGGTTTTTGAAATTGCAATGCCGTAATGAACGCAGATGAGTTCAAAAGGTCTTTGCCTTGATCGTGTGCGTGTTGGCGTTGTGAATGCTGAGGCCAGTTACCAAGCCTCAGAGTGAGTACTTGTAGTTGGGTAAGGTAACCTCTGTAGAGCCGTATGCTCTACGCGCTCTGAGGCTCAGATCTCCGTTCCACAATGATCGAGACAGAAGTGCACAGTAGAACAAATGGCGAGTGTGCTATACTCGTACTTGGTAGTTGGTAACAAAACCCATCGCTTGGCAAACGCTACATGAATGCACGGGGCCGTCGGCCGCGGCGGCCGAGGGCACACCCCGGCACGAAAACGTGATATGTACAGTAATAGATGCATGGTGCGACCCTCTATCCCCCCTCAGCGCCGATGATTCCCCCTCCTCAATGCATATCAAAACCACCTTTCCCGGCCTCATTACTTATTTCAAGACGTAAAATTCGGAGACACATACCGCCCAGCCTTGTCGAGCAAAGCCCAACAAGAAACCGCCCATCCAGCACAACCTCCGCTGGAAGGCAGGCCCCTCAGAACACGTATTGCGCCTGAGACAGCGGCAGGGTTTCGGCAGGCGCGCACGTGCACACCTCGCCGTCGGCCTCGACGACGTAGCTCTCCGGGTCGACGCGCATGCGCGGCATGGCATCGTTCAGCCGCATGTCGCGCTTACTTATGTCTCTGCAGTTGCGGACCGCCTCGACGCGGCTGCGCAGGCCATAGGACGCGGCGGTGCCCGAGGAGATGCAGGCCTCGCTGACGAAGAGCACCTTGGACGAGGGCACGAGGGGCGCGTACATGGGGCGGCCGATGACCGGCTGAATGGTGGGGATGGAGCCGTTGGGGTCGCCCTGGCGCTGTCAGTTAGCGAGATGATGCTTGACTTGCTTTTACAGCCAACAGGAAAGGTGCTTACCATTTGCGCCCACGCAACAAGACCGCCCTTGAGAACAAATGCTGGCTTCGTTCCGAACCAAGCCGGGTCCCAGACGACAAGATCCGCGAGCTTGCCCACCTCAATGCTTCCTATCAGGTGGCTAAAGCCTTGGGCGATAGCCGGGTTGATGGTGTATTTGCTCACGTACCGCCGCACGCGGAAGTTATCGGCGTCCGTTCCTTCGTCCTCTTCGAGTCTGCCGCGCTGCACCTTGTTCTTATGGGCAGTGTTCCAGCTTCGCAAAACGACCTCGCCGCAGCGGCCCATAGCCTGCGAATCGGAGCTCATCATGCTAATGGCGCCCATGTCCTGCAGCACGTCCTCCGCCGCAATGGTCTCGGCACGGATACGCGACTCTGCAAAGGCAACGTCCTCGGGGATGTTTTTCGATAGATGATGGCACACCATGAGCATGTCGAGATGCTCATCGAGCGTGTTGCGTGTGAATGGGCGCGTGGGGTTGGTTGAAGCGGGCAGGACGTTTGCGTGTTCGACGACAGAGATGATGTCGGGCGCGTGGCCTCCGCCAGCGCCTTCGGTATGGTAGGTGTGAATGGTACGGCCCTTGAAGGCTGCGATCGTGGACTCAACAAATCCGCTCTCATTGAGTGTGTCGGTGTGGATACAGCACTGAACATCCAGCTCATCACAAGCAATCAGACAGGCGTCGATGGCGGCCGGCGTGGCGCCCCAATCCTCATGGACCTTGAGACCGCAGGCGCCGGCGATGATCTGTTCACGCAGCGCACCGGGGTCCGAGTCGCAACCCTTGCCAGTAATGCCGATGTTGACCGGAAGCGCGTCGGATGCTTGGAGCATGGCACGCATATAATGCTTGCCGGGCGTGCAGGTTGTCGCGTTGGAGCCAGCGCTGTGGGAGACGTGTGAGCAATGTACGTCCAGGAGGAGCAAATTGGAAATATCGTCCACCGACTGACCTTGGACCAGTGCCACCGCCTAGCATTGTGGTTATTCCAGAGGCGAGCGACTCGAGCGCCTGTTGCGGGCAGATATAGTGCACGTGAGTGTCGATGCCTCCGGCGGTGATAATCTTCCCCTCTCCAGCAACGACATCGGTGCAGCTACCGACTATCATGTTGGGCGTGACGCCCTCCATGACATCTGGGCTACCCGCCTTGCCGATGCCGACAATCATACCGTCCTTGACGCCAATATCGGCCTTGTATATACCGGTCCAATCGACTATCAGGGCGTTGGTGACCACCATATCGAGTGTCTCCGCGTCCGAACGGCCTGTGGCCTGACCCATGCCTTCGCGCAGCGTCTTGCCGCCACCGAACTTGCATTCGTCGCCGTACGACGTCAAGTCCTTCTCCACCTTGATCCAGAGGTCTGTGCTGCCGAGGCGGATGAGGTCGCCAGTCGTGGGACCGAACATGGTGGCGTATGCTGCGCGGTCCATCTGGAACATGTTGATGTGTACTGGGTCGACAAACGGGTCAGGGCGGTGGGCAAAGCCGGCCTCCTGGAGGCTTGTGACGATGTCCTCGACACGATGGCGCTCGACGGGACCGGAGGCGAGGTTGTTGCCGCCGCGGATCACCTTGCCGCCGCCAATCTCAACGAGGGTGACCGTCTTGGTATCGCCAGGCTCAAAGCGCACGGACGTGCCGGCGGCGATGTCGAGACGGTAGCCATAGGCTTTGCCGCGGTCAAACTCGAGCTGCGGGTTCACCTCGATGAAGTGGTAGTGAGAGCCGACCTGAATGGGGCGGTCGCCTCTGCTCGTGACGCGCAGGCGGATGCGTGGGCGGTTCTCGTTCATGACAACGCGGCCCTTAACGGCGACGACGGCACCGGGCTGGCGGTGGAGCTCGTACTCGGAGTCGGGCGGCAGCGGGAAGGCCTCATTGTCCGGGATGGGCAAGAAGCTGCCGTAGAGGGCGCGGCGCAGGTCGCCGTCGTCGGTGGCGATGGGGTTGTGGACGGTGACGAGGTAGGTGCCCATGGGAAACGTGCCCTCGACCTGAATCTCCCGCAGAGTGCTGCAGACGGCGGGCAGGACGTGGCGACGCCCGAGCATGGTTGAGCCGAGGGCCATGAGGTCGGCGACGGAGTGGTTGCCATCTCGGATGAGCTCATGGAGGTTGTTGGCGATGAGAGCCTTGAAGAATGACGTGTGAGTGAAGAGACCTTTGTGCGACTTTCTACACGGTACTCGGGCAGGGTAACACCAACGGAGGCACCTGCCCTGCCATAGAGGCAATTTGCTAACAAGGCAAGTGCGGCGTCGGACGCGGCAAGCACGAGGCGCGAGACTGAGAGGGAGAAAGTGAGAAGGAGCTCACCGTTGCTTCGGAGTGGTTGAGCCGCACGCCTCTCGCCAGCCGCCTCTGTGCGAGGAGCCCAAGCTGTGAGATGACGAGCTTATCAAGCTACACGTGCGCGTTAGTATCAGGTCTAGTCTACGCCTCTATGCGAAGCTCAGTCCAAGAGCAGGGCGCGGGCGCGATGACGAACCTCTTTCGGCACGAGCAACATGGCGCGTTGTATACTCGTACGTCACTCGAATGGAGGGAGACCGGGGTGGTGGTGGTGGGCGAGGTGCCAGCGGCAGCGCGAGAGCTACTAAAGCTGTCTTGTGGTGGACGAGCGAGACTCACACACGCAGGCATGGAGGCACGCACGCGTCGAGGGGAGGGAGAGGCATTCAACAGCGGCAGCAGCAGCAGCAACGAATGAGCACAGAGTCCACGGTGAAGCAAAAAACGGGAGACAGGTTTCACGCAGTGCCCGCGGCGCTGGCTAGAAAGAGGCCATTCCCGACGCCGCGGCGCTTTTGGCCGAGCTGGGGCTTCATTTTCGGCGACGACGGGCGCCCCCAGCCGACCCAGCCGACCCCAGCGCCTGTGCCTTGGCCTTGGCCTGGCCTGGCATGGTGGCCCTGAATGAGCCGACCCGGTTCCCTCTCGTCTCTGTCTGTCTCGTCCCCGCCGACACGCCCCAGATCAGGGGGGTTAGACCCTCTGATCCCGCTCTCTCTCCAGGCGCGCCCGTGTGTGAAATTCTGCGGGCCACGCGCCGACTACCTATCACCGAGGACGCTGACTGACAGTCATGAGTGAGGGTGGTATCGACGGGCCGCGATAAGGCAAGCCGGGGTGCTCTAGCGTTATCAGTGTCGGACCTAGCGGCGTGTAATTGGCCGCCATCGGACGTCTTTGTCTCGAAGGGGGCCCCCGGAGTCGACGACGACTCGCCGCCGGCGGGCGGGCTGGCGGGCGGGCGGGCCGTTGATGGTAGTAGCAGCAGTAGAAACACGGCAAGAAACGGCTGAAGATGGGCAAAAAAGTGAGGGGCTGTCGTCGAGCTTCCCCCCTCGGAGCGGTGAGTTTGATGCCGTCAGACCGATCTGATCTGCGAGGGCAGGCAGGCACCTGTTGAACAGGCAGGTCCTCTCGTGGGGGAACCACCTCACGCGCAGCCCGAACCGGCAGTCGGCGAGGCGAGACGGCTTTCCCGGCACGCCCAGGTTGGATGGAACTTATCAGGAAAAAAACGGGCGCCCTGCAGCAGTCCCCTTATCAACGGGCAGGCTCCCCACGTTGGCCGAGCTGCCTGGTCGCCGCCCCGGCGCAGCGGACGGCGTCTTGATTGGGGAAGATGGCCCCCATACGCCATGCTGCCAAGACTGAGTCCGGGGTGCAGGGACAGGACAGGACTGAAAATGGCACTGCGAAACAGCGCGACGCACCGCAGAGGCGCGCTTTTCCAGGACACGGCTCCTGTTTTGTTGGCTCGTAGGCGCGGGCAGGGCCGGGGTTGTGTGGGTGGGCGGGGGAGGAGGGCCCCATAGAAACGCTTCGGGAAAATGGTGGTGCATCGAATCGAATCGGGCGCCCGAGACTCGACGTCGCACAACGCTCTCAAATACCATCATGTAACGGGCAATCAGAAGGGAGTGCCATTGTTGATACTCTATCCACGAACCCTGCATAGGCCCCTTGACACTCCCGCCGCACGCGTGATGGATGCTCTGCATAGTACAAAATGGAGGCGCTTCGTCAGGCCGTACCAAGGGCCTTCCGCTGTCGTGCAACCAAAAAAACTGACGCGCTCTGCTCTCAGCTGCTGCTTGTGACATCCCCAAACCGAAACACCCCCGCAAAGAAGGCAGACATCCTTGTCGCACCAAACGCCGCCCGCGGCCCGCCTCCCGCTCCAGCTCGACGAGGCAGAGCCGCATCTTACTTAGCCCCGGGATTCCCTCGTGGCGTGGCAAGCGCCGCGCATGAACAGGCAAACAGACACACCAAACGCCGCCCTTCTCCAAAAACTAGTCCGTGTACTTCGTAGTGCCGCCCAACCCGCAGGCCCAGCCCTGTCAGACGCCGAGCCCATCTGTGTGCAGGGCGGTTCTAGTCGTCGCCTTATTCCTCCTCCACCTCCTCGTCCCACTGCTTCTTTTCCTGCTTCATCAGCTGCTGCATGTCTTCCGGCTTGAAGATGGAGCTGTCGGGATCCGACTCGCGCGGCACCTTGCTGAGGCTCTCGTCGTCGAAGAGGAACCCGATGGTGTCGATCCACCGGCGCCTCCGCTCCATCAGCGTCTTCGTAAGGTCGCCGATGCCCGGTCTCGCCGTGGCCGACGCGCCGCCTACCACGTGGCTGCCGCCGCCTGCACCGCCGGGCCGCTTCGTCTTCTTGCTCTTGCCCATGGTCCGCGTCCGCTTGAGGTACGCCGCCTGCACCTGCGAATCCAGGTCCTCCAGGATCGTCTGGTATTCCTGGTGCGCCATCCTCTCGCGGACCAGCTCCGTCAGACGCGCTTTGCGCGCCCCGTTGATGAGCATCTGCTGCCGCAGCTTTTCCTGCAGGAATCGAAGCCTGCCGGCCACCTCGTCGTCAAAGTGGCCGTCGTAGTCTACCTCGAAGCCATCCTGCGGCAGGAACCCGATGTGCTTCAGCTCCTGCTTCAGACGTTCGTCCACTTGTGCATAGTCGAGCTTGGGATGAGTCGCCTTCTTCCACGCCTCCGTGGACGATTCCGACATGTACGTAGCGGGAGGCAGCGGGTTGGTCTTGTCGTCGCCTGTGCCATTACCTTGCGGCTGGTCGTCGTTCATGTCGCCGTTCATGCTGACGTCTCCGTTCACGACACCGTTAGTGACAGTCTTGTCGTCGGACGACTGGGTTCGGTTCTCGGGTCGAAGCATTTGCAGCAGGCGCGACGCCAGTGGGCTTATCGAGAGCCCGTCCGTCTCACCTATGCTGTCCGTCATGTTGTCGATGGTTCCTCGAGACTGGTTTGGCGGCAATTTTTCACGGCCCTGCTGCGGCGAGTCCACCGCCATGGCGCCATCCTCTTCGGCCCAGATCTCCGTGTAGGAACGCTTGCCACGTTTCGGCATGACAAAAGGTGATACGCGGTCGCCGCGTTCTCGCAGGAATGCGAGATCCTCCTCTGTAAATGGCCGAAAGTAAGGATCGATGTACGTCGAAAAGGTGGTGAAGTTGATTTGGCTGCTGGGCTTTGCGTTGCTGAAGTCCTTGTCGGGCGGGTCACCAGCAATCATGTCCGCGAGGTTGCTCCGCGGGTAGACGGCAACGGAATAAATCTCCCTCTTCTCCTCGTCCGACATGCCCGGCTGAATCTCCTTGATCTCATAAACCGTAGGATCCGGGAAGGTCGAGGGGTCCTCGCCAAAGGTTTGCGACTGCGGCATCTCGCGTCTCGGGGGTGCGCCCTCGTCTTCGGAGCTCGATTCGTCTTCTTCCTCTTTGTTGTCTTCCTTTGGCTTCTTGTCCACGTCCATAGCAGAAGGCGAGCCTGCGGCGATGGGCGACAAGGAAGAGCTGGCGGAGCCGTCGCGGGAGTGTTTTCGTTTTGAGTCTCGCAGCGGTGATGATTGCTCTGGAGAGAAAAAGCAGAGTTAGTTTGCGGCTACACTCTTATTCGTTTGTGCAGGCAAATTTAGCTCTGGCGCGCCAAAGCGATTCACTGAACAGGCCGGTGCCCGCCACAATGACGGAGGACAACGCGCCGGGACGAAGCCACTCACCTCCGCCATCTCCCAGCCCCTGTGACTCGGAGCCCTTCTTTCTCTTGTGTTTGTGCTTCTTGCCCTCTTGCTCGCCGTCGACACGCATGTAGTCGTCATCAGGGCGCTTCTTCCGCTCATCGGCGAGATGGCGCATGCCTCGGTCGTAGAACGTTGAGCGCTTCTCCATGATACTGGTGAGGCTCTTGAGTTTGTCGAGCATTACGTCGATGCTCTTGGAGTCGGGAACCGTGGCGGTGGAAGCGCCCTGATCGACGAGATCGTCATAGGCAAGGTTGGAGAAAAGAATGACTCTGGTGTTCAGATAGTCTGGGTCGTAGAACTCTGTCGGCGGCAGGCTGGCCGGCGCCGGCGTCGAGTTGCGGCTCTGCTTGGACATGGCGGCATTCTTCTTGCCGGGGCCCGACTGGCTCGAGGGTGCCATGGTGGCGCGGAATGAAGGGGCCCCTTTATAAAATCATGGGATAGTGGCCTCGATGCGACGCGACACGACACGGAGATGGATCTGTCCTGCGGCGGGTGTGAAGTCAAATGTCTTGCTGCGGATGGCGTCGACGAGGTGCGTCGTGGGTGGTGCTGGCACGTCACAGCGCGGCTCGTGATTGGCGTGTGTGGTGATTGATGCGTCGCTGACGGACGTCGCGCCGGAACGACGAAGCCGGAGGCGGAAGAATCAATTCGCCGGCGCATTCGTCAGGGTAGCACCCACAGGCACGAAGCCATCTGGTGGGGTCAGGTCAGGTTACACGGCAGCAGCGAAGCCTAACCCTTACTGATTCGTCCACGACGGTTCGACTGGCTTAACAAGCTGTCAAGCTTGCATGGAGAAGCCGACAGAGCGAGAACGGCGGAAGCTTGAACTGCATGTCTGCAGTCACGTAGCTGGTGTTTCCTTCAGACTGGATCTGGACTCTGTCGCGACATATCACGTCGGGAATGCGAATGCTTGTAGAGTTGAACCCCGCACGCGGGCAGCGCACGAAAGGGTCGAGGGCTGGCCCGGTAGCACTCATTTCGATGTCGCGTTGACGAACCACTTGCAGGAATCCGCTGTGATTGCCAGGACTTTAGCTTAATACCCGGAGGCTCAACGGTACCCACGGGGTCAACGCTACCAACTCGCTGCATCATTCTAATTAAGTGCAAACCGCTGCCACGACGATTTGTATTTATAAAGACAAATCGTCCTCTTGGATCAAGTGCTACTGGCTTCTTTCCTGGTAGACGGAATTAACCTCTCAATTGTCCGCTAGCCGAAATGCGCCTCACTTCCTCCCACTCACGCTCAGTCATGCCAAATTCCAGCTCATCATGCCACCCGCGGTTGAACCATATTGTCTCCCTCCTCCGACCCTCAAGGCTAAACCCGAGTTCTTGGTAGAGATGTATCCCACGCGGGTTGAACGACGCTGCCGTGATGCTCACGGTGTGAAGTGCGGCATGTCGAAACGCCCAATCCAACATCCAGTTGAGCGCCTCCCTTCCGTAACCTCGATTCTGATACGGACTAGCAATTCTGATGCCAAGTGCAGCTGTTCTATGATGCGCAACAGATGGAGGGATGCCGCCGCCACCGAGAGCCATTACGCCAATCACGATTTGACTGTTAACCCCGTCCTCGTCCACTTCGACACCACTTTGCGCCCTGAATCTGGTCGCTTCTTCGGGAAGAAGGCATATGGTCACACCCAATAATGACCGTGCAAGATTCTCGGCGTACTGGTCGAGTTCCTTCTGCCGCCTGGGCTGCAGAATAGCAGGAGAAGCGAGGGCTTGTGTAACCGGATCCTGTTCGACTTTCGCGATGATGGCTTTATAGTCCGCGTCCGTTTCGTCAGCCTTACGGTACTGGAGCCGCTCGGAACGAAAAGCATGGATCAAGTCGCTTGTAGAATCCTTGGTGTCCATAATTGAAGATCTGAAGCGGTGATTGTAGGATAGTGATGTTCAGTGTGAAGCCTGACGTGAGACTGTCGAGCAAATTTATCGTGATACATGTGAAATTGACAGGTGTCGACCAGAAGTGAACTTGACAGTTTTGTTCAGCGGATGATGTTAAACGCGCCCTTCAGCCCCGCAGCACCATGCCCTCTCTACCGCAGATACGCGCCGATGAGTATCGTGATTCCATGCCTGCGCAAGCGGCTATGGCAGCAGAACGATAGTAGCAGCAAAGGGTTGCCGTATGCGGCTGCGCTTGCGTGCACATATTGTATGGTGCAACGGGGAACGCCGGAGCGGTTTGCGCTCGAATTGCGTGGGACGAGGACGATGAGTGGGTAGGATCACAACTCGATCGTCTAGCACGCACGTATAGCTGTCGCGATGCCCAACATTGGACGGAACCACGCTCGTTTCCAAGGTGCGCGAGTGAGAGTTCGAGGTAACCGGGCGCCCAAGGAGATGGGTGTAGCTTCATCACCTTTGGCACCCGAGCTTCACGTTGACCTCACTTGTGCATGGCGCCTCGTACGTCACAAGTCGTCGGGATCAAGTCGCTTCACGTATTTTAAGCTGAGGCTGACTTAGTTGGACCGATACACGCGGAGGCAGATATTTCCCATTGAAGTTCACGGCGCTCTTGCCGGTCCTGGTGGCCGTTATTGCCCTAGTCATCTGCGCCGATGACTCGGCAGATGCCGTCGCCCCGTTCGAGATGCTGTGCTACTGGACTGTTTACGACCTCGACGTCGCCGTCTGGGGTGTGCACAATTGGCTACATCGCCACCAACTGCCTCGGACGTGGCAAGGACATGGCTGCCTGTACGCAGCGACATGCCGTGTAACGTTTTGGGCGTATCACGAGCTTCATGCGTGTGGCATTGGCTGGCCTCGGCTTAACTTGGACGTGCGTACTTTACAATTGCCTGCCCTGCCATTGCCCATGGTTGAGAATTGATGACGGGTGAAAGTGGCTCTGAACTCAACAATTATCGCTCGGCCGCTCGCAAATGATGTCAGCGCGGTGGTGCACTGTGCTGTACCGTACCGTACTTCGTACCTCAAACACGTCCAAGTGCTTGACACCAGTGCGGCGGTGCCGGTTGCTCCATGTGGTGGCCCGGCTCCGTCCCATTGGTTCGGTGGCTGGAGGCGCGCGCCCGTGCCTGATCTGGGGGGCTCGGGGCGGCTGCTGCCCGCCTGTGAGGCTCGCGCTAGGGGACCGTCGGGACGGGACCTTCCAGTTGTACGATGGGGGAGGTGGTGGCACCTGGACCCCACGCGTCCGCGGGTCCTTCCACTGGGAGATCTGCCTATCGCGGCAATGGATGCTTCCAGGTTGCTCTCCCTCCACCGACTCTTTCCAACTTGCGTTGCTGTGAGTTCAACAGAGAGCACCGAGCGGTGTCTTCCAGTGTCACGCCTGCGCCAACCCCCATGGAACCCGGCGCCCGTGCGCCGGCCTCCAGGCTCACCATTCCGAGCCAGGCAACACTTCCATGAAGCCGAACATCTCTAGACACTCAGAGCCTCGAGGTGCCTCCCGCCTGACTCGAAGCCTCTTGTTGTCCTCCCCTGGATGCCTGGATGTCGCCGCGCCGCTCCACTGTCCACCCACACTTGCTCGTGCACAGCAAAGTTCAGGTTCAGACGCCTAGCATGGCTGGCCGCCCGTGGCAGCACCGCAGCGCGTTCAAACAGTCGTCCAGCGCGAGCCTCCTGATGGAGCACGTTGCCCAAGCATGTGGCCCAGCCATTGGCCCACGCCGTGCCGGCCCCGGCCATCCTCGACGATCCCGGGGGTGGTGGGGCCGCCCCAGGGATATCCAGAGATGTCTTGTATGCGTCGTGCACGGGTTGTAGCACGCGTCCATTGCAGGGCAGCAAGGCATGTACAGTACTGTATTCGTGTAAGTCCACGTACGGTACACACGAATCAGCCAAGGGTCCTCGTCGCATGGATGGCAGGCCAGTACTGTAACCGCTGCTCTACGCCGCATCGGGGAGTCGGCTCGCCGCTCGACAGCCCCCGGGCCACCGTCGAGGACCCTGCCCGACCGCCGCCGAAGAATGCATGTTGCCTGTAGTACACACATGCAGAATCTCCCCGAAGGACAAGGGCCGCCAGCCTCTCGGCTCAAAGCTGCCATTCTGCGCATGACCCTTATTCCCTTGAGCGACCCCTCGCCCGGTATATACATCCGTATTTCCCTCGACCCCTCGTGCCCCTCGTTCTGTCGTGTCCCCCTTTCATCCTCTTGGTCTCGTTCAACCATACTACACCTCCAGGCCACCTTCAACACGGCTCAGAGCTGACCAATTGCACCTCTCTCATCGTTGTCGTCATACAATGAGAGAATACCATGGCTTCTCATGTACGCCCGCCGCCCCAATCCAGCCGGCGCTCCGCTCGCGTGCTGTACTGACGCCCCCCTCAGGGTGGTAACATTATGCCCTCTGGCATCGAAATCCGACCCCTCTATGCTGGAATTGCACTCGCCCTTGTAGGCGGACTGTGCATCTCCCGCCTCTCCTCCCCCTCAAAGGACGGCAAGGACGCTCCTGGCCTGTTCAAGTCCTTCTTCCTCTTCTTCTACTCTTCCTTCATCAAACCGCACCAGGGAGACTCCAAGGCCAACCAGCAGGATGCCCTCGAGAGTTTCTACAAGACTCAGGCTGGCGCCTATGACGCCACTCGCAAGGTCCTACTCCATGGACGCGAGGATATGCTCGGCCTCGTCGCCGCCCAGCTCGAGTCCAAGGCGCTGGAGATGAAGGCCGCTGGCAAGAGCCAGAACAGGCGAATTTGGGTTGACGTAGGTGGACAAAGAAATCCGCGCTCACGACTGCCGCTAATGAGGTGACCTGCCCGGGATCAGATCGGCGGTGGCACTGGCTGGAACATTGAAGCCATGGCCCAGTTCGTCAACGTCCCCGAGTTCTTCTCCAGTGTCTACCTCGTCGACTTCTCCCCCTCCCTCTGCGAAGTTGCTCGAAAGAGGTTCCAGAGGCTTGGGTGGAACAATGTCACCGTGGTTTGCGAGGACGCTCGCAAGTTCCGGCTCGAGGACTATGAGAGTGGCATGCCGGTGGTGCAGAACCCGCTTCGCTCTCCCATGCTCAGTTACTTCAAGCAGCAGCGCCCGGAGCACGGCGGTGCCGACCTGGTCACCATGTCTTATAGCCTGTCCATGATTGTGAGTCTAACGTGAAGCAATTCGACTTTACGACAAGCCCCCGTTAGCTGACTGCGTCGACTGAAGCCCGACTACTATTCTGTCATTGACTCGACTACGTCGCTGCTGTCTCCGCACGGCATCATGGGTGTTGTCGACTTTTATGTCCAAAACAAGATTGACTTTTCGTTCCGCAACTACACCGGCGGCCTCGTTGGGCGCCACGTCAATACCCTGTCCCGCGTGTTCTGGCGCGCCTGGTTCGACTTTGACCGGGTCGGTCTGGAGCCAAGCCGCCGCGACTACCTCGAGTACAAGTTTGGCACGGTCCTCAATATGAACGGCCGGAATCGCACGCTGGGCTACATTCCGTTTTACGTCTGGGTTGGCTGCCACAAGAAGCCTTTTTCGCCGTCCAGCCTGCCTCACGAGATTATCGAGCGCATCGACGCGCTGGCGACCGAGTCTCCGTACTTGTACCCGGTCAACCAGGGAGACGCCTTGACCCGCGCCATTGAGAGGTCCGCACCGGAGATCCGCTCCAAGGCGTTCATTACTGCCGCGCAGAACCTGTCGGCTAACCTGCCTCTGCCTTCTTTCTTCTACCAGAACCACCACTGGCGCATCTACTACGACGACCAGCTGAAGAAGCACACGCAGTTCAACAACGAGTACATCTACGCCTTTACCTGGGAGGATGCTCGCGTTGATGAGCGACTCCTGAAGCTGGGGCCGGATGACAAGGTCCTTGCAATCACCTCGGCCGGAGACAACATTCTTTCCTACCTTGCCCAGAGCCCGGCTCGTGTCCACGCGGTCGACCTCAACCCTACACAGAATCACCTGCTGGAGCTCAAGGCGGCCGCTTACACTGCGCTTCCCTACGAGGACTTTTGGAAGATCTTTGGCGACGGCAAACACTCCAACTTCCGCGAGCTCTTGGTGTCCAAGCTTTCTCCTCATTTGTCTAGTCGCGCGTTTCAATTCTGGCTCGACAACGTGCATGTTTTCCAGAACGCTGGCGGGTATGGCCTCTACGACACTGGCGGTTCCCGCCATGCCATCCGCGTGTTCAGGTGGGTGGCACGCCTCTTCGGCCTACAGACCGCCGTGAAGCAGCTCCTCACGGCCAAGACGCTCAACGAGCAGCGCGAGATCTGGCGCCAGAAGATTCGCCCCGCGCTTCTCTCCAAGCTCGTCTGCAACCTCGTCGTGGCGCAGGAGAGCTTCCTCTGGACCGCCCTGGGCGTGCCCAAGAACCAGCTCGCCATGATCGAGGCGGACCACGCCGAGTCGGACCTCGTCAAGGGCGACAAGCCCAAGGCGAAGAACACGCGCTCCCACGCCATCTGGCACTACATGGTCAACACGCTGGACCCGGTCGCCGAGGAGACGCACATCGCGGACGACAACCCCTACTACTACGTCTGCATGGCGGGCAAGTTCTCGCGCAAGTGCCACCCCGAGTACCTGCGCCCAGAGACGCACGCCAAGCTGTCGCGCCCGCGCGCCCTCGACGGGCTGCGCATCCACACGGACGAGCTGGAGGAGGTGATTGCGCGCATCACCCCGGGGACGCTGACCGTCGCCGTGGTCATGGACAGCATGGACTGGTTCGACACGGGGTCGCAGGCCGCCGCGCAGCAGGTCACCAAGCTGAACCGCGCGCTCGCCATGGGCGGCCGCGTCATGCTGCGCTCCTCGGCCCTGAGCCCCTGGTACCTCAAGGTGTTTGAGGGCCACGGGTTCACGACCAAGCGCCACGGCGGGCGCATCGACGGCGCGTGCATCGACAGGGTCAACATGTACGCCAGCTGCTGGGTGTGCACCAAGACGGAGAACCTGCCGCCCCCGACGCCCGAGATGGACCGCATCGGCGGGTCTGAGATTACCAGCCTGACGATCTGAGTCGGGTGAGGCGTCTGGGAGAGGATGCCGTTCAACACCGCGTCCTCGACATCACGATTGGCAATTGTGATTGGAAAATGAAACTTAGCGGCGTGTGAATTAAGTAGTATACCTGCGTCTGTGACGCTAGCGACGAATGAAGAGTGCCCTGATCACACTGATAATACGACCGCATGTGCCCCTAGAGACTCGATACTGTCTGTTTGCATTTTTGCATGGATCCATAGCCTGCCCCATAAACCAGGTCACTATATGCCTTCAGATTCCCCCAGTTCTGACTCTGAAGGCATCCCCTGACTCTTTCGTTAGCACCTGTGCCCCAAAAAGCCATGGGTCATTCAGACGGGAGGCGCAATTGATGCCGTACAATTACTCCACCCTCTGGTCGGGTACCTCAAGACGAATGAGTTTACCCTCGTTGTCGCACTTCCGGAGCGTCAGCTTTCATGATGCACACGAAGCCTCTGGTAACCTGAAAACTCACGTAGCACTTGGCCATGTCAGCATTTTGCCTCAAGGGAGTATTGGTGCCATTACAAGGGGGTTACATACCGCCTGTTTTCGCCGATGTATATCTCAGCATCGTGCGCAAATAGCGTCAACACTGTTCGACGTCGAAATAACACTGATGTGTCGAGAAACTCACCGTCTGTCGGGCCAAGACGGGTCAGTTCATGCGCTGTTAGGGGTATAGGAACGTGGCTTTACTTACACAAGCCTGCCCATTCGCGCACGTTAGCACGGTGAACGGGCAAATGATAACGGGTTGGGGGGCCGCACTGGGACGATTACTTACACAGCGATTGGTATCCTGGCAGCTCGTCACGTTGGCACTTTGGCCCAGATACGAACACTTGGAACGTGTCAATTCTGTGCCAGAGCATATATAGAGCTGTGGAGAACTGTTGTTTACCTTGTACTCGGCGCAAAACTGGAGATGAGTGGTGTTAGTTGCGTGGCTGGGGATCGCTAGATTTAGAAAGTAAGGACTTACACACTGCCACCCAACTCGCAATCGCGTCAGTCAGTAGCTGCAAGGCGACATCAAATTCGAGGGGTTCACATACGCCCTAAGTCCACGTCTTATTTAGTGCAGTGCTTTGAGTATTCGCTCATGACGAAGCTTACTTTCTAGTTCGTCTTTGTTTTAGCTCGCAAGATATGGACGCAGTTATCATCATCCACCACACAGCGTGAGACTCACACACTGGTGAGTTCATGTCTATTAGCTTTCCTGAGATTTACCTCGTTCATTACGTAGCTGGTGACTTACAGGTGAACGAGGGTCCTTCCCCGGAGTCGGCTCCCGAATCGCCGCAGATACGCCTGTGGCCGCACTGAGCATGACAACCAGTAGAGTCGAGGGCCGCATCTTGGTGCTGTGGAAAGAGATTCAAATACGTGCTGGATAAACTGATAGAATAATACCGTCTGTAGCATCGGGCAGTCAGTTAAAATGACGCAGTATCAGCTTGACGAACTGTTTTATCCCCACGGCTGGGGTTTTGCACTTTATACCTGATATTACCTGTTGACAGTCCACTCGTTTACGCGATCCACTCAGTTAGCAGCCTTCGGAAATGGGACTGTACGCGAGCGTGAGTTTTCCATGTCCGCGGCATGAGAATGCTAATTAACATCCATCGAGCTGACTATTACGGTGAGGGAAAGCGGCCATCTATACCCCAGGGCGCCCCCTGTAGTGCACACTTTGCATGGCATCACGCCCGGAGAACCAATCATGCGGCTAGAGGAATAGACTATTTTGAGCGCCAGGGCGAGCTGAAAGCACACTTAGCCATTCCGATTCATTACTCCGTATAGTTACAGGTACATATCTCGCCCGGGCATCACTTCGCACTGCTACACGATGCGGTTGAGGTCCTCTACTAACACCTCGATAAGTGATCAGCATTCTTGCGAAGTAGACTGCTGGGGGTGCGGATCTCGTCTGAGGCGTTTGCAAGCGTATCTGGCGTCGTAGGCGCGCGTAGCCGTTCTATCTCAAACCGCTCACTGACTCGTAAGGTTGAGAGCTAAGGTGGCTCTAGCAAACAGCAGAATTCATACGGTGGAACCCGGCTCGTTTGTTTTAGGAAGCCTCAGGCCGACTTAGAGGCGCAGCCGATGCCAATACCTAACGTGTTTGCTGGTTTCATGTCGTGAGCAGCCTGCCAGTTTGCGTGAAGGTGGGAAAGGAGCCGGCCGGGGGGGCGGATTTCGGGCTGGCGTAGCGACCTTGGCACGGAACTTCAGCTGGCCTAGTACTTATACTTCCATGGATTTAAGTTTTGACTGAATTCTGAACCGGCAAATCTGATGCTGAATGAACAAGGGAGAGGCTTGCTCAGGCACATGAAGCCTGCTCCGCTGCGATTGTATTCTCAATGAACGCGTGGCGGAAGCCGTTTCAATGCGATTAGCTGTAGCCAAGACGACTGGCCGCAGAGCATGTTACTAGCAGGTGATGAACAATGGCATGGAACATGAACTGACTGGCTTCGGTCTGTTTAAGCCAACGCTCAACGTTTACGATGGGAGCAGCATGTATAGCAATGTGATGTTCATGGGATAGTATACTGAAATTTATTGGGAACATTGCAAGAAAGCCTCAGATTCGCTCAAACGACAGGCTTGCCATCAACATAGGTACCTAGGATGAGGCGCTTGGTTGTGCCAGCTCGCGGGGCATGATCTCGGCAGTTATAGCCGCAGCCGAGTACCACGCACCCAGGCCAGGGTCATTTCCGTACTAAAACATGTTATCGAAGAGCACGATTGTACCGAAGCCCAATGGGGAGATATCCTACCGCGATGAAAGCGATGGCCAGTTCTTTTGGCGTCTGCTCGTCTGGCGCGTGGTTGAGCCAAGTCACCGGCCGACGAACGTACGCATTCTTTGTAATCATCCTCCCATCCTCTGGCCGCACTTCAAAATTGACGATCCTCCGCGGATCGAGGATGTGGTGGTTGTAAAAGTCATGGTCACGGAACGGACCGGCAGGCTCCGGGAATGTCCTGTTGTTGAGGATCGCTTGACTCGTGTACTCGGGCTGGGCAGCCTCTTCCTCGGCTGCAAGTTCCATGGTGTGATCTTCGCCTTCGTCCGAGCTGGGGTAGGTGATTTCGTACTCAAAAGGCAAGTCCTCTTCGTCTCTCGCATCGTGCAGCACGGCGGTGACACGCGCGGACTCGGCGAGTGCAAGGAGGGACTGGTACACGACCATGTCGAGGCCCTTGAGGCAGTGTGCGAGGTCCTTGACCGACGAGTTGGAAGTGTGTGGGTACGCGTGTGTGCATGTGAAGCCCAGTGTCGCGCCTAGTCCCGCGTTCAGCATCCGTAAAGAGTACTCTACTTTTCAAGCCTTACCTCTGGACTTGATGTCTGGCGCGTCGAGGAGTTCCTGCAAAGCGCGAAAGAAATGTAGCGTCTCGAGCTCTAGCGCGGAGAAGTGGTGGCCCATGAGCGCGGGGCCATACGCCGTCCAGTACAGGTTGTACGTTAAGGTGACGCGATGGCCTTGTGTCACCTCGAGGACCTCGTGCTCGCAATCGGAGAAGAAGGCCGCCCAGCGAACGGCGTTCGCGTCCTCGCCCGACCAGTCGAAGGTTGTCTCTCGTCTACCGTGGCGCACCACGAGCTCGCCGCCTGATGGCATTTAGCCATATTCCAGCAACTTATAGCATGCCTCGTGGACGCTAAAGGGAGAGAAGGCTGTTGCTTACCTCGGTGAGAGTAGGGCAGGCACACAACAAGCGAACCCATGTGGTTCCCTGCCCGTGGAGTGTCAACATGGGCTTTGAACCTGCCAGAAGGGGCAGAATAGACCTGTCGACTCTGTATCAGCGGCCATTATGTGTATACCTTGCGAGGGGGAGACAAGGACTTGATACATTCAGCTTGTACAACTGCGCCTTGACCCCACGAGCAATCTGGTTTTGCCGCGCTCCGTGAAGCAACGCCTGCGCGATAGTGTCCACGACGCCGTCAGCGCTGGGGTCAAAGCTGGAGCAGAATCTGCTCTCATCCATCTTTCCCGCCTTGCGGTACTCCTCGTCAAAGACCTCCTTCTCGCCGATGCCAAACGCTGCGGGCTCGCAGTCCTTGCACAGCTGGTCGAATGCGGTTTGCTCGTCGGTCGGGACGGGGAAAGTGACTTTGCGGCCAAGGCTGGGCATCGCGGGCGAGTCCCAACGAACGACGATGGGGTTCGTGTCGCCTGTGACGGGAATCTTGCCGCCGATGGCAAAGACCTCCTTGTCGCCGACGGCAGTGAGGGCGGCGGACACGGCGGCGAGGAGATCTCCCGTTGAATTTGACGGGACGCTGGTGGTCGCTGGGTCTTGAGCCATGGTCAAGGTATATGCAGTCGTTGCAAAGTCTTTGATGGCTTTCTCGTAATCATGAAACGCAGTGAATTGCATTAGTACTGGGAGATCTAGCCAAACCCATTGGGTTTTCTCAACTTATAACTTCGCTTGCGAGGCATCTCGAGGAGCCTGGCTGCGCCGTGCCGTCACCGACGGGTCTTCCTGTTCACGGTCATGGTGAGCCAAAGGTTCCATTCAACTGGCAGCTTTCAGACCAGAATGCACGGGAGCTTCACGTGGTACGATTGTCGGAGCAGCTGGGATCAGGATGCCGGCGTTCGTTATTGCTGTAGGCAGTTGAGACACTCGGGTGCATAGGCCAATGGCGTCCCTCAGCTCCCGCCTCTTGCTGCCTTTTGCATGTCGGCCAAATTGACCCCAGGCAGCTGTCGCAAACAATTTTCTTCAATCAAACGATTGGGGTCGTGTAAGCAAAAGCCAGAGATGCTACATGAACATAGTTTCAACTGGCAGAGTCATCCGTGTCGGCGACTCTTTGGTTGGCATAACAGAGGTAGAGAGGAACAGGCATGGCGGAGACGCAAGTTTCACGCACCTATTCATGTCAGTAGTTGATCCGACTAGCAGAGTGTTGCGCAGTCGATTTTGTCCCGAAGGAATTGGGCCAGGTGTCCCAGCTGCGCGAGCAGTTAAGCCCGCGAGGCGCACACCGCGATTCGAACAAAGGGAATACATTGTCCTGTTTAACGAGACACTTCTATACAGGCGCCCTGCGACAGCGAGCCGCGCGCATACATCCAATCCCAGTCGTTTTCCCGTCCATGCACACCGCACACCCATAGTCCCCGCTCTAGCCGTTTATGCAGTCCAAACCCGTCGGATGGCCTCCGTGACGCCCACGTCGTTGGTCTCAAACTCGTACAGGCCGACGCCGACGGTGACGGTCGCGGCGTTGAGCAGCCACCAGAAGCCCTTGCGGAGGCCGGGGTATCTCTTCTTGGGGATATAGTCGATGAGAACCTGCTGGAAGCCGAGGTGAGAGTGCAGCAGCACGGTGCCGCAGAGGATGGCGTCCATGGTGGGGTTGAGGGAGCCGGCGGCGAAGGGAGCGACGGTCAGGGGGACGAGACCGGCGGCGAGGAGGCGCTCGAACGTCCAGTGGTAGGAGCCGTGGGCCGAGTTGGGTTCGGGGACGGGCGCGGGATCGTTGACTGCGGCAGGTTAGCATGCACACTCTTGAACGCAGCATGTGGCGCGCGGCTTCAGCGTCGGATTCGACGGGTTGAAGCGCGCTTGCAACAGCTGTTTGATAGGTCGCGTCGCACCTCCGCCCTCAATTCTCTCTGCAGACAGGCACATGTTAGCACAATTCTCACATGCATAACCTATAGCACCACCACGGCACCACCGCCACCACTACCACCTCCATGGCCAACGCGGCTGGCCGATGGGTAGCGATTGGGCGCCGGAAAGGGTTCGGTGAGACTCACGGGGTCCCGGCGGCAGGATGGCGGACCGCTTGTTGGACGTGTGCAGGGCAGCGGCCTTCATGGCGGGCTGCTTGGCGAAGGCATTGCGGGCGGCGCATCGCGAGGCCAGGGCTGTCTGCCGCAGCAGCAGCGAGGGGCGCACAATTGACGCCATGTCGTCTGGCGATTCGGTGTCGGACGGGCTGCGGAGGGGGGGATAGGAGCGTGCGTCGTCGTCGTCGTCAGGCCGGCGCGCAGCAGCTTGGTGTCGGGAGCGTGGATGAAGTCAGGTGCGATGGACGGATCATGCAGTTGATTTGGTGACATTGCCGAGGATCTCGAATTGCGAGCTCGCTGATTGGCTGCGTGCCTTCCGACGCCCGTCATACAGCCGAATGGCCCGGCGCGCAACAACGTGATTCCGCGGGGCGCCCCTGTGCGCGTCGCTCATTGGCTGGCAATTGAAGATTGAGCTGATGCTGGTCGCATGTGAATATTTTTGGAGTTGGACTTGGAGAGCTGCAGGAAAGTCAGGTACAGACGGAGTTGGGTCGCATTGATCCGACGAATTTTCTCTGAACCACGCAGCCCCGGCAACACAGCCTCGAAAATCGGTTTCGGCACATCGAACAGAAGTCACCGACCCTTCATCCCCTGCCGGGCCAACTTCGAGGGCGCTGCCCGCCCGCGGCCGCAATGGCGCCCCGAGTCGCATTGGCGAGCGTATCCCAAGCTCGAGCGCGAGCAGGCGCACGATGCAACTCGATACGGCCGACATGGATGCACACTGAGACTCATCAAGCTCGCGGCATCGCCACGTCCTACCTGAGAAAGGTTGCCGACGGTGAGCGACGGTGGGAAGAGCGGGCGCAAAGGATACAAGACGGAGAACAGCGCCATGTGTGGGATGTCCTCGACGAGCGAGGCTACATCAAGGACGTCGCGGGGTGCGTCAATGTCTTCGCATGCCCATTTCTGCCTTTTTGCTAACACATGGCAGAAACACTGAAAAGATCAAGGAAATCATGCGCGTCAAGCGGATAGGCGCGTACGTCGGTGTCGACCCGACCGCCGACTCGATGCACATCGGCCACCTGCTGCCCTTCATGCCGCTCTTCTGGATGTGGTTCCACGGATACCCCGCCGTTACTCTTCTCGGTGGCGCAACGGCGCGCATCGGCGATCCTACCGGCCGGCTGACGAGTCGCGAGCACATGTCCAACTCGGACATCTCCAAGAACGTCACCAAGATTCACTTCCAGCTGTCGCGGCTCTGGCGCAACGTCGTCTCGCTGCGGGACAAGTACGGCTACGAAAAGGACTGGGCGGCGAAACGCCACCTGTTGAACAACAACATGTGGCTCCAGGGGCTGTCGATTTACGACTTCACTAAGCGACTGGCGCGGCATACTCGCATTGGGCCGATGCTGACCCGCGACACGCAAGTCCCCCGGCTGCCTTCCTTGCTGTGCCTGAGCTAACAGAGCCTGCAGTGTAAAGAGGAAAATGACTGAGGGTGACGGCATGTCCCTCGGCGAGTTCATGTACCCTCTCTTTCAGGGCTGGGACTTTTGGCACATGTACAACAAGCTGGGCATCCAGATGCAGATCGGCGGGTCCGACCAGTTTGGAAATATTGTCGCCGGCATCGACGCCCTCAAGACGATTCGCGAAACCGAGGAGGCGCCCTACGCCCAGATGCCTACCGAGTGGCAGCACGAACCGATGGGATTCACCGTGCCCCTGCTGACCGATGCCTCTGGCGTCAAGTTTGGCAAGACGGCCGGCAACGCGATCTGGCTCGACGAGTTCAAGACGTCGGCTTTCGAGCTGTACGGCTACTTCATGCGGAGGTCCGACGACGAGGTTGAGAAGCTGCTCAGGCTCTTCACGTTCATGCCCCTGAGCAAGATCCAGGAGACCATGGTAGAGCATCGCGAGGACCCGACAAAGCGCGTTGCCCAGCACACGCTCGCGTTCGAGGTCCTGTCTCTCGTACACGGGTCGCAAAAGGCGCTGCAGGAGGCCCAGCAGCACAAGTTCCGCTTCGGCGGAGACCTGCCGCATGTCATCAACGAGCCGTCCAAGGACAGCGGCATCGTGACGCCCAACAACGCGCCCCGGAGCGACATCCAGCTGCCCCGCTCCGTCATGAAGCTCTCGCCTGCGAAGCTACTCTTCGCGACAGGCCTGGCGAGCAGCAACGCGGACGGCCAGCGGCTTGTCACGCAGCAGGGCGCGTACGTGGCCGCGCAGCCTGGACAGTCGCGCGGTCTGGTCCCGGGCAACCTCTCGTGGACGCCCATGAAGATGTGGTTCCCCGAGGAGACGGCCAAGTTCCTCATCGACGACCGCATCCTGATCCTTCGAAAGGGCAAGCACAACGTGCGCATCGTGGAGCTCGTCTCGGACGAGGAGTGGGAAGCGAGCGGCGAATTCTACCCCGGCCAGCCGTTCACGGGCGTGGTGCGTCGGATGAAGGAGCAGCTCAAGAAGGAGGCCGGGGAGAAGGGCGAGGAGCTGTCGCCGGAGCAGGTCAGCCGGGCGCTGCGGGAGAAGCAGACGCTCAAGGTGGCCAACAACCCGGACATTGAACTGCCGAACAAGCAGGAGGTGCGGGAGCGCGCGAGGGAGAGGAGAGACTCGTCGCGATCGAGGCAATAGTCCGACGCGAAACACCCTACTGTATTACTCTGTATACTAGTCACGCTGTATGATACCATAGAGCATGTAAGGCAGCTACATCATATTACTCTACATCAATCAGGTCACTCAGACCGAGCATCAGGGTTATCGAGCCAATTCTGACTATACCAACATATCCTCTCTAAGACTGAGCCGGTATTTTGGATGGTGAAAGTTATCTCTCGCGCCTCGACAGGGGATAGGTTTCATCTGTAGAATACGGTGAGATCACCCTTGGGCACCGGCAGAACCTTGAGCTTGTCCATAATCTCCCCGTCGGTCAGGTTCCTCTCCGTCATGATTTGGTCAAAGTGATGGTTCCCATCTGTGTACTTTTGCAGGGAGTCGCCTCCGGGCACGGGCCTGCTGTGGCCGGTGACGAGCGCGGCGAGGTACTGCTTGGACATGATGTACTTGTGGACGCGGTAGAGGCATCCCTTTATGACACCAAACTGAACGAAGCGGCGCACGTCGACGTACGTCAGCACATCAAAGCCGTTTTCCTGGTGGGCGTGGATCCACTCGCGAATGCTCTTGCCCGGGGAGAGCGTCGTCATGAGCTTGATGAGGTGGTAATTTGCGACGCGGACGCGGCCGTGCGAGACGTAGCCGGCGCACTCGTCGACCATGCCGTCGACGTTGTGGATGAAGTCGTGGATGCCGGGGCGGGGCGCGTAGCACGAGGCGAAGAAGAACATGTCGAGGAGGAGGATGGTGTCGTAGAAGAGGAGGTGGCGGAGGGCCGTCTTGGCGAGGTCGAGGGAGACGCCGGCGTCGTGGGCGATGCGCCGGACGTCGGACACGCCGTCGATCTTGGTGACGACCTTTTGCAGCGTCAGGTCCCAGGTCGGGTCGACGATTTCGGAGAACTTTGTCTTGGCGACGGGGACGTGCCAGCCTTGGACGACGGGGGGGTTGGGGTGGTGAGGGAAGAGCTTCATGTTGATGGTGTTGGCTTCGTCTAGACGAAGGGGTCAGCATGGTGTAGCAAGGCTTAGAAGTCGAGACGCAATTCGTAATACTTACCGACTGGAATCATGCACTCGCCATAGTTGTTGAGGTCCTCCTTGACAATCTCGAGCAGGCTCTCAATAGGTCGCCTCGCCTCGTCATCGTCGTTGGGCCGATGGTGGTGGAGCGCCTTGCCCTCGCCGCGGCTCAGGTACTCGTTCTGCTTCTCCATCTCGGAAAAGGTGACGGCGAGGCATCGCACGACATGCTCAAAGGGGGTGTGGTCGGCGTCGGCCTCGATGAGCAGGCCAAAGTTGAAGATGAACTCGTTGCGCTGGTACTTCGCGTGGGGGATGACGACGGGCTGCCCGAGGATGGTGTACTTGCCGTCGGGGGTATTGATGGTGACGAAGCGGTTGCAAAAGGCCTGCCGGGGGATGATGTACTCTTGCAGGACGTCGAAGTCGATGAGCGGCGGGCGCGCAGAGGCGTCCGAGGCCGTGATGCATCCCGGGGGCGACTGGGCGACGATCTTGGGGCCTGGGCGAGCCGTGTCAGCTTGTTTGCTTGTCTCGGGTGGTTATGAGGAGTGAGGCGGACCCTCTTGCGGGAAAAAGCGCGCGTAAAAGATGCCCTGAATCATGGTGCCGTGGGCGCGGGAGCAACCCGCGACGGAGGTTGAGGAAGGGTAGGGCGACGTGAGACCGGGGCAGCGCAAGCGTTCATACCGGCTGTCGGTGGGTCAACCGGACTGCACGCCTGGGGATCATTTCACATTGACGACTGCAAATGCATGGAGCTAGATTGGGGTCGTGGAGGGCGCCATGGTGTGAGCTGGACAAAGGGTGCTGGTGCTTGAGACGAGACGTGTAGTTGGTGAGCGTTGACGATGCCCCGCTGTTAAGGCGGCGGGAGTGAGTGAGTGAGTGAGTGAGACACGATATGGCCAAGCCACAGTGGCCTACCCGGCACCAGCCGACAATTAGACGGGACACACTTGCGCACACGCACATACATACACCTTGATGAGCATTGGAGAGACGGTGACAGCTTTCTTCGACCACTTGCGACTGAAGCGAACTAGTTTCAGCTGCTGCCTGTGGGACACGCGACGTGGTGGACGGCTCGAGCTCTATCTAGGTCAGGGGACACCCTAATGAAGTTTCGCGTCCTTTTTGCAGGGTAATCTAGCGATGCGCAAACTATCATCTATCGTCAATTGCCGTTGTCACAGGATTATGGGTGTTGTGCGGAAATAATATCAGTAAAGGTAACCCTGCTGCTGTAGTACATGGCTGCCACGGCGTCGTTGCTCCAATGCCGCGGGGTATATCGCGCGCAGCGCGCCACGGGCTGAAGTCCGCTGGCGTCATTGTTGGGTCTAGCACCACCTACAGACGGGCACGGGCAGGCAGCCCGCCCAGGCGACACCCGCTTCTCTTGGCTGCTGTTGGCTTCCACCCGCAACCGCACCGCTTGGCGGCTGGTTGCTCCACGTCAATCAACGCCCCGGTGCCTCGCCACCACTAGAACCGTGCCACTCACTCCTCTCTGGCTACCTACTCCGTGCTGCTGCGACATCCGTCTCCCGTTTCCGACTTCTGCCTCACACCTGCTGCTCGCTCGTCTGCGCCGCTCTCTCTCTCCTTGGCCCGCAGGTTATTGCTTTCCAGCTGCGCCCGAGCTCCGTCATCTCCTACCGTCCGCACTCGAGAAGACCTACATCGATCGCAGCGTTACTCCAGCACCCTCGCTCCAAACCACCCCCGTCACCCCGCTGCCAACCTCGCGCACCGACGTCGATACCAGCCAAACGCCCAGCGCCGCGACATGGCAGACAACGCCGAGGCGGGCGGCGACGCCCAAGTCACCTTCAAGGTGAAGACGTCGTCGGACAGCACGCACACCATCACCATGGCCGAGTCGGCCACCGTCCTCGAGCTCAAGACCAAGCTCGCCGGCGAGGACATGGAGAACATCCCCGTCGAGCGCCAGCGGTTAATCTACTCGGGCCGCGTCATGAAGAACGACGACTCCCTCGGCACCTACAAGATCAAGCCCAACAACACCATCCACATGGTCAAGAGCGCCGCCAGCAACCCCACCCAGCCTGCCTCGTCCTCTGCGCCCGCGCCACCGGCCGTGCCCACCAACATGGCGTCGGGCACCGCGAACAACCCTCTCGCCGGCCTCACCGGCGCTAGGTATGCAGGCCACCAGGTCAACCTCCCGGGCATGGACATGTTTGGCCCGGACGGCGGCGTAAGTCCGCACCCTCCCGCACACGCGGTCACTTCGTGCCCCTTGGCTGACACTCTGATCCCCAGATGGGCCCGCCCATGGACGAGGATGGCATCCGGCGCATGATGTCGGACCCCAACGTCCAGCAGGCCGTAAACGAGGCCTTCAACAACCCCGACTTCGTCAACATGCTCATCCAGTCGAACCCCATGCTTAGGAATATGCCCGGCGCCCGAGAGATGATGCCCTTCCTGCGACAGGTCATGACCAACCCGGCCATGATGGACCAGGTCATGCAGATGCAGCGCTTCATGCAAGGAGGCGACTCGTCGTTTCCGGCCCCCGGGTCCACCGATCCGGCCTCTCAGGGCCAGGCCAGCGCGACCGGCGGAGAGGGAAACAATGCGAGCAGCCAACAGAATCCCTTCATGAACCCCTTCCTGATGGGCATGCCCGGTGGTGGCGCTGGCGGCGAAGGTCGCCCCAACATCAGCCAGATGCTCCAAGCACTGAACAGCATGGGTCCGAACCCCTTTGGAGCTCCTCCCGCGGCCGGCGCCGAGGGGGCGCAAGGCCAGGAGTCGCGAGAGGGAGGCGCCGCTGCCACCGCTGGTGCCCAGCAAACAGGCACACAAGGCGGAGCCGCCACGGATTCGACACAAGGCAGCAACCAGGGGCAGCAGCAAGCCAACCCGTTCGCGGCTCTGTTCCCACCGCAGGGCGGTGCGGGGGCCGGCAACCCCTTTGGCATGAACCCCGAGATGATGCAACAGATGATGCAGATGTTGGGTGGAGGAGCGGCGGCGCCCAGCGCGCCACCCGACAACCGGCCGCCGGAGGAGCGGTACGCGGAGCAGCTGCGGCAGCTCAACGACATGGGCTTCTTCGACTTCGACCGCAACGTGGCCGCGCTGAGAAGAAGCGGAGGCAGCGTTCAGGGTGCCATTGAGCACCTGCTCAACGCGCTGGATTAGTTGATGATGACGCAAGGAAAGCCATTCCGTGGAAAAGCACAGGAGGTATGACAAGTTGCAGTTCACGGTGATGCGACGGTGTCGGCCGTTGTTTGATGGTGACAACAGACGGAGCGAGACGCCCTGTTGCGGATGGAGGCAGTGTACAGCCGCCGGCGCTGCCAGTGAGACCAGATTAGGAGATACCTTGGCATGCCAATTGTGCCTTTGCCGTGATGCTGGGCATTGGGCAATAATAGTATCGCAACTCTGAGACTGCAGGTTTGATACGTGTATGATTACAACCATGAGCAGTGTGGCACGAGGCCTAACGTCGAACAAGGCTTGATGCATCTAACGCCTAAACCAGAGGCTCCATCACAGCTTGCTGTTGCCGTCCTGCGGAATCTTGACAACGACCTTGCCCCAGGTCCCCCGGCCTCCCAGCGCGACAAGCGCGTCCTTGACCCTCTCGAGCCCTACAAACTCCTCGTCATCGTAGACGGTACCCTTGAGCTTGCCCTCTGCGACGAGCTTCATGATGCCGCCCCAGACGACAGGGATCATGTCGCGCTGGTTGACGGCGTAGGCGCCCCAGTGGATGCCGACGAGGGAGATGTTCTTGAGGAGGACCTTGTTCATGGCGACCTTTTCGATGGTGCCGGCGGCGAAGCCGACGATGAGGATGCGGCCGTTCCAGGCGGTGCATTTTGTCGACTTGTCGACGAGGCCGACGGGGTCGTAGACGATGTCGACGCCGCGCTTCTTGGGCGTCAGGGCCTTGACCTTGGCGGGCCAGTCGGCGTCGTTGTACGACACGACGTGGTCTGCGCCAAAGGCCTTTGCGATGTCGAGCTTGCGCGGCGTGGAGGCCGTGGCGATGACGGTGGCGCCAAAGGCCTTGGCGACTGCATCATCATCATCACGGTCCACGGTCAGCACACTCATTGCGGTCTCACGACAACCGAAGAACAGGGACCAGCTCACCCTGCACGGCGGCCAGGCCGACACCGCCGGCGGCGGCGTGGACGAGGACATGGTCGCCGGCCTTGATGCCCGCGCGGACGACGAGCGCGCCGTAGCTCGTCGGCGCGGTGACGAACAGCCCCGCGGCCTCCTGGAAGGACCAGCCGTCGGGCACGGGCAGCAGGACGGCCTCCTTTGCGCAGATGCGCGTCGCGTAGGCACCCTGCGAGGCGCCGAAGACGCGCGCCCCGGGCTTGAACTTGCCGCCCTGGGGGGCCGAGATGACGGTTCCCGCGAACTCGGCGCCGGCGACCCAGGGGAACGCTGTTGCAGCGGCGTTTTAGCGTCCTTTGCTTTTCTTGTTCTCTCTTGTCTTGTGCAATCATCTTGTCCCCTTCCTGATCCGCAGAATATGGGGAATGAAAGAATGAACGTGGAAGATGAGAAATGGGAAGGGGGCCGAGGGGAGAGAGAAAAACGTACGCGGCTGGTTCTGGTACTTGCCCTGCACCTGCAGGATGTCGAAGAAGTTGGCCGCCGCGGCTTGGACCTGGATGAGGTACTCGTCGGCCTTGGGCGTCGGGTCGGGCAGGTCAATGACCTTGAGATCCGCCGGGCCCTGCGTGATTCAAATTTGGTCAGTATCTCTGATGATATCTCATGAGGGCCCTCATCGTCACCACCATTGCACACACTGCCCAGCAGCCGTGGCAGATTAATGGAGTGGCAAAGCGTGAGAAACGGAGGGCAGAGAGGTACACACGCACCTTGACGTATTCCTTGATCTCGATTCCGCGCATCGTGTAATGAAAACTGGCCACCTTTCCCTAGAAAAATTATGGGTTTGGGAGAGATAATGTTCACGGCCAGGCTCGCTGCGAAACGCGGAGGAGTCTGGGGTAAATGCGCGGTCGGCAGTGAGTGAGATGCGAGACTCGGGGCTCGGTGCGGCGCGGGCGGCTGTGCGGGGCGACGTGCCGAGGCATCTTCGGCCGCGCCACTCCGAGTCCGGCAATTCGGCCGCGCTGGGCGCCGAACTATCCATCCTGCCCCCCGGTGTGCTCACCTAAACCTCCGATAAGCAACATACATTCAACCTTCATATCGGGATAAAGAGCTTGGTGTGGACTGGCATTGGTATGCACATTTTGCATACATACTATGTCATCGCGCCTATAGTGCGTTCGTACATTCTTGTTGACTCGAGACAATGTACGCTCACCAGAGGATGACACGGTCCAAGTGGACATTGAAATGCAAAAGACTGATATTAAAGCGTCATGGCCGTGGCACACTCGTCATGCTTACTGAAACGCTCGCTGTTGCTGATACACTTGATGGTTTTCTTTCACCCCGTACGGCCCCGTCGCTCCATGTTCTGTATTCCCAGCCATGTGGCCATGGACAACCTCGAGCTGCCCTCCATACCGCAGCGGCGTAAGCTCATCAATAACCGCCGCAGGAAGCACCTTCTGCAAAAGCTCCACGGGGTCCTGCGGCGCCCACGGCAAAGCACGTCTCTGTATAGCGGCCAAGACGGTGCCGAGCATGGCCGCGACGAAGAGCAGCCCGTAGATGATGAACCAGGCGGGAGACGAGCCGCCCACGCGCAGCACCGAAACCACCATCTTGACGTAGCTCCCGTTGTCGGGCATCAGAGTCGCCCTGTCGCGGACCAGATTGGCGTTTTCGACGTTTTGCCTCAGCAGGCTGTAGTACGCCTCGCCCAGCTCGCCCAGCACCTGCGCCATTGTCTTTTCGATTGTGCCGACTTGGGTTGAGTAATCGTCGTACTGGGCCGCGACCCAGCCGTCTGCGAGGCTGCCGCCTGGGCCGCCGTGGCCGTGGATCGTCATGTACTGGTCGATGATTTTGGCGAGCTGCTGCTTCACGGTCGAGCTCAGGGGAGACCCTTGCGTCACTGTGCCGTTGACCCGAAGAGGCGAGAGGCTGTCCTCGAGGCTTACTGTTGCTAAGATCTCGTGGCCGCCGTACGTGCACTCGAGCACAAAGGGCGGGCCCATGACGTTTCCCGCGAAGAAGAAGCCGTGGATGGGGTCGCCGTTGTTGTCGTTGACGTAGGAGCCAATGTTGAACGGAGTCGTGCTGCTCCTGTCGTAAATTACAGTGGCTCCACCAAAGCTTGCCTTGCTATAGTCGAATGAGACGATCTGGGGATTGCTCTCGTTGCCGTATTTGGTTGACTTGATGCTCCAGGATGCCGTGGCGTTGTTGCATGTCACGTCGACAATGGTGCCAAAGACGGCGGCGTCCATTCGGTCAAAGGTGTACGAGGTGGGCAGATTATATCCATCGGAAGGACCCGAGTATTGGATATACGACGACATGTTCAAGCCGATGCCAGATGTGTTGAGTCCTGGATAGTTTGTGCTGCCGATAGCGCCCGACTCCGTCAGGTAGTTACCCGGCCCGACGTTCCAGAGCCGCCCGTTCGCTTGCGACGCACGAATGTACGCGTCTCGATATAGAAAGCTACTGAGGAGCGTAACCTCTGCAGACGTGGTGACGAAGTTGACGGAGCGATCGGCATTGCGCACCGCGCCCCCGGTAGGAAGCTGGGCCAAGGAGTATGACGCCGACGGATTCGTTACGGTGACCTGCTGCGTATGGATGCCAAACACGGCAACCGTCGCGGCGCTGGTCAAGGACGAAACGATGGTCGCGAGGATGAAGAACGTCCTCGTCGCGGGAAACCGTCGTCGTCGGAGCTGCTGCCACCCGCGCTTGGCGGTCAGGGGACGCAAGTACATGGCCAGGATGCCGTGGGGGCTCTCCAGCTCCCTGCGCGACAGCAGCTCATCGTAGCTCGAGAAGCCCCAAGCGAGAAGCAGGCCGACGGCAGTGCCCAGGACGGTGCACCCCACGTTCCAGCTGTTGACGTCGGTGTGGATGACGGAGAATCCAGGAGACGACTTGCCGCCGACCACATATGGCACCTGCTGGATGTAGACGCCCAGCGCAATCAGAACAGCGAGACAGAATGCCCCAGCGAGGTTGACCGCTAGAGGCAGGCTGTATGGGGGCTGCGCATTGTGTTTGGCTTGGTGGTTGCTCATGGTGACTGCGAGGGCATATGTGAGATGTTGAATGGGAGACTCTCCGCGCAACCTGATAGTTGGCACATCAACATGACTAGAAACGGAAACAGAAAAGGAAGGGAATACTCTTGCGGCGCCAAGCACATAATATCGTCCCGTGAAGCCACCATCTTGATCAACGTGTTCTGCCTCGCTTCGGCACGACCTGAGCCCCTAGTGACCGCGCTCAGGCTAGTCTGGCCAGGGGGGCATCAAAAGGGGAGGGCGAAGGACGATCCTTCAGTCCGTGAAGCGCAGTGATGGACAGCCATCACAACCACCTTGCGCAATCTTGCCAACTCATGGCGACCGATCATGAGGCTCAACAATGCCGTGTGAATATGCCTGTGCCATTCTGGAAGCAAGATAGCCACCATTTAGGGGAGCCCGCGACCTGGGAGATGCTGCAAACCAACGGTTCCTTGCGCGAACGCGTCCAAGAGCCAGGGTCAACGGATCTCGCTGCTTGGCAAGGGTCCTCACTCTCCAGGGTTCATTTGTCCACTAGGCTGAAGCACTAAGTAATTTCCAACGGCACTCACATCTCCGGGACATGCCCGTCTGCGTCGTTGAAATGGTTTGTGGCGGCGGGGGGCTGAGGGTCAGCGGCCAATGGAACGGCTGCGCGGCCCGGGATGTTCAACCGTCTTGCATGAAGCAAGGGCTGGGTGTGCAACCAAATCGGCGCAGCTTCGCCCGAAGATTACATGAGGGTGCCTTGTGGGCTGCCTTGGGTTCCGAATATCCGTGTTGAACATCACCCCTCAAGAGTCTGGTGATGCAAGTCAAGAAAGTTGACATTTGATACAGCCTGATTGAACAAGAAGTATGTCTGCACCCTGAGGGATCTGCATAGGTATGCCCTGTGAACATGAAGGGCGTGATCCAACAAGGCGTAATCACCAAAGACGCGCGGCTCGAAAGGGGGCTGCCGCTGCACGCGCCGAATGTGCGTGTCCGCAATGTCAAAGAAGCAAACATACCAGCAACGAAACCCATGAATTGGCAACCACGGACGATAACTACTGCTCTTGTATGTGAGACTCCAAGCGTGAACGTTACATGCAATGGAAACTCGGAGCAGCTCGGCAGATTGGAGAGGGGGCTCCAGTCCAGTCGCCATAGCTAAGCACGCACCAAGATTGCGCCAAGCTTCATGTTGCGATTGCGCAAGAGTCGGCGGGGAACTCTGTGTTCGATGGTCGTCATGTTGTGCTGGTTTCTAGGATTGTTCTCTCTTTGAATCAAGGACGTCTTCATCACACACAATTATGCCTATCGGAAGCTAGCCTATTCCCCTTGTGAATATATTCTCGCAAACGTGTGGGTTTATCGCAGCTTGTGTGTGCTGAGGCGGCAAGCACATCATCTAGTATCTAGTAAGGGGGGTCAGCAAGCCGGAGCCTACGTGTACTATATACGACACTATTGTGTAAGGCGAGAAGAGCTGTTAGACAGTAGCACTTTTGTGTAGTTGTGGTCGCTGATCACTTCGCCCTTCATCTTGTATATCACGAGCGCCTCAGAAATGAGGAGACGATGACTTTTCCGCGACAGTGGTCCATTGAATATGTACGGTGATTTCGGACCTGAGGTTCCAGCCTTGCACGTCAAAACGCTTTTCCTTTCAACGCCGCCAACGCCAAACCCCCCATTTTTAACCTACAAAGCACGACCGTATGTATGTGCATCAGGAACCACGTTAGGCTCCGCTCCCCAGTCCGTCATACTATGCGTGTGGCTGCTCCTCGCCCGGCTCCCCTGCGTCGTAATCTCCCAGGACTTGCCGCTCACGTGCTTTGCCAGGTCGTCCGTCATGGGTATCTCGACTGTCGATGTCGACACGCGGACCTGCTGATGGACAATGATGCTGCGGGTGGCGATCGTGCCGCGGCCGGTGGTGACGGTCCCGTTGCGGCCGCCGTAGGAGCTGTGATCGGATCCGCTAAAGACTCGCGGGAAGATCCGCACGAGGATCAGGCGCAATGTCGGCAGACATGTGCATATGATGCCGATGTTGGTCTCGATTGTGGACCACCAGGCGACGTTCCACTGGTCCCAGGTTGGGTTGAATGAGTTGGCGAAGTGAATGAGGGATTGAAATCGGAGGACGGAGACGATTGTGGCGCTGCGAATCAGAAGTTAGCTCAGACTCTAGGCAATATCTCGAGTGTCCCTGTATCCAGACACCCAGACCTGCGAAGCCAGATCAAGGCAACTTTCCGCAACAACACTGTTGCAATCGCAGGGCTAGCCTGCCTGACAGCAGCAGCAGCTGCGTAGCTCGTCTATGCCACAATGGCCAGGCAGCATTGCGTGATGTGAACGAGCCGGGCGGCGGAGACACAGTCGTGGGCAGGAAAGAAACTTGGAACTCGAACTTACAACGTGCCCGTGAGGAACATGATGGCAACGCCAACCTTCTTTTTCCAATGTAGCTCCAGCCGGCGTATCTGACTCAGGGGTATTGCCAGGAGCCAAATGTCCACGGCAACGTTGACGGAGCCGTGAACCCATCCAGCCGCGTTGATGTCGATACACTTTCCAGGCCTATCCTCCACCCACTGCGTCCAGTAGTAGCTGATCGGTGTGCATTGAAATATTGCAGTTGCGACTGCTGAAATGCCAGCAGCCACATTAAATGCAGCCGTGCCCCAGAGCAGGCGCCGGATAGCGACGCCCGGAAATATGCCGAGATAGAACAGGGACAGGGCGAGTTTGACCATGGCCATGAGCGTCAGATATAGGACTTCCATGACGTAAAAGTAGAGCACAAAGTTGGTGAGTTCTTCTGCAGGCAACGTCCATACGTCTCTTCCAAGACCGTGTTTAGTGAGCCCCTGAGTGTTGAGAATCGTTGTGGGGATTCCGATGGTAATGGCTGCGAGCACGACCCAGTCGTCCGCTCCAAGGGCACGGCGGTGGCTGAAGGCACGTTTGAAAATGGTACGTGCAACGACCACGAGACCTGTGATGGTGCCCAGGGTGATGTTCATGACGTCGTAGCGTGTGGAGGCGTCGCGACGCGGGCGCTCGCAGGCTGTCTCGGTAAGGTTCTTCATTTCTGTAGCATCACACACAAAGCGTCAACAAATGGTTTATTGTGTGAATAGCTCATGGATATGTAGAAAGACTGACTAAAGGCATCGGGTCTGCTGCATGCCGCAAGCACGCAGCTGGTCGCCGTGTCTTCAATGCCCGTATGGGAGCAGAGACATTTGCTGTCCGAGCAGGCCGGATCCGCGAATGCGGCCTTGAGGCATTCGGTCTGATATCTGTTAGCCTCATCTTGTGTTCAGCCTGACGGCAAGGAAGAGCATAAAGACTAGTCCTTGCGACGTACAGCACATGGCGGCGCCCGTGTAAGTGTTTCGGCGAGAGAGTCATTGTCGAACCGTGCCCAGAGGGCATCTCCATGACACAGCGAAAGGCATGGCAGCGTTATGACAAAAAGAAGGAAACATTGCCGTATTGCTTGCCTCATACCGGCTCTCTGCGTGTGGACGCCGTGCAGAATTCGAGGTCACGCATAAGCATCCGTCGACTCCTAGATTGAGTCGACAACTCTTGTGCTGAATGATGAACATGTGCCTTACGAAGGCTCGTATGCATGAAACAAAGGGCCCAGGAACAAGCATTACGTGAAACGAGGCCCGGGACAAGAGTCAAGGGGGGGCTTCCACAACGTGATATAAGTTGGGTATTGTCCACTTCCCTCTACCCATCGAATCCATGCGGCAGAAACCGTCCCGGCCGGGCGGGTTGTCAAGCCCACAGGCTGGGGGATCGTCGTCTCCACCCCCGCAAAATGTGTTGCCCTGAAGAGCCAAGCTCTGGGGTGCCGCGGACTGGGGTGTCCCCTTGTTAGCGGCGCCGCCCGGAGCCCGTTAGCCCTTACCCGTGGGTTGACAATTCCAAAAGACCCCGAACCCAACAGTTGAGCACGGCATGTACTGTGGCTCTGCCGAGGCACATGCCCATTATGTGAACGCGGGACGTGAACCGCGGGGCTTGTGATATCGGCCAACTGAAGGGCGTTCACCTTTCTTCTTGGTTGCCGATGTGGAAGGGTGATCTGCTCTAGGACCTACCTGCCGATGATCGTGGAGGTAGTGGCCCTCGATTACTGGTGCGACGTCGACACCGGGAGTTGCGACGGGAGTCGGCGACGGTCGGGAGGGAACTGCATGGCAGGAGACGCCAACGGAAGAGGCCGCCCTGGATGAAGATGCCTTTTCTGGAGGGAAAAGAGTCCAGGCACATTGTCCAAAGAGCCCCTAAAGGCATTGCGCGTAACAGAACCTTGCTGCTTTGTCAAATGTGTCTTTCATGGCAGGCAGGGTTATGGGCCTCCGCCTGCGAGACTATCGATTGCGACGGCCCGCTGCGATCCTTCAAGCGGGACCCGTCAGTGTCAATTGTCAAGGCTTCCCGCGTGGTTGTGCAGATTTGTATTCGTCGTGCGGCTTGGGCCTTGCACGACTGACTGACAGCTGAGACGATGGGACAGTTCCGCGGCATCACTATGCTACATTTAAGATGGTAACGCAAATCCTCGCACATGAGATCCGAGCTATTTGCAATGCATGCGTGGCTGAGGCACCGACTTCTACACACACCGAGGCACACCTGCGGATTACGTACAAACCAGGCATGAAATGGCGTGGTCGCCCACGCCCCGCGTCCTCTTGGCGCGAGCCGGGAGTGACGAGACCCGGTGCCGCGAACGACGCCAGGGATACGAGTGGACGGGTGAAGTTGTCGAAACCCGGGACTGGACATTTCGAGTCATTGATCGACTCATGGAGTGATAAAGGCTCCAATTGCCGCGAAGGGACGTGCGCATGATACGCCCGAGTGGAGGTCTTCAACCAGGAAGACCGTTTGATCATGAACTGCCCAAGCTGCCTGTGTTGAACTGTTGGTGCTATGGGCTTCCCTTCCCTGCCCCTGCCGAGGCAGCGACCAGGGGCGAGAACCGCCAAGCATGCATCGCGGGTGCAAGTTGCGATGCGACTGGCTGAGGGATGGCTTGACCCGACCCGCAGTGAGACAGGCACACGCCGCTTGGCACTCTGGCCGTTGAAGAATGTCGTGTGATCCGTCACAACTGGCGAACACAGCCGCGACATGAAGAAGACTTGTTCCGATGAATGCTACAGTACGAGATGAGTCCTCTAATACAGTTTTTACCAAATGCTGAGATGCTGCTTTCCTACGTGGTGCTACGGATGGAGATTTGGATCACCGGCCGTGATATACGGCACGTCGGGCCAACTGTGAGTCGTGACAAGCCGGCCGGCCTGCACTCGTCAACCTCGTAAAATCCTCCCAGGCCCTGGTCGGTCGAATCCTTCTGTGCGTGACAAGACATGCACCCCTGCATCATGTTGGCGACGGCGCAGTTCTGTGCAGATGCAGTGCATCCAACGGACTGGACTGCTCGTGCATGCCAGACATTGGGGTAATATGCATGTCTCTGGCTGCAGTATGCGGCCTGGCCTCGGGACAATGGGTCTACGGAGCGCTTTTGGCTTCTGACAGACTGAATGCAGCTGCTTGGAGTGGTGGTAGCCTCCTAGTCGTCGCTATATGCACTGAGACAGACCGACGAGAAGACGGAGGATTTCAGTCTTCGTTTTTCCTGGTCCCAGCTTTCCCACCCCTCCGTGCAAGAGCTTCGGCGAGGCGTGGAATACAACTCGGCCAAGAAAGAGGATCTCGGGGAGCGGCGCTGCTTTGCGCCTCCCGGCCTCGCCAGATTTCGACACTTGGTGCAGATGCACCCCGCAGCGGGACACCTGAAACGCGGCACGTCCCGTCAAGCCTCTCAGATCAGGGCGCAGACGCAAGATGCGAGACGGTAGATGAGAGATGGTAGGAGCTTTATTAGGGGAGCCGCAGCTAATAGATAGATTGATTTGAAAATGGATTGTTTTTGCATCACTATCCATCTTATCATTCGATCCAGAAGAGACAGGCCAGTTTACAAACTACTGTGCTCGCCGCTGTAGATCCATCTATAGCATCAGGCAGCTCATAGAAAAATGGAGGGTATGCCGGCACAATGCGAGGAAGGACTCGTACATGGCAATAACATGGGCCAAGGAAGGTCCGAGACTACGCGTGGGGCAAGAGTCGGGCTATGTGGAAACGGCAATGTATTGCGCTCAAGAGCTCAAGAGCATACAGGTATATCATTATCTAATGCCATCATGCTGTGGTTCGTCACGTCGTGCACAAGTCCACCTCACCTCACCCCCCATCTTATTGCTGCTGCTGCATCGCCCGGGCAATCTCCTGAAACTTTGCCAGCACATCCTTGTCCACGTTGGCCGCCCACGTCTCCTCGAACACGGCCTCACCCCCCGCACGCGCCACCAGGTCCTGCAGCCGCGGCGCGACAAAGCCAAACGCGTGCACCGAGTGGACGGGGTCTCTAGTCATCATGCGCCGCTCGGCGTCCGTCTTTGGCGTGTCGTACTCGGTGGCCTCGAGCTCCCCTGTGATGAGCGTGTCCGTGTTGTTGGCCACGCCGTCCTGCAGCTCCATGATGATGTTGGTCCACATGTCGAAGTAGTCTTGTAGCTTGCTGAGGACGAGCTCGTGCATGGGGGACTGGACCTCGAGGAGCCGGGTCAGACCGAGCAGGTAGAGCTTCTGCCGCTCGAGGTGGTCCATGCTGAGCAAGTGAGCGAACCACTCGGACGAGAGCCATGCCCATACCTGGTCGAGGCTACCGAATGTGGTGAGCATCTGCACAAACAGATTTGGCTCGGCGAGGGCAAGCCGCGCAAGTATGGCAAAGTAGTCGCCTTCGGTAACGGTGTTGAGCTTGCTCACTCTCCGGTTGGGGCCCGTCGTTTGGTGCGCCTCCCAGGCATCCCGGAGGTTGGTCATTATCTTGTTCATGAAACCCGTCTCAATCATGTCTTGGATGATGACGGAGACGCCGTTTGAGCCTCCCAGCTCGGCGGCTGAGCGGATTAGGTATTCGACGCACACTGTCCCAACGCGCACCATCTCGCGGCTCTTAGAGTCTAGCGTTCCTGCCAGGGCAGTGAGGGTCGGTCGGCGCAGTCGATCTTCGAGCATCGCACTTGGCGCAAGGAGCAGGTAAGACTCGACGGCAGTGAGCGCCTGGTATGCGGTGTCGGATTGGTACTCCAGCAACGGCAGCGCCATCTCGGCGAGGTTGATGACTTCGGGAGCAAGTGGCGCGTGGCTCTGCATGAGGATCGAGTTCCACAACTCGAGCGACTCGTCAATGAGATGGACGTGCAAGTCCGATCCTGGTCGAGCAGCCTCAGACAGCAATGGGATCATAAAGTTTTGATACCGCTGAGAGTTGCTTCCCATGCTCATGACAAGGGCGGCAAAAATTGCAATGACAGCCTGCTTAATCATGTATTCTTCGGCTCCGGACCCCTCCCAGACGCTGGGAAGGGCCGCCATGAGCTGGTCTCCGAACTGTGAGACCTGCTCCTCCATTCTGGTCACCAAGATTCTGATCGATTCGAGAATGGCGAGCTTCGTCTCGTCCACATCGACGCTCTGTGTAAGCTGGATGAGCTGCGTGAGAACATCCGAGGTGTATGGCAGGAATGCCTCTGTGCTAAAGCCTAGCTCGTCGGCGATCCATCGTAGCTGCCTGGCGGCTGTGATTCGGACGACAAGGTCGTTTGTCTCGTCGTTGGGGTTGAGGAAGTGCTGATATATTTGATACACGACAGGTCGGCTGTCGTCTGAAAGCTTGACCGGTGCCCACTGGCTGATGAGAATCGCAATGCGCCGGCGCAGCACCTTGTGGAGGCCACCTTGCTGCTGCGCGTCATTGACAATAGTCGACCTCAGCACGGTATCAAAGTTGAAATCGTTGCAGACATGGGCGGCGGCCAGGCCCATGGCAGTATACACCGCTTCCTTGGTGGCGATGTCTGCTTGCGGCGACTGAGCCGACTGGAAGTACGACAGCAAAGGCGGCACGATGAGCTGCTTGAAGTTTGTGAGGAGGTCCAAGAAGAGCTTCTCGGCGCATGGTCGGACCTCCCACTGGTAGGCGTTTCCCTCGCTCTGCTCTTGCTGTTCCCAGTCCTCGGGATCCTCCTCCCAGGCCTCGAGGTCCGACCTACGGAACACGAAGAGATGGGTGATGATGGCGTTGGCAATCGGGATAACAAAGTCGTCCTTGAGAAGCTCCGTCTTGATGATGGTCTTTGCATGCTCCTGCTCCGCCTTGGTCTCTGGCGTTCGGTATTTGAAGGTTTGCACCGGCTGGAAGGCGATCCTCACGCAGGCCCGGAGGAGGAGAAGGCCTCTTAAAGCCAGCCGTTCTTGCAGAGGCCCCTCCACCTTGGCCTTTGCGGCGTCACCAGAGCCTTGCCTGATGCCACCGGACTTGTCGAACACCTCGGCAAACTTGGAGACGAGGTCCCAGTAGGCATGGACGAGGGACAAAGAATTGGGGAGGATAGAAAAGCTCGCTGGCTGCTGCTCAGCCACGTCGATGTGCAGCTTTGTGAACTGCAGCAGGTGCTTGCCGATGAGGTCCTGGACGGCGGACGGGTTCTTGGACTCGCGGTCGACAATGCTGAGGAGCTGGCCAAACTGGTTTTGAGACAAGGTCCAAAATTGCTCGACCGACTTGTCGGTATGTGGCCGCTCGTAGCCCAAGACGATTAAGCGTCGCAGGACCTTGAGGGCCAAGAGGCTGCTGTGCATGGCGAGGCTGGCATCCTCTTCGGCGCCCTGGCCGCTGCCCAGATATGAGGCCCATGCTGACGACTTTTCCGAGTAGATCTCGCCGAGGACGTAGACGATTTCGGGCGTGACGGATTGCAGCGCAGTCTGCGACTTTCTTAAGCGGGCCGTTCCGAGCTCCTTGACGACGCGGAGCAGTATTTGGAGAGCGCCGTACAGCTGGCGTGGATTGTTGTCTTTGGACGAGCGAAGCAACGCGATGATGCTGGGCAGGGCGTCGGGCCAGTCGGCGGGATAGTCGATCCTAACGACCTTGGCGACAACCAGCGCGTTGTGCAGAGCCAGGTTCTTCTCCTCCTCGTCGAGCGTGCCCTGGAACAGCTTGGAGCGGATCAGGTTCTTCTCGTCGGGCTTGATGCCGTTCTTGACCTGCGCGTAGAGGCGCCAGTACTTGTCGATGCCGTTCTTAAGCTGGATGACGGCGAGGAAGCGGATGCTCGTGGGCAGGGACTTGTCGAGGTAGACGGCCTGGAGCGAGTTGGAGTCGGGTCAGTCAGTCAACGTTCGCCTCCACGTCCCGGCCGTTTGTTGGAGCATGGAGTATCGGGAAGCGCAAAAGCATACCTGCAGCGACGAGTAGTAGCCCGGGTGCTGCTCCCACGACGTGAGCTGCTGGCCCGCGGCCTGCCGCTGGGCAAAGTCATGGGAGGTGGCGGACTCTAGGGCGCGGCAGAGCGTCTGGAAGCTCAGCGGGTTCGTCTCGCCCGGCACCTCGATGGCGAAGCTCATGGCGACTGGCGCGGCCGTCTCGCGGCCTTGGAGGAAAACAATCGACGAACGTCGCCGTGGGTGCGTAGCGCGACGGGTTCGAGCTCTCGGCGTCGCGTCGTTGGCGGGGTGGGAGCAGAGGGAGTTGATGAGGGGCCGCGAGCTGAGGCGGAACCTGGAAAATTGGCGGTGGGGTTTTGGTCGCAGCAAACGGGCTGCGAGTATAAGTGGAGGCACAGTCTGTCTACCTATATATCTCGAGTGCCAGGTTGAATACGAGGCAGGTCGCGCTACAGGCGCCTGGATGATAGATCGGCAGTTTCTTCCCCTGCAAGTTATTCTTCGCATCTGATGGGCATTGGGGCTGTTACGGCGCCTGAGCCTGCATGCCGATAATAAGTTGGCATCCGGCAGCCCAGCAGCGACAGGCACCACAGACGCTGGTTCTGGTTTACTGATGGCGGGTCCCGACTCCCGATGGACGCTGCGAGCGCGTGAGAACCCCTGTAAGATTTACCCCTGCCCTGCCTGTCGGGCTGCTCAAGAACCCCCCGGGCCCTGAGCCCAAAGCGGTAACCACCTTCAGTTGGCAGTACATGGCGCCAACTTTTTGCGACTCGCATCACCCTCACTTTTCCAACGCGACAACCGCCCGCCAACGGCGACGACGACAACAACCGCGATTGCGAGCGCAGTCGCCATGCTCCGCCCGCGCACCGCCAGGGCGGCACTGTCCGCCCTGCCACGCAGGCCGTGGACGTGTCCAGCATGCCTGTCCCGCCGCCCCTACTCTCAGAAGAAACCCGCCGCGCCCACACCGTCCGCAACCGACCCCCCGGACCACAGGAAGCTGGGCGTCCAACAGGAGCTCTTCATGACCTCGGTCTACAGCCCCGGGTCGCCAATCTTCCTCCCCAACGGCGCGCGCATCTTCAACCGCCTCGTCGACTTCCTGCGCAGGCAGTACGTCCGCTATGGCTTCCAGGAGGTCATCACGCCGACAATCTACAAGAAGGCGCTGTGGGCAAAGTCGGGCCACCTCGAGAACTACGCAGACGACATGTACTCGGTGACCGGGAACGCGAAAAAGGACGAGCCTGAGCGGACAGGGTGCTGCGACGGCGAGCATGCCCATGAAGAGGACGCCGACGACGAATACGGCCTCAAGCCGATGAACTGCCCCGGCCACTGCCTCATCTTCAAGTCGAAGCTGCACAGCTACCGAGACCTTCCCGTGCGATACGCCGACTTTAGCCCCCTGCACCGAAACGAGATTTCCGGCGCGCTATCGGGGCTGACGCGGGTGCGCCGGTTCCACCAGGACGACGGGCACATCTTTTGCCGGCCGAGCCAGGTGGAAGAGGAGATCAAGAAGACGCTCGACTTTGTCCGAGTCGTGTACGGCGTGCTGCGCCTCGGCGTCAGCTACAGACTCGCGCTATCTACACGGCCAAAGGATCACTACATCGGCACGGAGGAGGAGTGGAACCGCGCAGAGGACCGGCTGAAGAGGGCGCTCGACGCCTCGGGCATGGACTGGAGCATCAATGAGGGCGATGGCGCGTTCTACGGCCCGAAGATCGACATCGTGCTCAAGGACTCGGATGGCAAGGAGCACCAGACGGCTACGATACAGCTCGATTTTCAGCTGCCGAAGCGCTTCGAGCTCGAGTACCAGGCGCCGGCCCCCGAGTACGAAGCTCGCGGCGAGACGACCGAGGACCCGGCCCTGCTCGCCGAGTACGGCCCCGTGCGGCCCGTCATGATTCACCGCGCCGTTCTCGGCTCGGTAGAGCGCCTGATGGCTCTGCTTATCGAGTCGTACAACGGCAAGTGGCCTTTTTGGCTCAACCCGCGCCAGGCCATTGTCCTTACAGTCAACACGTCCGAGCCGGTCTTGGATTGGGCCGACGAGGTTCGCGACGTCTTGGTGGGAATCAAGAGCAATGGGTCGCACGAGGACTTGGTGAATCCCACAGGCCTGGCCGTGGATGTTGATGCCACGGCACGGTCGCTGGGGTCCAAGATCCGCGAGGCGCGGTTGGCTGGATACGGCCAGATCCTCGTGGTAGGCGAGGACGATGTCAAGAATAGACAGGTCAGTCTCGGCAAGGAGAGGATGAGCCCGGAAGCGATGCGCGACAGGATGCGCGCCATGGTAGATTCATTCCAATAGCCTACATAGACGCTGTACACCACTTCTGTACACTACCTCTGGAGGGAGCCGAGTCATATATACCCACTTCATGACCAGTCTGTCTTTCTCTTTCCAGATTCTTTATTATTACAACGGTCCAAACTGGACCGGCGCTGCTCGTCTCGGCCTCGTTCCTCGCGCAGCGGGGTCTCTTGGCTCGGCGCATTCAGTGACGGCAGCGAGCCGCAAGGTTAATTTCGTGCCGCGTCTCATGGCGTCAGGTGACGCCGACGGGTGGGACGGCCGGTGGGCTGAGCTGGGCTCGGCTCGGCAGCGTCGCGCCAAAATGTGATTCCGCCCCGTCGGCCACGGTGAGCGCATCGCAACGGGCCTCTACTGCGTGCGAGCGTGCGAGCGGGCATGTCGTCGCGGGCGGGCGTTATTCGGCGCCATCAAATGTGTGTGTGTGTGTGTGCCGGGGATACGCAGGATGGGGATGGGGATGGGATGGGCTGCACGCTGGCCGTGTTGGCTCAACCCTTGCCTCGCGAGTTGTTGTTACTCAAGGGCCTGCGCGTGGAAGAGAGAGAATGCATGTTAGCCCGTCTGTTGCCGACGCTCCCCTCTGCACTCCTCCCCCCTGCGTGGTGGGATGCATCGTCTCCATCGTGCGCAGCCTCCCACGGCGCGGAGCCAACCTCCGTCAACCACCAAGACGGGGGAAAAGGTTGGCGTGGGGGGTTCCTGCCCCGAGGAACGGACGAGGAGGGGCGCACTCACTTCTTGAGCTCGTCGTCGACACGGCCGCCGGCGCGCTCGATCTGGTCGACCATGACGCGGCGCTCCTCGATCTGCTGGCGCATAAACTCGACGGTGCGCTTGAGGACGAGGCCCTCGGAGCGGCCCTGGCCCTCGAGGCCCGGGACGAGCTCCGTCAGGCGGTCGAAACCCTCGCGGATGGCCTGGCGACGCTTCTGCTCTGTGCGGTTTGCGCGCGTGCGCCATCGGTCAGCTTTGCTGGTTCTGGTTCGGAAGCGCACGACAAGACGAAGCCGAAGCCGCCTGTGCCCAGAAGAGCGCGACAAGGGCCACGGGCCTTGTAGTGTTAAACGGATTTGCGCACCTGATGCAATGTGGTTCTGCTTCTTCTCCTCCTCCGTCAAGCGCGGCTTCTCGTCCGGGTTTTGCACTGCGCCGCCCCCGGTGCCGTCGCCGGGCGAGGTGGACGTGTTATTTGGGGAAGACATGCTTCTTGTCGCAAGTGTCGCGTGGGTGTGAGCGCAGGTCAGGCAGCAGTCGCAGGTAGGTAGGCGTCGCGATGATGGTGGCGGTTGCGATGGATGGGAAAAAGGCGTCTGACGGGAAGTGAATCCAAGGGGAGACAGAGACAATGTATTAAGAAGAGAGGGAAACAAACCCAAAAAAGAAAAAGGGCGGCGGGCGTTTTGGACGAACAAAAAGGATGCCCGTGATGGGAGGGACCTATGGATCACATGCTCAGTTTTTGGGGGAGGAGCCCGTCGACGTCGTGGGGAATGGGAATGGGAACGGACCACACGCCGCACGGGCAGTGGAGGGCAGGGATCCGCCCGCCCTTCCGCAGGCGCGCGAGCGCGGGCGCAAACGCGGCAAGGCAAGGCAGTGTGGATGGGGACCCATGCCGTGAACGCTGGATGGAAGCGCATGGCGCCGCAGCTTTTCTAGCTAGGTACTTGCCCCGGATTTCTGGGCGCATCCCGTGGTGGCCGGGCTGGTGCGGTGCGACAGGCCAGGGTGCCCGCTCCGGACGTCCCAAGGCAAGATTGGAAGCCTGCCCTGCATCGGGATTAGCGGGCGTCGAGATGATGAAAGTGTCGCCTGTTCCAGCCTGTCGGCCAGTACTCACTCGAACAGTGGCGGGCCCCGTCGCGGCATGGACTGGCGCCAGCGCTCGGCGGCATCGGGACGGGCTTGCGGGCAGTGAGTTCCGTCGATTTAGCTGCCTGGTGCGTGGTTCTGAACCCTGCTCGACGCTGCCGACATCCATGGTCAGTGAGAGCGAGCACAGAGAAGGGACTCGCCTTACTACTGCACCGAAATCAGCCGACGGGTCCCCTACCACAGGTACCTGTGGCACCTGGACGCGGTTAGCGGAACCGGCACCTTCTGTATTAATCGCCATTGCTGGCAGGCCACCCACCTACAGAACAACCTCCATGGAATTAATTAGGGAACAGGGGCCCCGCCGTTCCTGCATCGCCGGACCAGTCGCGACATGCCGCTCTTCACATGCCAGCAGTTCCCCCTCCCCTCCCTCCACATCCCACTTCCCGCCTCCCCCCGGACGTCCCTCCAACGCCCGCTGACGACAGCGACGACGACGTCGTCCACTGCTTGCCCCTGGCCCGCAAGCATTGCCTCGTCCGGCGGGCATCCTCGGCGCCGTCCCGAGGGATATAAGCCGGCGCCCGTTCCCTCCTGGGGAGCCCCCCTCCGAGGACCCTTTTTCTTTGTCTGCATTAGCTCAAACGTCGAGGGGCTTCCTTGTTGCCAAACTCCCGAGGCATCGGGTGTTCGACATCGACCCTTTGTGAGACGGGGCTGCCTTGACGTCACACTCGAGGTGGCTTGCCTCGGCCGCCAGACCGCACGCGCGCTCTCGGACACTCGGTCTGACTCGCGCCGTGAGGCTCCGCGCTCACTCGTTGCCGTCGAATCGGCAGACTGCGTGGACAATACATGTGGTTGTTTTAGCTGTTTGTCTATCTCGGCCATTGTTAGATGCGTTTCTGAGCTTGTCTACGCCTGGGCCCGACGCGTGTTCCGGTCAATTGACACGCATTCGCGGCGCAATTGACTTTCCCTCCCCTAATGGTATGCGAGCGCCCTGTCACCTGTCGGCGTCGCTTCCTCATAGTAGATCCTCCTCGCCCGATTGCTCCTCGTCGCCCTCCTCGTCCTGCCGGAAAATGACCTTCTCGGCCATGGACAGACATCTCCTCACCGGCAGGCCGACGACGTTGTCGACGCTCCCGTCAATCTTCTCGACCAGCAGCATGCCGGCGATGCCCTGCACGGCGTAGCCCCCGGCCTTGTCCACGCCCTCGCGCGTCCTGACGTACGCCTCGATGACGTCGTCGGGCAGCCCGTTCTCCTCCCCCCAGAAATACACCTTGGTCTCCTCGGTGTGGCTCGTGATGCTGTACCCCGGGTGCCGCGCGTCCTCGCGCGGCGCCAGCACCGTCACCGCCGTCAGCACCCGGTGCATCTCCGTGTCGCGCATGTACTTGAGCATCTTGACGTGCTCCGCCTCGCTCCGCGGCTTCTCGAGGATCCGCCCGTCGCGCGTCACGATGATGGTGTCGGCCGCGATGACGAGCTCCGGGTCGGGGATGGACGCCAGCTGCGTCTCGAGGCACTTGGTGTAGACGTCGAGGCACTTGCGCCGCGCCGTCTCGGCGACGTACTCCCACGGCCCGTAGGCCGACTTGTCGAGGTCCTCGGGCTTGTCGGACGGGTTGATTTCGAGGTTGGTCAGGCCCATCTAGCCGTTTCGTCAGTCAGTGATCGGCTGCGCACCAATGGCAAGGGGACGGGTCAGGCCAGGCCAGTCCGCCGTTGCATACCTGCTGCAGCAGCGCCTTGCGCCGTGGCGACGCCGAGGCGAGGACGACCCTCTTGGCGTTGAGGTGCCGGATGATGGGGATGTCGAGCGGCTGGACTGGGCGCCGGACGGGGCCCCCGGGTCGCGGGCCAGTGCCGGCCGCCGCGTGCTCGGCCGGCGAGTACTCGGGCGGGGGGTCGCTCGGGATCTTGGAGTCGGTCATGGCGGGCGGGCGAGCGGGCGGCCTTTGCTTGACGGCGATGATGCAGGAGCGAGCGCTGCGAGGCTCGATCTGCCACGCACGGCGTCGGTGGGGTTTCGCGGCAAGGTCGGCGGGCGGGCGTGCTGCGGCCCCGCCGGCTGCGGCGTCCCAGGGGTGCCTGGCGGCGGGCCGCTATGAAAGTCCCGTCCAGGGCTGCACCTGCCCAAGGCAATGCCTCGTGTAAACACCATGATGTCTATCCATTTTCCGTGACATCCTGGTTCCCCCTTTTGTCATTGACTTCGAAACAGCACTGCTGGGGCGAAGCTGATGATTGCAATATATTTGCCAGTCTGTCTACAAATGCGCTGAACGTACTAAGTTAGGTATTTAAGATAGCCCCATGACTTAGTCGCCATCTCGAGGTCCCTCCGAGCGCAGGAGCCCTCTAGACTCCTCATCCTCAGGCTCATCAGCAATGGCCAACCGAGACGGTAATTTGACCTGCATCAGAGCGAGAGTCGCCAAGCCGCATAGGACAAAGGGGAAAATGAATGGCATGCCGCGCAATATGCCACCCAGTCGCAAGCTCCAACTAAACGTCCCCGCAACGATCGGGCCAGCAATAAGTGACCCTATTGTGTTCATCATGCACAAAGTGGTGAAGAGCGTCCCGATCATGCGTGATTCGACCAGGGAGCTGACGAGAGAGCGTGCGAATGCACCGAAGCCGGAACCCATCGTATAGAAGACGAGCCCTGTTGGAGGCTGCATTAGCATTGTGGCACAAAGCGTCGGCGGGTAAGCTCTTCGCTCGTATGACGAACGGGTATGCGAGACATGGGATTTCGAGGCTTCTTACCAACAATAACTACCCAGACGCTCGGCGCAAGTACCAAGACTGCGAAGCCGACCATGACGAGCGAGATACTCATCCGGGCTAGTCTCAAGTCTTTAACCTTTGCTGGAACTCGAAGTGTATTGAGGACGAACGAATCTGTGATCGGAAGGAGCACTGCGCTCGCGATAAGTTGTGCGAACGATTTGCATGACAACAAGAGATTGGCCTGTGACACCATTCAGTACAACAGTCAGTTTAAGCAGGTGTTGAAGCCACAAACCTTGGCGATTGGCACAGAATATCGCGTCGATACGTATTGCAGAAGAATAGCAAGCGACTGGCGGGAAAAGTCGATGACGAGGAACGACACCACCAGAAAGAGCACGCTCCTGTGACTTGCTATGTAGCTTATTGTTCCCGACGCGTGTTGCCAGGTCGCTGACAGGGTTTTCTTCGAAGCCTTGTTGAGCGATGGGCTATATTCATCGCCTATCTGGTCGGTAGCGGCATCTACTGCCTTGGGCGGCAACGTCTCCGGGAGAAAAGCCGATAAGAACGTCGTCAAGATGGTGCATGCGAGGGCAAAGATAAGTGGCAACCAGACGTTGGATTGCATCATCAACGTGGAGAGGGACGGCCCGATGAGCTCGGCGAAGATCAGTACGGCGTTGCCCTGAAAGAATATCCGAGATCTACAACGAACAGCGTTAGAGTAGTTTCAACTCTGAACAGGAAAAGAGAGGCGTGCGAACCTATTCTCCTCGGTCGTCGAGTCGGCCAGAACCATCATCAGCACGGCACTGGCTACAGTGCCACCACCTCCGATGATGGTGAAGAGAGATGAAAGCCAGGTGAGCCGCAGGGGCAGCTCAAACCAGCCTGTCTCTTACAAAGATGATACGCAGGTTAATGATTGTTCGTTGGAGCATCAACACTAAAGAGCGAAGCTGGCTTCCTTTCGACTCACAGACGATCAAAATCCAGCTCATTGCCAGCAACATCCCGAGTTTGCTCAAGAACGTAACAGGTTGCCGTCCACGCTTGTCCGCCATGACGCCATAAGGCATGGCGAGCAGGAGCCCCGGCAGGCCGTCGAAGAAGGCCTGCCAGCCAAACAGCTGGGCGACGGTATCTTGTACCTCGGGAATCTTGCACAGGTCTTTGCCTCCCGCGTCGAGTACATGGACTCTGTTCGCCAGTGAGTAGTACTTGCGGCAGGCGATGTCCTCGAACAACTGAGTCTGCGGCGCGAGGCACATCACCCAACCCAGGCTGTCGATGCCGAGGATGGTCAACATCATGACTATCGGCACCCATCTCGTGGTGCGCGGGCGCGTCTCGCGGGGCGCGGGTAGGCTATTCACGGCATCGTCAACGGGGCGCCGTGTGGTGGAGGATACACGAGACGTAGAGGCATCTGGGACGGTACCGTACCCCTGAGGCTCTCTCTCCGCAGTCATGATACCGGCTCAAGGTGGCCCAAGGTGATTCCTCTCTGCATGATATGGGAAAAGAGAAAAGACCAAGAAATATTGTCTTGCGCATCAAGTTTGAAAACAACCTGCCGTCAAATTATCACCGACTGTCGAGTGTCGACCAACATTCGCCAGACGCTCACAGACGGACGAGGCCATCCAGGTACAGCGTGCAGAGCCATTACGCGTATGTGTATTACGTAGTCAACAGATTTCATACCTTGTTGGTTACATGTATTGCGGTTGGCCGTGCTCTACCGGGTTCGGTAGCCGTTGGGCATTGCACCAGTCAAGCATGCGCCGCTTGTAAGATGGGCACGACGAATCCTTGGGACCCCCGCGTGCTGAGCTGATGCTGTGTGTGGCAGAACCTCGCGGCATCCCCGGACTGCTACTAATACTTTGTCCGGGAGAAACACGAATCTGGAAACCACCGAGCTCCTAGCTTGTCGCTAACGATGCGAACTGGAGAGCTCAGAACAACCCCTCATCCAAGCTCGCAAAGACCATGCCTGTCATTAACTCGGCGTCGTGCCCTGTTCAGACCAGATATTGACTTGTGTTGCACCAACAATCATCGCGAGAAACGCCCTTGATCCTAACAAGACAACTATACCTGTTCTTCAGTATTGTGCAGGAATACTACGCATACGCGTTTCCAAGTTCAAGAAGCAAAGATGAGCGACTTGCAGCCAACACTCAATAGCCTCCTGGCCTGCTACCCAGCCAAGCAGTCAAAGGCCGTTGTAGCCCAGTTCGTACATCGACTGGCGCTTTGCAAGGCTTGGGGCATAGCCCAAGGTCCCGACAGGCTCCTTGACATTGGCTGTGGTCAGGGCGAATGCAGCCTTGTGTTGGCTTCTGTCGTCGGCCCAACAGGGCATGTCACGGGCACTGACGTTGCACCGCCTGATTATGGCGCCCCATTCACCGTTGGCCAATGCCAGGAGCATATCCTACACTCTGCTCTAGGATCTCGAATCAGCTTCAAACGCGGGGAGGTCGAAGCGGCCCTGTTTCCGGCGGATGGCGCTGGTGACACGCGTGCCTCTGGCGCGCCGTTTGACGCAGCGATCCTGTGCCACAGTCTCTGGTACTTTGACTCTGCTGAGGACATACGTCGCATATTTTCCCTGTTGGCCAAGGCCAGCGTGCCCCGTATCTACATCGCAGAGTGGAAGGGCGAGGCGACACACGTCCAGCAGGAGCCGCATAGCCTCGCAGCCCGCGCGCAGGCATTTTTGCACTCACAGAAGCCCCCGAAGAGGCCCCTGGCGGTGTTTGAACCCAATGTGCGCGCTGCGTTTTCTGCAGCGGATATCTTGCACATGGCCGAGGCCGAGGGCTGGCGAACGGCAAGGAAGGGCGCCGTCCCAGCTCCGAAGGACATGTTGGACGGGCATTGGGAAGCCCAGTACGTGATCTCTGACGCATTTAGGAAGGCTATTGAGGCAGAGGGACTCTCAGACGAAGCCAATGAGAAGTTGGACATGTACATTGAGATGGCGAAGCACGCCACTGAAGTTGTGGAGCGCAGCTCCTTCAAGAAGGTCGAAAGCATGGATGTCACCTGGGCAGTCTTGCAGTTGACTACCTGAGAGATCTCTGCATCGGCTCAGATACCTTGCACACTGCCATATCGTTGGCAGAGTGCCTACATGGTCTGAGACCACCAGAGCATTGAACATGAACACTATCTGGCTGTGTTTGACCGCCGGCGTTCTACTTCCTGTGCGATGCAAACAAGTCACATCTATCTATGACATCCGCGGCGCCGCCGATATCTACCAACGTTCCCTTGTCTAACACCACGATCTCGTCGTATTCTACCGCCAGCTCTGGCCGATGCAGCACCGATATGATGGTCTTTCCCTGCAACCTTGTTGAAACCATTTTTCTGCCTAAATTGCGGACTCATAATCCAGACTAAAGAGCCAATTAGCTATTACTCGAACCCTTTACTCCAAAGGGTGTTTTATTACCTGCTTGTGGCCTCATCAAGTATCACGACGCTGCCAGCCGCGTTGGAGGCACTGGCTATCAGCCTGGCAATGGACACCAGCTGCCCTTCGCTACTGGACAAGTTGGCTTCGATTCTCTTTCCATCAAGGCCGCCACACGCGCTGATCTTATCCCACACATTGGGCTCAATCAGACTCGCAATCAGCGTATCGTCGGAGTGTTGTTCGTCAGGATCGAGCTCCTCGCGAAACGTCGACGAGTCGACAAAGGAGTCCTGTGATATAGTGGTCAACCGTTGTCTGAGAGTGCACGCCTCTACGGTGGAGGCATCTACGCCATCCACAACGATGCGCCCCTTGGGCACTTTCAACAGTCCCAGGAGTGCTTGAAGTAGAGTAGACTTTCCGGAGCCAGTGCGCCCGCACACAGCAACCCTCCGGCCCGGTAAGATGTCGAATGTTACTCCGCGCAATGTCCAATCCAAGTCTGATAGCTCTGACCCCGTCTCATAGCTGGTGTGGACGTTTTCGAACCGCACATGCCCTCGTTCGGGCCATGTTGAGGCCACACCGGCGGCAGCGATGTATTTGCCCCGACGTTCGTTGGGAGTATCACGTTCAAATAGGGCGATCCGAGCGATTGCTCCTAGAGATGTCTCCAAAGAGGTCCACGCAATGATGAAATTTGTTAGCGAAGAACCCAGTGTCGTGACGTTGAGAAATGCCACGCCAACCGCCAGGCCCCGGCGACGACTTTGTCTCTCAGCGAAACTGCCACGCCGGCGGTGGTGATGGCAAGCCCGGCAACAACGAGTCCGAGGACTAGCTGCAGCCACCTCTGAACCATGTAGAGCAGATAAAATGGCTCTTGGGAGCGATCGAGCTTCTCTCTGAACTTGAGCCGCATGTCCTCGGCCCAGCCGTTGGCGCGTATCGTCACCAGGCCGGAACAAGTCTCGCCAAACTTGGTATGCAGGGCACCCTTCCACTCCAAGTCCATGTGGCGCAGCTGCTTTGTGCGCAGGTATACTCGTTGAATCAGGTAGAGCGTGATAGCTAGTGCAGGCAGCACGGCAAATGCTTCTTTTGAAACGATGGCGATGAGAATTATCTGGAACACGGAAGAAAAGAGTTCAGCGCAGGTGTTGAACATGTTGATTGGAAGAAATCCGTCGACAAACACGAGGTCCTGGTCGAATCTGTTTAGAAGCTCTCCAGTGTCCACGCGACTGACGTAGGCAAAGGGAGCGTAAAGAGTCGATGAAAGAAGTGCGGAGTGCAAGTCTGTCGCGGATGCGGGGACTATTCCCAGCATGAGGTGCCTTCAATGCGACTTTTGCGTCAGCTGGATCGGGCTCTATATTACCGGAGGCAGGAGGGTGTCCTTACAGCACCCACACAGCGATTGTGATCAGCGGAAGAACTTGAAGCAAGCCAAAGATCCCCAACCAGTACCCGTTGCCGCGAGGATCCTCGTGCACAAGAGCAGTCGACCACCACTTGACCCAGAGCTCTGAGTGACTTTGTTAGCGCATGGGTACATATGCACCAACGTTGCAAGGCAAGGTATATACGCACGCGGAAACTTGAGAGTAAAGGCAAACGCCAGGCCTAGGATCAGAAAGACGCCGGCGTTGATGAGCCCCATTGACCGGATATATCTCTTGTACACTGCTCTGTCAGAAATAGCAGTCGAAGTTGCAATTGGCGTGCTTCTGGGAGGAGACATGGACGCAGTTGATCGAGGATCAACGTCGCGATGCTCCTCTCTCTTCGTTTCTTCATTCCTTTGTCGAGCAGCGTCTTTTTCGTCGTCACTCACCGCAGTGAAATCGCCGCTATCACTTCCTGTAGCCCATTTTGGAATAGTCATGTCCGTACGCGAAGATGAAGTTGGCTGTATGTGGCCGTCGCTATCAATCTCGTATATTTCGTCTGCGAGGCCGGCGACTCGTTCTGCAATCGTTAGAAGGCAGATTGAAGCAACGGGTCAGACCGTATAAAGAAGACGCATACTATCGTGGGTTGTGTAAATAACTGTAGTTTCCCGTCGTCGAAAGAGCCCATCGGGCCCAAGAAGCCGTGCGGCAACATGTTCTCTGGTGGCGCGGTCCATTGCGCTAAAGGCGTCGTCAAGGAGAACAACGTCGCCAGTACCAGCTTATTACTACCTGTATAGATACAGGTATCAGACCACGCGCAACATGTGGGGAAGATGCACTGCCCTACCACGATGCCAACGTACACAAAGACACAGGCACCGATCAGCCCGTACCCATTGCTTATTGGAGAGGTACTTGAGAGGTATTGGAGCATTGCATCCGCAAGCAGCGACTGGGAATATGTGAACGCGATGAGGGCTAGTCTAGGAAGGATGGGCTTCAGGGCTGGGCCCGCAACGCATCTGAGTACAAGGTAGCCAAAATCCATGACAGAGGTGACATCTTGCGGGATCTTGCGTCAGCCTTGTCCATCTTCACCGAAGGGTCTTGAGTGAGTCTACCGTTCTGGGCCTTGAACAGCGGCTCAAACCGAGGACAGATGGTCTCTGAATACAATAAGCGGTCGATGGGAGCCAAGTCCGCAGGCAGAAGCGAGTTCTTATAACCTCTGCGGAAAAGGCCATTGAGCCCACAAGAAAAACGATTTGCTGATGGGACCAGAAAGTCCCTCCTTGGAGACTGAGTCTAGATGATCCACGAGCAGGAATGTCTTGTTCACGGCTTCTAATCCGAAGAACAGCGCCGTAACACAGCAATTGGCTATGGTAATTCCTGTAGCCGGTTTGTCTGGCAGTCGCCAGTATGTTCGTGCCTTGACGGACTCGAACAGCACACTGACAAACAAGTAGGCGAGCAGCAGAGACGGCGGTCGTCTTGCATGTTGGTGTTCGTACAACGTTAGGACAGTCGCGACCAGGGCCGCGACCAGGGCCACCGCCGCGGCCGACACGGACGCTGCCGTGCGAAACCGATCGGCGACGCATTGCTCTGTCAAGATGGCCGCTCGTAAAGCTACCGATGCCAAAGCGATACCCTTTGAATCGTCAGTTTGACCTTGTTCGGTGCGGCGGGCTTGCATCCATGTCAGCATATCCCTACTCATTTGGCACCGCGTAGCCAGCCCGGTTTCACTGCAGCGCGCCGATGATGTAGAACAACGGTCCGGCTTATCGCGCAAGCGACGAATATGACGGAGGGCGCGATGGTCAGAATCCCTTCCTCGAACAGCACCGTAAAGTCGAACCGGGAACGGCAGGCGTCCACGACAGGACCGAATTGACGGTCGGCTTCCTGAGAGCAGTGGTTATCGACGAGCTGGCGGGAAAAGCTCGCGCTGCTAAGAATCGCGTCATAATACCAGGGCAGCATGTAGTGCCCGACGTAGGAAGACATCTTGTTCCGGTATTGGCAGCATGAATCTGATGCTAATGCATTCTGTCATTTGAGCTCTGCAATGGTGATAAGCAGCGGAAGGTAAGGGCAAATCGGCAGGCGGGCAATGATGAAGCATGCGCTTGTACGATTCCCCGTTGTTGCATGCATACGCGGACGCCGACGAAGGACAGTCGTAAGCGCGCTGACTATTTAGTGAAGAACCAACCGTATTTCACGGCCGACCGCAATAAAACAGGCCGCTGTCGTCATCCCCAACGCACGCATCTCTCATTGTGGTTGTTGCATGCAGGTTGGCTACCGAAAGCGCAACGCGGCCCTCAAGCTGCGCTGTTGGCCCATGGCAGCTCCAGCAATCACCTGCCCGTCGCGCTTTCGGTGAATTCCCGTTTCAGTAGAAGGCCAACGGCTTTTGGGGATCTGTTAGGTGTACCCGGATGCAAAGCAATGCGCGAAGGATGTCGTGGCCATAAAGGTACGTGATAATCAATACTATGACACTGCATCCGTGACTAGATGGAGCACACGTAAATGCAGGCTGTGAAGTCGCACCGGAGCTGCGTTTAGGCACGACAGGCCTGACGGACACTTCGTTCCAACTCGGAGTAAGATGACTGCTCAGCCGAGCACAGAGCCCTAGTCTGGCCATGTCAAGGTGCGCGACAAGACTAGATAGATCTTGAGCTCCTCCCTCGCCGAGTAGCAGCCTGCAGCCGCACGCATGGAAGCCACCGCACAGCTGGTGCTCACCGACCTGGACTGGTAGGGGAGAAACACTATCCCCGTTGATGCTTTTTGATGGTACCATTCGTCCTCTCAGAATGGATGGACTTGTCGATTCAAACTTGTTTTGCGTTGCATAGAACATGGATATCCAGGAGCATGAGTAGCGTCGCAAGTCTCAAAATCGCGAATCTCTCACTGGTGCTGGAGGCTAACCGCCATACCAGTTGCGTAGTATGCTGAAATGACAAGGTCGCGCACTTGATGGACGAGTTGATCAGGCTGTGCAATTTTGGCGCGGAGATGCGGCTCATTCGGCCCGGCGACGAGGTTCATGGATTATTGCACTCGACTCGGGAGAGGTTCCGAAAAATGGTGAAGAAAGCAACTACTGTAGCTGCACAGGATTAGACGGGTAGATATGGCGCGAAACACATGCACCACTACCGGCTGTGTTCCGATGGCGCGCACATGCCAGAGCAGCTGACACATATGTATGAAGGCAAGAAGTTCTGCTTTGTTTCGGGTTGGCAAGTGAGTAAAGGCTGCTTGTCGCGGTCCTGGTTAGCGAAAGGCTCAGCCCCTATCAGATCGAACTCGTTCGCCCAGCTGCGCATATCCTCCACAATGCTGCCGCTGCCGAGCTAGCTTGTAAGTCGTAAGCCCGAAGGTGTAAGTGGTAGTGGGCCACCGCCGTTACATGGTCGCCAAAGGAACCAGCGCCTTGGTGGTGATGTCTGGCGAAGGTCCCCAGAGAAGCGATGGCTGCTTGCTCATTCCCGACCATGTGGTCATGCCAGGCATGTCCCGCATTCATTCAGCTTGAGCATGTCCCAAGAAGACGATTGGCGAGTCATCGACATCTTCTGATCCTGTAACTTAATATTCGACGCCAACATCGCGACTGGGCAGCCTCGGCGATTCTGGGTGTCCCAGAATACCTATGCAAGTTGAAGCAGCTTTACTATTCAAAGATGTTGAAACTTGCGCACACTCTTGAAAAACAATCCTATCATCATCCGCTCGCACGAAGTGTTCCGGCCAGGGGAGAGGCCGCCTTGGATCATCGCCGACGGGCGCCATGGGGCGGCCACTGGCCGTGCTGCCCGCCAGGGGGGGCTCTCATCGCGTTGGCCTATGTACTAGCTCGCGACCACCATGGCCCCCGATATTCGACAGTGTAACAAAAGCTCGTAATTGTCCACGTTGATGTCAATCATTGCTCTGGAAATTTTGAACTGGCCAGGGGACCGAAACGCAGGGACAAGTTGCCCGTCCCAACTCGTTTCTCCGTCTCTGCCTTGTTGCCTTACTGCCGAATCAGGCAAGGCGCGGGTCTCCCTCCCTACCCCCCAGTACGTACCACGTACCTGGCGTCGACCTCCAGTCGAAAATGCCAGAGCTGCAACTCACCAACAAATCCACCTGGGTCGCCCTCGACAAGCTGTCGCCGCACAGCCTTTCACCGTCAAAATCTGCCCAGGGCCGTGGGGAAGACGCATAGCATCGCTTGGGGCCCCCGACTCCATCCAAGGGTCGCGAAGCGCCTCGGCCCTGTCGCGACTTCGCAATCTGGACGGACAACGCGCCAACTCGACCCAGCACGCGTCGGCCGAGCTCAACAAGTGCCAGCGCCTCCGTTTGCGATTCCAGATTGAACCCGCCATTGCGCCTCAATACCTTGGTCGCGCGTTTTGATGCACCAGGACTTGTCATGTGCCAGTCGCAGCGATTTCGATAGACGGCATCACCATGGACAGCAAACGCAAGGCGAACAGCGCTGCGGCGTCGGATTCCGACGACCGCTCGTCGAAGCGACGCAAGGTGTCGGTACGCAAGCTCCCCTTCACGCACGGCTCAGCCTCCACGCTTGGCGCCTACTCTTCGAGCTGAATCCAAGACGTTCGGCGGCAATGCATCAAGCTTTGGGTGCGGCTTATTCAAGCTGCAGTTTGCTGACTTGCGCCCGACAGGACTTTGACCTCACCAAGGGCGAATCCCGTGACTCGACGACCGCGTACGGCCTGGCTTTCTTGGAGCAGATGCGGCGTACGTCGGACAAGAGGTATGGCGATCGACTCCGGCCTTGGCTGCGACGCCTCCCGCGAAGATGCTGACCCTTGAACTGCAGTGGGCGCCGTGTCGCAACTTACTTCGAGAAACTGCTTCCGCGCCAAGGAAACGAAGAGTATTACAAGAAGACGCGCATGCCCATTTCCCTCGAGACGATAGAGGAGAAGCTCAACAACGGCGAGTTTAAGACTCTGGCGGAGCTCGAGAGCTACTTCAAGCGCATGATCTGCAACGCCAAAGAGTTCTACCCACGGTCTTCCTCCATCTTCGACGATGCCGAGCGCGTGCGCAAGGCGTTGAGCAACTACATGACCAAGACCAACCCTGCGTATGGAACGCGCGGCTATCAAGCGCAGCCGACGCCCCTACCGCCGGAGGACGGTGAAGAGGCTGATGAAGATGCTGATGGTGAGGAAGTCGAAGAGGCCGACGACGGTGCGGAGGACGAAGACGCTGAAGGTGAAGAAGAAGAAGAAGAAGAAGAAGCAGCAGAGGACGACGAGGAACAGGAAGAAGAAGAGACGACCGGGCGCGGCTCGAGGAGGCGCTCCATCGTGCTCAAGCGACGCGAGTCTGGCCGCCATTCGAGAAACTCCCTTTCGCAGGCCAAGGACAGCCCTCGCGCGAGCATCAGCTCCAACCGACCCGACCACCAGTACGAGAACGTCCCATACAAGGGGCTCACCTTCCAGCAGGCGCAGGAAAAGGTCGTCGAGGAGCTATTGCGTTGGCAAGAACCAGAGTAGGCACTCCGCTCTCGCTTCCTGAGCCCAACGCCACAGCAGCCTAACCACTCTACAGATACGAAGGCTACTTTGAGCCGTTTCACAACCTACCTCCCCGGGCTCTGAAAGACTACTACAAGGTCATCTCGGACCCATTGTCGCTGAAGAAGCTGCAAAAAATGGCCAAGGGCGTGCACGGCCGCGGCGATGCCACTGGAGTCAGCGATTTCAAGACGTGGGCTGCCTTTGAGGAAAAGTCGAAGCTGCTATGGAACAATGCGTATTTCTACAATGAGGAGGGCAGTGAGATATACGAGTTGGCACAGGAGCTAGAGGTGAGCCTGACAATCCGGTATGTCTCTGTGTTTTCATGCTAACATTCTGCAGCAAGCGTTTGCGGAACAGCTGAAGGAGGCCCAAGCCGCCGTGGCGGAGCCGGCGCAGCCACCCAAGATCAAGCTCAAGGTTGGGTCGGGCACCGAAACTCCAACGTCGTCGAAAAAGATCACCATCCACGTCGGTGGTCGCGGAAGCTCGGCAGAGTCGCCCGTGCCTCAATCCGCAAACTCGCCCGCGGTTCCTGCGGTCAACGGGACGATGCGGACGTCCAGCCGCCTCGAGGCCGCACGCAGCGTCTCGCTCTCGGCGCCATCTCCCAGTCCGTCAACACAGGCCGGTCTGAAGACGGAAGATAGCGCCCGTGCGACGCCCGTGGTTGCGGGGCCCCCGCCTCCGGCCGTGCCCGGCGCATATCCACAGGCCCCGATGCCTCCCCAGCAGCCCGTCGCACAGTTTCCTCCCCCGGTGACCACCTACGTTGAGCCTAAGAGACTCCGCAGGAAGGGAACCAGTACGTTGAGGCCTCGTCTCATCTGCGTCTGCGCTTTCGCTGACTTTACTTAGCCTCCAAAGACGCCCTCATCTCTCGTTTACGCCTGCAGCTGCACCCGAACATGCAAATCGAGCACCCCAACGTCATCACCCTGTTCCCGCACCCCAATGAGCTGCAGCAGTCCGGCACAGTGAACCTCCCGCCGCACTACAACCGCCTCTTCATCGTCGTCAAGCTGCCCGAGTTCCTCTACGAGCGCCAGTACAGCCTCTGGGTGCTCTTCAACAAGCAGGCCCTCAAGCCGGTCATGCAGCCGCTCCCCGGCCAGCTACGCGAGGAGCGCGCCTTCGAGGTCGGCCTCAGTTACGGAGTCAACGTCATCGAGGCGCACCTCATCGCGGCGATCCCGCGTGACGAGCGTGAGCCCGGCGGTCCGGACGCGGAGCTCGAGGTTTTCACCGTCTTTGCCAACGTGATGAGGTCTTGAGGAGCCGGTGTCGTCTGTTGATCCCTCTTGCGCTTGAATAGTGTGGCTTTGTCGGTCCCAAGCGGTATCCACGGCGTGTCCCAGATGAGGATGCCCCAGAAGAATAAAGGCGTTTCGAACTAGCTATGGCGTTCTGTGGATAGCTCTTGTGGCTGATGGATAGTTGGCGGCTGGATCTGAATTGTATGATGGCGAGGTTGGGCGTATGGGCCGGGGTCGAGTTTCGTACAAGTTGCTAGCATCATCAACAGATATTTAACTCTTAAAAGCCGACGAGTATTGAAGATTGGTGACTTCCATAAATGGACCCCTCGCTCTATGGTATCAAAAACAGAGCCGTTCCAGCGCCTAGCCATGCTCGTGCTACTTCTGTACAAGTATACGTACACACAAAATCTGCCATCGTCGTGACCGTAAGTCAACAGCATTAATCAACATCAGCCACCGGCAGGCCGCTGTTTAAGCTGAATCAGGTGCTTCAGCCCCGTCTGTATGCCCATAAACTTCCTCTGCTTGGGGTCGTACCACCCCAGGACGTAGACGGCCATGACGGCGGCCTTGCCCTGCAGCTCGATGAGGCCGTCGACGCGGATGCAGCCGCGGTTAGGGGGCTGCATGGCGGGCTGCCAGTTCTTGGAGAAGGTCAGGCTGGCGGCCTGGAGGGCTGCCTGGATGCGCGGGTCGAGCTGGGACTCGCCGCTAAAGGGCGTTCCGAGGATGTCGCCGCCGGCCGTCTGGATGGGAAAGCCGGCGGGCTGCTTGTCGGGCTGCGGTTGCTGGGCCGGGGCACCGGCGGGCTGCTTACCCGGGCCGCCGAAGGCGCCTTGCTCCCGCCAGCCCTGCTCGCGCCACCGGTTGAGGGCGACGGACTGCCAGGTTGTCTCCTCGGGAGGCGCCGAGCCGAGTCCCAGGGCTTTGGCGACGTCTTGGGCTGTTTGCTTGAAGAGGAAGTTGACAAACGTCCAGACGGTCATGGCGACGGCCTTAGGGTATATGGCCATGTTCAGGTGGCTAGCAGCCAAGGAGTCTATGGGTCGGTCGCCCCAGTAGATGCCGTCATCATCGACCACAACACTGGTACGGGGTTAGCTCGTGAAGGACATGGAAAGATGCGAACGGCGTACCCAGAGATAAAATGCCTGGCCGGCGGTCGTGGAGGGTAGATGATGTCGAGCCACATCTTCTTGAGTTTGATGTTGCCTCCAAGAAGTCTCACATAGGCTGGATTTCGCTCGACGCCTCGCCGTATGACCTCTGCAAGGCCAACTGCTGCACTGTCAGCATCAACCCGTCACTAAGCACCTGACGCAATACGCACATTTGATGTCCTTTTGCAGCTGCTGATCCTTGTTGACGGCCAGGAACATGGCCCACTCCGGGTCCGAGCCCTTGTACGGCGGCTGCTGGACCTCTTTGGTCGTGAACGGGAACGGCAGGAAGAGGATAGGCTCGTCCTCCTCGGCGAAGCCCTCCATCTCTTGCTTTTCCTTCTCGGAGAGGGAGTCCCATTCGTGCTCGGCCCAGTCGAGCAGGGGGTCAAAGACGACGGTCGCGAATATTTGCCAACACGCGTACAGGGCAAATGTCGTGAATGCCACTCGTCTATGCAAGTCAGTCTCAAGCCGGCCCATGCAGTGTTCCCGAGTCAACGTACCCGAGGCGGCCCCGCCATGCTCCCGGTCTTGACTGTGACGGCGCTCTGGAGAAGTACACAGGCAGTGGTTCCTGGACCTTGTTCCGCTTCCAGGGCAGAAGCGATATGTTCCGGCGGACGATGAGCTGCGGGCGGGCGGCTAGTCGTTGTCTCGTAGCGGGGATGAGTGCGTTGGAGGCGCGCCCAAAGGCGGCCGCCGCGCGTGGCAGCATGCCGTATGCCGTGGCAGACCGATGGGATAGGAAAGGCGATGAACTTGGAACAATACGGATACTGAGGAGAGGGAAACAATGCAAAGAACAGGTCTCGCTACGCCGTCGCTTGGCGGAATCACGGGCTGATGACGGAGCAATAAATTACTGGGCGGTGGTGGTTACACGGGCGGGCAGTGGCGCAGGTGCTGCGACGAACGGCGGCCAGCGGTGCAGTGGTGGCGCTGGGGCCGGAGTTATCTGGGCCCGGGGTTCCGAGGGGCGCTGGCGGCTGGAGGCTGGCGCCTGGTGGTGAGCGGCTCTCCGCGTGTCCACTCCAGCTGCGTACGTGGATCGTGCTTCGCTGGTGACGTTGGAAGCTCCCAGCAACGACGACGACGACGCAACGCACCGCACCACAGCTTCGCGAGTCCGCCGCCGCCATCATGAAGCTCACCGCCGGGCTTCTCGCAGCCCTTGCTGGCTGTGCCGCAGCAGCTGCACCGCCGGCCGCCGAGGTGTTCCTCGTGCCGACGCGCGAGGCCTCCTCGTCCAAGACGCCCTCCATGTCGCGCAGCCTCGCTCGCCTCGTCCTGCTGCAGCGTCTGGCCCCGACCGGGCAGGGCCCGTCCGTCCACGACATCCCCACGAACACCGATGTCGATGCCGCCGTCTCCGCGATGAACACGTTTGGCAAGCCGCCCCCCGCGCTGTTCGCGAACGGCGCCAGCGAGCCGCCGAGCCAGCTCGTCATGATGCTGGAGGGCATGACGGAGGAGCAGATCCAGAGCGTGGGACGCCAATTCAAGACGAAGCCTGCGTTTACGATTGCCGACCCGCCGTCGTCGAATGCTCACGATGAGCTCATCAGGATCGACTTCAGCCGCGCGGGCGTGTCCAACGATAACAGGTGCAGCGTCCAGCAGGTCGTCAACCCCCTGGAGGAGTGCTGGGGCGGCAAGCAGGCTGCCGTCGCCAAGTTTGACGTCAAGAAGGTATGTTGGATTGCGGTTCGCGGACGAGAACGTTGCGGACAAGGCTGATAATTGCAGGATCCCGATGTCCTCAAGCAAGTCACCCAGAAGCTTGCCCAGCTATCCAAGCTTGCCAAGGCTGGCGAGCTCGAGACGGCCATCATTCTCCTACCATCTACCGCGACGTCCAAGTCGTGGTCCGACCAGTCGCAGGAGCTACGCCGCCGGCAGGCCGAGCAGGTTATGACGTCGCTCGACAAGTCGGTACAGTCACCTGCGCCGTCGACGCCGACAGGCCAGAGCACGATATTCACGGCCAAGGGCCCGATCGCAGCCTGCTTCAACTCCAAGGACAGCTGCATCCAGGCCACGGGCAACTGCTCCCAGCACGGCTCGTGCCTCAACAAGTACGCCAACGAGGACGGCACGGACGGCAAGGAGATTTGCTACGCGTGCCACTGCCTGAGCACGCGCACCAACAATGGCAGCCTGACGCACTGGGCGGGCCCGACGTGCGCCAAGTCGGACATTAGCGCGCCGTTCTGGCTGTTTGCGGGGTTCACGCTGGCCATTGTCGGGATCCTGTGGATGGCCATTTCGATGCTGTTCAACGTGGGCGAGGAGAAGTTGCCCGGCGTGATTGGGGCGGGCGTGTCGAGGTCCAAGTAGACGCGACGAGACGACGAGGGCTGAGTGGAGCTACAACGGGCGGTTATGGGAGGCTCCAACTACTATTGCCACGAGCCGGGCAGCATGGGAATGTAGCATATGGTGTATCGATACATGGCGTCGTTTTGCAGTCAGTCCGGTTGTTATGTTGCGCTTAGTAACTACATTCTACGTGTAGACGCTGCAGTAGACAGCAGAGCTCGTGAAGAGAGGTTCGAACTGTTCCAACAAATGGATCGATCCTTCGTCCATGTGTATGCCCAGGGCTGATAAGGGAGCCCGTCGTCGGCAGGCATGTCTTCTTCGGGCAGCCAAGCGCCGAAACACGAGGCACAGCGCAGCATTAATGAAGCCAGCCAGCCGTCTCCTGTCATCAGCCCTTGGAGCCCCTTCGCCGCGCCGCGCTGACGAAACGGCGTTTGGGCCTATTCTCCGTTTTTCCATAGCAGCGGGCCCAATCACGGCGGGCCGTGGGCCAGGCCGTCAGATCATCCATTGCCACTGGCAGGCGGAGTTTTCCGCTCTGCGCCATTGCGCGCCCAGCGGGTTCGACGGCACCAGCGGCTTCTACGGAGGACGGACGGGAAGGAAGGAGCGCCTCGCCTCGCCTCGCCTCGATGAAGAAAGTCGGGCGCGCGAGCCGAGGAACCTCGCCAAGGTTCTTTTAGCACCGCATCCCTCTCCCTCAAACCGCATCAGCCCCTTCAAGCCCCAAGCCCGCCCCCCTACCAACTGCAGAAAAAAAGCCCGGCGGACTTGAGCCATCATCACCGGTCGCCTTGCCTGTCGAGCCAGCAACGACGCAACCGCACAAGGCACGCGACGCGCGCGCGCATCTCACTCCCCGAACTCACGGCGCAGCGTCTCCGCGGCGCGCGCGCCAAGGCCAAGGGCAGCTGTGGCTGGTACTCGCGCGCGCGCGCAAGGTTTGTCGTGGTGCGCGCGCGGAGAATACTAAAGGTGATTGATTGATTGATTGTCAAGCAAGCAATGTCGGCCGCCACGACCACCACCGCCAGCAGCGGCAGGACGCCCGACAAGAGCAAGCTGCCGACGGCTAAATGGGGCGCCGCCTGCGCACCCTGCGCTTCGGCCAAGGCCAAGTGCATCCGCTCCGACGAGACGCCCGGGGCCAAGTGCGACAGGTGAGTCGTTTTTGCATTTTATTGTCTCTATTTTCGCTCCCCTGCTGCGTCACGTCCGCTGTCCCGCCGCCGTCGCCAAGTCGCGCGATGGCCGTGGCTGCCGCGGCCGCTACCCCCGGCACTTGGTTCGGCGCGGCGCCGGCGGATCCGGCACTTCAACGGCCACCACCACGCCTCCTGATATGAATCTGCTGATCTGACGCGCGACTGCCCACGACGACAGATGCCAGCGACTGCTTAAAGATTGTACGGGCCAGGTGCACCGGCCGCGCAAGAAGAGACAGTCGAAACCGAGGTGAGTGAAAACAGCTTTGCTGCCGCTGTCGCCCGTCGTGCAGCAGAGACACCGACAAACCCCGGCCCGGGCCCGAGACATTCGGCACTGACATCGAGTGACCACGAGTAGCCGCACCGCCCAGATCGAGGAGCGCCTCAACGGCCTCGTCAACCTCCTCCAGGCGTCCGGGGAGCTCAACGGCTCGCGGTCCGTGCAGGCGTCGCCTCACAGCCACAGCCAGAAGCTCGAGACGCAGACGCCCACGCCGACGCAGCAGACGCCGTCGGCCTCGGGCAGCTCCACGACGGCCACGTCTCACCCGCAGCACGAGTACGGAGGCGGCGGCGGCGGCGGCTCGGCATGGACCATCCCGCCCTCGTACAATGAGCACGCCGTGCCGGCCTGCATCTGCCGGCCCGAGAGCGGCGACGCCCCGCCGCCGCCCGAGTCCGACGACGTGCTGCTCGACCTCTACCGCCGCGACATGCAGCCCGTCTTCCCCTTCGTCATCATCCCTCCGGACTGCGACGCCGGCACCCTCTACGCCAGCCGGCCGTTCCTCATGTCGGCGATCCGCATGGTGGCCTCGTTCCGCAGCCTGCGCTCCATGCGCGCCCAAATGTACCATCTCATGACGCACCTCGCCGATCACTTGCTCATTCGCTCTGCCCGCTCCCTCGACCTCCTCCAGGGCATCATTGTCATGCTGGGCTGGTACCAGTACCACTGCTTCATGCACGCTCAGATGAACAACCTGCTTTACCTGGCCACGAGCCTCGTCGCCGAGCTGGGGCTCAACAAGCCGCCCGTCCTCCGCGAGCAGACCAGCCTCATGGTCGCCCGGCCCGTCGAGCCCCCCGCGCGCACAAACGAGGAGCGCAGGGCCCTGGCGGGCGTGTGGTTCATGACCTCGGCGTAAGCAGCGCTTCCTCTTCGCCACGTAATCGCACCAGCTGCTAACACACGGCACAGCATGGCGACCAACTTTGGTCGGATAGAGCCCATGCGCTACTCATCCTACTTACAAAAGTGCGTAAGGGAGCTCGAAGCCAGCAGGGAGTACGACAGCGACGCAACGGTCGTCTTCCTCGTTCGGGTGCAGCACCTGACGGAGCGGATATGGGATGTCAACTCGGGCGAGAGGGAACAGGACTTCATCCCCGGGATCCCCTCTGCCCCCTCATCCGCATACATCCTTGCTTTCCAAAACGAACTTGACCGTCTACGAAACAGCCTTCCTCACCACCTCAAGATGGACAGTACGTTTGCCCATTGCCCACACCGAAGCTTCGTCTCTTCTTCCTTGCTAACTTTCGACAGGCACGATGCAAGTCTACATCAACACTGCCCTGCTGCGCCTCTACGAGCCGCCTGTGGCCGACATGGCGCTCATACGCCAGCTCTCCGAGTCGCTCACCATGGGCTCCGCCGGGTCCGGCACGCCACTCGACAGGATCTACCAGACGAGTTCGGCGCTGCGACTGTGGTTCGACACCTGGCTGTCGGTGCCCGTGTCCGTGTACTACCGGCAACCGGCGGCCATCGCGGCGCAGCTCGTGTACGCGCTGACCATGCTCGGGCGGTGGGCGAAGCTCGCCACTCCGCGCACCATGTATGAAGGCGGCACGCCCATGCCCCGGTGCTCGAGCGCCGGCAACACCAGCCTGGCCGTGTACAATGCAGACCCGCAACAACCGCCGGCGGCGCGCGAGTCCGGGCTCGGGACCAAGGCGACCTCTGCGGCGGCAGCGGCAGCCGCTGCCGCTGCTGCCCACCGCAGCCACAACCCGAACCAAGGAGGTCCCTCGTCGTCATCATCTTCGTCGCAGCAGGGCCCGTGGTCGCATCTCCGGTGCGATAGCAAGGACTGCACGCACGAGACGGAACCCGGGCTCCCGGCGGCGGTGGGCGCGCTCCAGTCGCAGCTGCAGATGCAGCCGGGCCTGACGGTCAACATACCCGAGATCCTGTCGGCCATCTGCAGCCGCTTCGAGCAGGTCAACTCGTCGTTCCACGTGGCGGCGTCGTCCGAGTCGGGCAAGCTGGATGGCAACATCTGGAGCTTCAGCGCGCTCAAGGTGCGCATCACGAGGGTCAAGCTGGAGCGATGGGCGGAGTTGGTGTCCGCGGGCGCGGAGGCGTCGTCGAACCGCGAAGGGGGCGACAATAGTCATAATGGTAATGACAACAACAAGCAGCCGCCGCAACAGCAGCAGCAACTACAGCAGCAGCAGCAACAGCAACAACACCCGCATCAACAGCAGCAGCAGCAGCAACAGCCGCCAGTGACGACAGGAGGCGGCGGCGGCGGCCCCCCTGCGCAATGGCGCGGGTCATACCCCCAGCAGCAGCAACATCAAGGGATGGGCGGCGACATGCACCAGTTCGGCAGCCTGGCGCAGGACCAGACGCAGATCCAAAACTTCCTCGGTAGCACGCCCTGGACGAGCGACATGCTCGACGGCATCGACCCGACCGTCTGGTTCGACGGGTACCTGGACTGGGGCGCCGTGGTGATGAACTCGATGGGGACGGTCGAGCAGTGAGACGAGTTGGAATGAGTGACTCGGCGGGAACGAAAGGGATCCAAGAGGGGGAGAGTCGACGGCGTCCGGGGCAGACAAGACAAGACACATCACATTTTCTTTGAGGGGAAGACAAGGTATTATGACCGGGGAAATCTGACAAGGGACGAGCGGCATCTCGCGTACAGTATAGTGGCGTTTCTGGAGGCATGGGGTTGCCTTGGGCGGACAACAAACGGGCAAAGGACAAGACATAGAGGCGACGGTGGCGCAACCAGGTATGAGCATTGTATTGTATTTTATGTCACGACGACGACCAGTGGGGAGGCATGTAATGATGGTCGCTGTTTTCGAAATAATACCCCGCTTCTTCTTCTTCGTCTCCTTCTTCTGAGTCTTCCATTCACCGCTGAAACTTGTAATACATGTTACGCAGGTGCAACAACCACTCTTCCGTCATGATACATATGCATGGACGGGGGACTACGCACATGGGCAGTTTCAACAGGGGAGATCCGATCCCTTCTTTCGTATTCCTTCGTAAGAATGTACAAGGACCAAGCAGAACCGGGGGGGGCAGCCCAGCTATGATCACAAATGATGACATGAGCCTGCCCTTCCCCGGCCAGGACCACGGCGCCCCATTGGCAGCTGCGCGCGCAGAAAGAAGAAAAAGAAATACAGGCGCCGCAACCTGGACAAAGAGCCCGAGGAAGCGGGCTGGGGGAGGGCGAGGGGGGGTGTGTTGTTGCATTGCTTTTTCTTTTCTTTTGGGGGAGGACGTCCCGTAGACCTGGGTGGTGGTACCGCGCTTGACGCTCGGTGTGTGTCTGGGACGTCTGATGAGCAGCACAGAGGGCGGAGGGAGGGAGGGGGGTTTCCATAGGTGGCTTTGAGGCTGGGGGTGGATGGTGGTTGTGGTGGTGGTACAGTAAGTGAGTGGTGGTAGGTGGAGGTGGGTGGTCGGTTTGTGGCGCCGCGGACCACCAACCAGGGGAAACCAGATCCCTGGGTTTCGGCGTTCGCTTTTGGGGCGGTTTTGGGATCCCGAGGGAGCGGGCAGGCCCTGGCGGTTTGCTTTGGCTTACAAAAAGCAATCGTGCGCAGGCCAGCGCCGGGGGGCCGGGAGGAGAGGGGGTGGGGGGAGGGCATCGTCACAGGGTCACAGGTCGGCACAGTATGTGTTCTACTACGTACGTACGTACTTGCCTTGCGCATGAGGTAGTATGTATGTACGTATGTACGTGGGATGTACGAAGGATGTACGTACGGAGGAGGTCGTCCGGCATGCCGGCAGTGAGCAGCGGATGGTAATAGCGCGAGGCCTACTATTTATCACAGGGGTCTCCACCTCCGTCATACCGTCTGTCCGTCCGTCCGTCCAGCCATCTAGACGTTTCGTCTTGCAAGGAACAACAAGCTAGAAGTCAAACTACACGCTTACCCAACCTTGCCTACTACCTACCTTGGCTCTTCAACCCAACAAGTACACGAAGTTGGGCCGAGGTACCTTATCACCCATCCGCCTACTACTACTCTCCAGTCCCTCCGCCATGGCGTCGTCAAATAATGGCACCGGCGGCACTACTACCGCGCAACAGCAGCAGCAGCAGCAAGCCGCTGGCCAAGAAGAGGCATCGCCGCCGCTGTGGTGGGCGGCCTTCCCCGAACCCAAGGCCAGCTGCCACCGCCTCGAGGCCGCCGACGTGATGCAGCTGCTCGAGAGCCACGCCTCGCTCGGCACCCACAGCGACAGGAGCTTCCTGCTCGTCGACGTGCGCCGCACCGACTGGGAGGGCGGCACCGTCGCCACCTCCATCAACCTGCCCGCGCAGACGCTCTACCAGACGCGCCCCGTCATCTACCAGCTGTGCAAGCAGGCCGGCGTCAAGACCATCATCTTCTACTGCGGTAAGTCCACACGGCCCTCTTTCACTACCACTAAACCCCAATCGCTTGTCCGCGCCGGGCAGCGCAATGCCAAAGCGAGCTCAAGGCTGACTTGCCCATGCGCCGCCCACAAAAAGGGAGCTCGAGCGGCAGAGGACCCCGTTGCGCGGGCTGGATGCAAGACTACCTCAACGAGGTGGGCGAGGCGAGCGTCACGGCCGCCGTCCTCAAGGGCGGCATCAAGGGGTGGCAGAAGACGTACGGCGGGAGGATGATGGACGCTTACGACCCAAAGTTCTGGAGCAGCAACCAGGGCTCATGCTGATACCAAAGCGTTTATTCCCGTCCCGTCTGTGTGTATCCTTTGGGAGGGTATCGGCGTCAAATTCTGTGGTTCGGACATCTTTTTTTGTATCTCCTGGGCATTTCTTCTACCAGACAGAAGACCAAATCATCATGTGCGTGTAATCCCAAATTCGCGTCGCCCCGTTTTCGACCGAATAACGCCAAGCCAAACACTTTGCCATCTATGCACTCCCGATGATCGTGGAACCGTGATGCCCACTGTCGTTTGTGGGGGGGAGTGTTCATCGTCCGCCGCGCTCGTCGCCCGGGATTCTCTCCATCGCCTCGAGCATGACCACTGAGTTGCCGCGGATGACCTGTAGAGCTGTTAGCCGAGGGCTCGTGAGCCGGAATGACATCGGAGTCGCTGCGCACCACCATGCCAATGTTCTTGCGGCCCTGTCCGTCCGTCTCCTCCACAGCCTCGTCCAGGACGATGTTCAGGAACACCTAGGTGGGTCAGTAAGACGCCCGTGGAATACGTAAGAGCCGAATCGCATACATCGTAGCCTCGCAGGACGCCCGTCACCTTGCGGCTGCCGTTCAACTGGACAAACAGTCTCTTGTCGAGGTACTGCAAACAGGTCAGCGGCGTTCCTCGCCAGGTTTCGAGGCGGCGCAAGACTGAAACAGTTCATCGCATGGCCTCAGGGGACAGATCCCACGACAGCACATACTTTCTTGAGCTCAGGCTGGGGGGGCGCCATCTTGAGCGTTTGATGTGCGGTGGATTGATGAGCTTGAGATGCTCTGAAGCTGTCGCGCGACCGCGACGCAGATGCAAGGCTGCACTGGGGGGCCGACCCAAAAAGTCGGGTCACGTGGAGATTAGATAACGCCCATGCTTCATGTTAGCACCTCGACTTCACGCCGTGGCGAGCTTGCGATCACTTCAACGATGCATGCAACATGAGCTCGTTCGCGGCAAAGCGCAAGGCGCGCGTCATAAAAGTCGCCGATGATGGTGAGGCAGAAGGCGCGTCTGCCCCGACAGAAACTGGCAGCGCGGGAGAGGGTAAGCATCGCGACCGTGGCTTGCAACCTGGGCTGATGAGTTCAAGGCTGACATGGACACGGACAGAACCTCTAAAACAATCTTCCGGGGCAAAGTTTGCACGCAAACCTTTTCGCCAGTCGGGTCTGCGCAAGAGCTTTAATCCTGCCGACGACGACACCCCAAGCACCGGTGGCGATGAAGCCAAGGACGACGAGGACGACGGGCCGGTAGTGGTGCGGCCCAGCATCGGACGAGCCGGGTCCAAACACAAAAAGAAGATCCCAAAACCGAGGATCTCTTTCGGCGGCGACGCGGGCGACGCCGAAAATGGAGACGCCGAGGAGCCGAGCACGCCGAAAAAGGCGCCTCTGGGGTTGAAAGCCATGGAGAATAGCGCGGCCAAGCGCGGCGTTCCCCTACGAGGGCTCCCGACACGCTCCTTGCACGACGATGACGACCGGCCAAAGTACAGCAAGGAATACCTGAGCGAGCTGCAGTCGTCTACCCCGAACACGCCCCGCGACATCTCGACGCTGCACATTGGCGACGCCGACGAGATGGAGCTGGATGCCAGCGAGCTGGAAGGCGCACTGGTCGTCGACTCTCCAGTGCCGTCGCCTCAGCCCACGACGCAGATTCTTTCCGAAGCTGAAATACGCGAGAAGAAGGAGCGGCGGGCTCGGCTGGCCAAGGAACAGGGGTTTCTCTCCGTTGAGGATGACGACGAGGAGGACCGCTTCGGGAAGAAAAAGGACGACACCCGGCTGCAGCGCGAGGACGAGGACCTGGGCGAGGGCTTCGATGAATACGTCGAGGACGGCGGCCTGTCGCTCGGCAAGCGCGCCACGAAGGAGAGGCGGAAGAAGGAGCGCCAGCAGATGGCCGAGCTGATATCCGCCGCAGAAGGGCACACGTCAGACTCATCATCAGACAGCGATGCCGAACGGCGGATCGCCTACGAGTCGGCTCAAACAAGAGCAGGCCTTGACGGACTGAAGAAGCCCACGAAGAACGCCACCGACGACCTGCTAAAGGTGCCGCCCAAGATCACACCGCTGCCAAGCCTGACAGAGTGCATAGCCAAGCTACAGGCCACCCTGAAAAGCATGGAACAGGATATCCAGACCAAGAACGCGAGGGTCGAACAGCTGCGCAAGGAGAAGCAGGAAATCATGGCGCGCGAGGCCGAGGTCCAGGCGTTGCTGGACGAAACGGGGCGCAAGTACCAGGAGGCCATGGGCAAGGGCGCTACGGAGGCTGCGCCGACTGCAGCGGGGACGACGCAGGCTACGTTGGAGCTTGGCGGGGAACGAGGGCTGGAGAGCTTGGGCACGACGCCGCGGCGTGCGGATCAAGAGGATGTTGACATGTTGTGAATGTAGATATAAGATACCACCATACAAGCAGGATTGGCGTCGCCATGGTCACGCGACCACAAGCGACGCGTCATGATTTACGATTACTGTACAGGACTGTATCTTTACAACAGCTGATGTGTGATCATACGGTCGCGAAAATGCTCTATGATTATGGTATAGTGCCTTATCAGGGCCATATATACTCGCTCTCGATATTACGCCGTCTTCTTGGCCTCGCCGCCGCCACTGTACACTAAGCCGTCGTCCATGTCGCCGAACCACAGGCCCCAGGCATCCCTGAGCCAGTGTGTGCGGCCGTACCAGGGTCCCTGGCCGGTGACCTTTGGGATCCTGTCGGCGGCCTTGACGAAGTAGTTGCTGTTGGCGTCGACGGCAATGCGGCGCGGCATGCCCTTGTAGCGCTCGATGACGGGGACGACCTTGTTCGCGCCGCGGGTCTCCATTGTGCGCATGACACGGGACAGCAGCTTGACCATGACGTCGGCGCCGGGTGTCCACGACTGCACCACGTAGCCGAGGACGTAGCCCATGTTGGGCAGGCCCTCGAGCATGCCGCCGCGCCAGGTGTAGCGGCTGCCGACGTCGATGGGCTGGCCGTTGACGAGGGGCTTGATGCCGTTCATGATCTCAAAGTAGAGCCCCGTGGCGGTAATGATGATATCGGCGTCGAGAACGCGGCCCGAGGCGAGGCGGATGCCACCCGGCACGACGCTGTCAATAGTGTCTGTCACGACTTCGACGTTGTCCCGGTGCAGCGTCTTGAAGAAGTCGCCGTCCGGACACATGCACAGCCGCTGGCGGAACGGGTCGTACCGCGGGTTGAAGTGCACGCCCACGTCCAGATCGCGCGGCACCTTGGCCTTGAGCTGGAGAGTGAGGGCCCAGCGGCCGAGCGTGGGGAAATGCAGCAGCAGCTGGGTGGCGAGCATCTCAAAGGCAATGTCCTTCCACCAGCAGAGGCGGTGCGCCCAGGCGGCGGGCAGGAGCAGGCGCAGGAGGCGATCGACGAGGGACCCGCGCGTGGGCATGGCGACGGCGTATGAGGGGCTGCGCTGGAGCATGGTGATGCTGGCGACAGAGGAGGCCATGGCGGGGATGATGGTGAAGGCCGTGGCGCCGGAGCCGACGACGACGACCTTCTTGTCCGCGTAGTCGAGGTCCTCGGGCCACCACTGCGGGTGCACAACCTTGCCGGCAAAGGACTCGATGCCGGGAATGGGAGCTTCAAGCGCGCGCTCATACGAGTAGTACCCCGTACACGCGACGACAAAGTTGGCAGCAAACACCTTCGTCACACCTTCATCATCATCGCCGCTGCCGACCCGCACACGCAGCCGCCAAAACGCATCCTCGTCGCGCCACTCGCAGCCCACGACGCGATGCCGGAAGCGGATCCTGTCGAGGGAGCCGTCCGCGCGGGCCGCGTCCTCGACGTACGCGGCGATGTCCCCTGCGGCGGCGATCTTGCGCGCGTGCGGCCAGGGGTGCCAGCGGAAGCCGAACGTGGTCATGTACGAGTCGGAGCGGAAGCCCGGGTACCGGAAGAAGTTCCAGGTGCCGCCGACGACGGCGCGGGCCTCGAGGACGGTCACGGAGCGGTGCGGGAGGCGCTCGCGCAGGACGTGCGCCGAGTTGATGCCCGAGATGCCGGCGCCGAGGACGACGACGTCGAGGTGCTCGGCGATGTCATCGTCCGCTGCGGCGGCGGCGGCGGCCGTGCCCGCGGAGCCCATGGCGGTTGTACAGACGGCGGGGTGCGATGTGAGAGAGTGTGTGTGCGTTTGTGTAACCTGACCAGACCGGGGTTGAGGTTCGTGGACGAAGCAAGTTTCTTTGCCCCAGCGATGTCCAGATGGGTCGCGGACTGGGACGACTTGGGGGAAGCGCCCAATTCCAAGGCTGGGGATAACTCTCGAACAACCTGCGATCCTCTGAGGATGATCAGACAAAGCAAGCAAAGAGAGATCCGGCTCGCAGTAGCGTCCAAAGGGGGGAACCAGCGTCCTTTTTGTGCCGCACCGGGAAAATGAAGTCTTCGACCAGTTGGGGACCTGTTAAAAGAGCCAGCCGCCACCGCCAGTCGCATCTGGCGCCAGGCCGCCACCAGACTGGCCGTCGGGACATTAAACTTCTCACCTGTTCCTGGCGGCTCCAGCTGCCAAACCCCCCCGCCGCGGGCCCCACGCCTCAACTGTCCGGGTCTTCCCACTGACAGATCAACGCAGCCAACCTAGGCAGCCACTCAGCGTGGCCAGCGCCCTGTGGGACTTGCCGGATGGGGCCACAGTGCCGGCCGACCCTCTGGAATCCGCCCCGGACGGGATGCTGCTGGCCGCTGCACCTCCCGGCGCGGGGGCATGATACCCTCCGCCCCGGAGAACCGGCACGGCGTTCGGGCCTCAAACCACCTAGACAGAGATCTTTACTGCATGGTTGGCCAAGGCAACTGCGTCGATGGCGTGGCAGATATCAGGCGTGACGCATATATGTGCCAATCGGTAGTTGGGCAGTGCAGCAGTTCGTCCGTAAGTACGGCGCATCGTTTCCTAGCTTGGAATTTGATGGCTGGCTGTCTGCAGGATCCTGGCGCGGGGGTGAGCTTGCAGCAAGACGACAGGCCGCGATGCAGGAGGCAGCAGAGCCGTTGCGCGTCGTGCGTGTAAGTGAGCACACGACATGTGAAGGAGCAAATGCGCTCGCTCGCTCGCCTCGGTATCCAGAGGCCTCGCACATGGAGCGACCCTGGCCACGAAGGTCTCAAGTCCTTACAAGAGTATCTCGTCTATTGTCGTGTCTTGGGTGCGCTTAGAGTGATTGGGGCCTTTGCAAGAGTCGTGATCGACGATAGTCAGTGGCATGGGCGCTTCGTTGCTTTTCTTCCATGCAATCTTTCGGGGTGCACAACACTCGCACAGCCTACGCGCCGCCCCCAAATCCGTAGGCCTCGCTTCCCCGTCAGAAAAGAGGAAAGCCGACTTGCACATCTGCTAGCCCACTCGTTTCTTATTCCTCTGCGAGCCGGCTCTTGTTCAGTAATCGGCCTGCATTACCGAAGAGTCGCTCCTTCAACACGTACAAGCTCATCGCTTGTCGTGTCTTGCACCACCACCTCCTGGAGCCTGCGGTCCTAGCACTGAAGGCTCCGAGCACGGAGAGAACTAGGGTAACACATTTGGCGTCATGAGGCTCAGGGTCGGGCAGCAGTCGTTCGCCGGTACCCTATACGTATACATGTCCGCAACAGACGGGCTCTGCCTAATGGAAATATTTGTGGTGATATCTGTGCGCGTGTAAGTGCGGCGCGCGTCATGGAGTGGTCATGGACAGACTTTACAGCGGAGACGGTGACTGAAGAGTACGGCTCGGCGCCCGCCGTTCCAGACTGAGCCGACTCATCCGTTGCACCCATCGAGCAGTAGACATCAGAGTCTCCCTCAAGCTACAATTGCGATACATCGCGAGTAGGAAATGTTCAGCAAAGCTTTTCTGGAGCAAATTGACGCTCGACAGACCCGTTCCATGCTAATCCGTCAATCACTCACACAGGCTGAACAACCGCACCCATGCGCAAGAGCTGCCATGTGCAGCCTGGGCGGCATGGGCAAGTTCGTGTATACCTATAACGTGGCAGCGCCGTATCCTCTGAGCCCGAGGGCATTGAAGGCAGTCTACCATATTCGGTAGCCAGACCAGGCAACAATGAATCAGGTGGCCCATACTGCGTGGTCCATAGACTCTACTCAGGTATGAGACCGAGACCCACCTGCGTCCGTCGTGATGGATGGATGACGCTATGAATCGGTTGCAGACAACGCTCAATTATATAGTAGAGCAAAGGGCGCAAGAGAAACGGCGAACAGTATTCCGTATCAACTGCCCTGCTTAATTATCGGTGCTCGAAATAACAAACGCTCCCGATTCTTCCTGGCTGTCCTCAGTCCTACCTCTATTTCCTTTCTATATCCAACAAACCCCATCATGGCCCTTCTGCGACAACCCGCGATACGCTTGGCGAGGACAGGTGCACGACCTGCCCAGATAATTGCGGCTAGGCGGTACAGCAGCGAGCCTCCGCGATCGCAGGCACGCCCAGCGGCTCCCAAGGAGATAAAGAGCACGTACGTTCACCCCCCACATCTTGCGCACGCTGGATGCTCTACGTCTGTTCCATCACTGGTTTCCGAGCTCAATTAACACGTCTTCTAGAAACCAAGTTGCGCTTGTAGGCGCCGTTGGTGTTGGTATCGGGGCATGCTACTTCTTCCTCATGGGCCGGCCAGACCAAGCCGCCGATGCAGCTTCAAAGAACCTAGAGAGCACGAGCGGACCCAAGCTGTCCAACAAATAGCGAAATTCACGTAATTGATAGATTCAAGTGTATAACAGCCACAAATCCTGGACAAAAACAGCACGAAAACTGATGTCGTGCACGTCATACGTGAAATTCTGGTGGTTCCTTAATGTGAACCAAGGCCGACTCATCATGCCTCGTCCGGTTGCCGCGAGACTTTCGCACAATGTGCGCGTCCGAGTCGTTCAGGAACACCCGATCTGAAAGCAAATGAGCTCCATCGAGGATCGGACATTTCTTTTCCAGAAAACATGGAATCATTTCGCATCTGACGGCGGACGGTTCTCGTACTCCTGCGAAACAACGGCCTACCCTAGGGGTCTCGTCGCGAGACGCCGCTTGCACAGGGTCTGTTCTCTGTCTCAATCCAGATCATGACGTGCAGCACCGATAACGGCGCCGTGTCTTACACCCGACCGCGGAAGCGATGCAATCTGGCTGGCATCTTGTGCGACGTGTGCGACGCGACTAGGAATGGGCGTGTGATGTCTGGTCGGTGTAAGTCGAGACACGGAACCGGATTCTGGGGACGCATGATGCAGACGACGTTTCTGGTCCAGCCAGTCAGTGGGCACGCTGAAGAAGCAAGTATACAATTTGCAGGCAAGCCCAACGCAAAAGCACCCTTGACCGATGTTGTTCGGGAGACGCCTGCCCAAATCATCTAGACCGACCATCTTTGACGTCTTGTCGCCGCACACCTGCTGTGCGTTAGGTAGCAACGGCGCTTCTCGGTCAGCACTGATGAAGCACCGGCGGGCGTCGCCAGCCAGCGGTTCAGCGCCTCAGCCCTGCAGCGGCGGCGCACTTGGGCTGCACCTGAACCGCACCTTGGCGCCTCACCTCCAGAAGGGCTGCTGCAGGGCGGCACGCCCGCCTGGGGCCCCACACCAGCTGTGGCCAATAGCGGGCCCCAGTCGCTGGCCGCCATCGAAGGAGCTAGAAGTCGGACGGCAGCTCTTCTTTTCCCCCACCAGCACCGCCGAACGCAACGCCAACTCTAACATCTGAGGACAGAACCCTTCCAAGTTTTTGCCTTTCGAGCCACGCTGAACGAGACGGACCGAACGTGCAACAATCTCCCGTCCACCCGCCTGTAATACGTCTAGACACATAACAACCATGGCTTCCGCGGACGAGCTCAAAGCTCTCGGCAACAAGGCCATTGCCGAAAAGAACTTTGACGACGCCATGTGAGTTGCCCGTTCCTCACCCTCCCATGATAGTCCGCGGCCCTCCCGGAAGCCCCGTGCTGACAAGCTCGCAGCGACAAGTTCACCCAGGCCATTGCCATCCAGCCCGAAAACCACATCCTCTACAGCAACCGGTCCGCTGCGCACGCCTCCAAGAAGCAGTGGGACGACGCCCTGAAGGATGCCGAGAAGACGACCGAGATCAAGCCCGACTGGGCCAAGGGCTGGGGCCGCAAGGGTGCCGCCCTGCACGGCAAGGGCGACCTGCTGGGCGCCAACGATGCCTACTCGGAGGGCCTGAAGCACGACGCCAACAATGCCCAGCTCAAGAGCGGCCTGGCGTCGGTCGAGAAGGCCATGCAGCAGGAGGCCGGTGGCATGGGCGGCGACCCGGCGGCCGGTCTCGGCCAGATGTTCAACGACCCCAACATGATCCAGAAGCTGGCCTCGAACCCCAAGACGGCGTCCTTCCTCGCCGACCCCGCCTTCATGGCCAAGCTGCAGTCCATGAAGCAGAACCCGGCCAATGCCCAGGACCTCTTCAGCGACCCCCGCATGATCCAGGTCCTTGGCGTACTCATGGGCGTCGACATGGAGATGCGCGACAGCGACCCCACGCAGGACACGCCCATGACCGACGCCCCGTCCCAGGCCAAGAAGCCCGAGCCTGCCAAGAAGGCCCCCGAGCCCGCTCCTGAGCCTGAGGAGGTCGACGAGGATGCCCTCGAGAAAAAGAAGAAGGAGGAAGCCGACAAGGAGAAGGCCCTGGGCACTGAAAACTACAAGAAGCGCAACTTTGACGAGGCAATTGCTCACTACAGCAAGGCGTGGGAAATCTTCAAGGACATTACCTACCTCAACAACTTGGGCGCCGCCTACTATGAGAAGGGCGACTATGACAAGTGCATTGAGGCCTGCACCAAGGCCGTCGAGGAGGGCCGCGAGATATACGCCGACTTCAAGTTGATCGCCAAGAGCTATGCGCGCATCGGCTCGGCGTACGAGAAGAAGGGCGACCACGCCCAGGCCATCGAGAACTTCAACCGCTCCCTCACCGAGCACCGCACCCCTGACGTCCTCAGCAAGCTGCGTGCCACGGAGCGAGCCAAGACGGAAGCCGACAAGAAGGCCTACATCGACCCGGCAAAGGCCGAGGAGGCGCGCGAGGAGGGCAACAAGAAGTTCAAGGAGACGGACTTCCCTGGCGCCGTCGCCGCGTACACGGAGATGATCAAGCGCGCTCCCGAGGACCCGCGTGGCTACAGCAACCGCGCGGCTGCGTTCGTCAAGCTCTTTGAGTTCCCGAGCGCCCTCGAGGACTGCGACGCCGCCATCAAGCGGGATCCCAAGTTCATCCGGGCGTACATCCGCAAGGCGCAGGCCTACTTTGGCATGCGCAAGTACTCGGAGTGCGTCGACGCCTGCAGCGAGGCCCAGCAGGTGGACCAGGAGCACCACAACGGCGCCAACGCGCGCGAGATTGAGCAGCAGCAGCAAAAGGCGTTTGGCGCCATGTACTCTACCCGTGATAACGAGACGGAGGAGCAGACGCGAGAGCGCCTGATGCAGGACCCTGAAGTAAGTCGGCCCTCCGCTGGGGAGCATTCTGTCTGTTTTGAGTTGTTGCTGACGAACAAAAATAGATCATGAGCATCATGCAGGACCCTGTCATGCAGTCGATTCTGCAGCAGGCACAGTCGGACCCCAAGGCGCTGCAAGAGCACATGCGCAACCCGAACGTGCGAACCAAGATCCAGAAGCTGATTGCGGCGGGCGTTATTCGCGTGGGTCGGTAAAGCGGTGGACGATTAAGGCGAGTGTACGTGTAGCAGGACTGTTGTCAGTTAATGAGATATGAACTGTTGCAAGCGCTGGCTTTTACGTTATGTGGTTGCATTCTTGGCGTTTCGCCAGCCGTTGTATAAGACGGGCCAAGAAATGTTCCATGCCGGCAACATGGCCGGGCGTCGAGTTTGGGGGCTCCACGCCAAAGAAGCTGCGAATGGGCTGCGCCTGACCCGAGGCGCCGCCCGTGGGGCCGAGCGGCTCCGAGAACGTAGAGTAAGAATGCAGGGGACGCGTTGACACAGGGCGCCCGAGGATTAGGCGCTGTCCACTCTGAAGCAGCACAGCCCACCATCACCCTTATTTCTCTTAGCCATGGTCCCTGGCAACCCTTTGTCCGCTGCCATGCCATCGAATCCAACTCGGCTCTGAGGATTCGCGAGCTTGACAATCATGGGAGCCCTCGACGAACTGACGGCAGGTGAGCGAAGTCCCTGCGAACCTGCGGCGCCTGGACCGCGGTGCGCAGATCGCGGTGCACTGACATGAACCTTGATAGGTGCGACCTGGTCGTCGGTCTCTACGGATCTGCTGCTCCAGGAGCTGCGCCGGCGAAAGGAAGAAGGCGAGCGGCCGCAATGCGGCTCGCGGAAGTCGGGATGGTACGATACAGTGGCGCACATCTTTGCGCTGCTGCTGATATTGACGCTGAGCACGCTGGGTAAGTCGACCAAGGGGTTGATGCCCCGGCGCTGGTCCCGAGAGATGCTGACTGCGGACAGCCTGTGGACTCCCCCTGATATCGAGACGAACGACGACGGGCAAGCGACAGCGAACGATAATATTCTACTGCCAGCACGTCGGCACCGGCGTGCTGCTCGCCACGGCCTTTGTCCACCTCCTGCCGACGGCCTTTGAGTCGCTCACGGACCCATGCCTGCCGCACTTCTTCAGCAAGGGCTACAAGCCGCTACCGGGCCTCGTGGCCATGATCTCGGCGATAATTGTCGTCGGCGTCGAGTCGTACCTGACGGCGCGCGGCGCGGGACATTCGCACTCGCACGCGCACGGCCTGTTTGACGAGAGCGACGGGGCGAGCAGCGACGGCCACTTCCACGACGTGGACCTCAACGACAACGATGCCGGCGGCCTGTCGGCGACGAGGGCGCGGGGACACCGGCCTGCGGACATTTCGCTGGATGACATGGAGGCGACGCAGGGGCTCGTGGCGGGCGTATCGCCGCTGCCCGAGTCGACGCCCGCGGCCACGCCGCGGAATCGCAAGTCTACGGACAGGGAGTTTGACGACGGCGACTCGGACCTGGACTTGGATATGGACGAGCTGGACCCCGCGCCGACGAGCGACAACCGCAATGGGCCGTACGCGTCGCTCAAGCCCAATGGCGTCGGTAGCAGCAGGGGGGACGTCGATTCGGGGCTGCCGCCGCAGACGCCCGAAGAGCAGAAGCGCCAGCTGCTGCAGTGCCTCCTCCTCGAGGCGGGCATCCTATTCCACAGCGTCTTCATCGGCATGGCCATCTCGGTGGCCACGGGCCCCGCCTTCGTCGTCTTTCTCGTGGCCATCAGCTTCCACCAGTCATTCGAGGGCCTGGCGCTGGGGAGCCGGATCGCCGCCATACAGTTCCCGCGCGGGTCGATCCGGCCGTGGCTCATGGTGCTCGCGTACGGGGTGACGACGCCGCTGGGGCAGGCCATCGGGCTGGCGGTGCACACCATGTACGACCCGGCGTCGATGGGCGGGCTGCTGGTCGTGGGCTTTATGAACGCCATCTCGAGCGGCCTGCTGCTGTACGCGGGGCTCGTGCAGCTCCTGGCCGAGGACTTCTTGACCGAGAAGAGCTACAAGGTGCTCAAGGGGCGGAAGCGGCTACACGCGTACCTGGCCGTGTGCGGCGGCGCGGTGCTCATGGCCTTGGTGGGAGCGTTTGCGTGAGCGATGCTGATGAAGGCGCAGCGTATGTGTATGTGTACATTGGGTGTGAGCGGCTCTGGATTGCTTTTACTTGGCACTTGATATGGCATTTCTTCTGGTCTTGGAGGTTCATTGCAGAAAGCATTCATGGCGTTGGAGGGCTGGCGAGAGGACGGCTTCACGATAGAGCGACAGACAGCTACATATATACTGCAGCGCACCCGCCGTCTAATAGAGGGTCCTACATGTTTATACAGACTGCCTAGGACGCGGATGCCCGTTTGAGCGTCCCATGTGAATGAGGGAACTACCTCCGCTGTTTGTCTGTACCCGCCCGCGGCTCGGACCGGCCACATGCCACGGGTGATGGAG